TATCCAAAGCTTTCCAACCAACAGAGAATTTTCAAAATGTTATGTTCGCATTAAGTTGATGATTATATTATTATTATTTATTTATCAGTATTCTATAATTTATTCTATTTTACAATATGCTTTTCATATCCAAAAATAATCTAATAAAATGTATTGAAATCATTCCTCTTGAATTAATATATAATTTAAATTGTTAATTAGATGAATAAAGAAAACGAACTAATTAATATATCTGAGCTTACTTGCTACATACAAATAAAAAAGAAAAAGTTGGTAGATATTTAATTATCGAATGAATTGTAATTAAAAGCTGTTGAAACATCTGATAAGAAATAATAACAAATCAAAGATAATCACAATGAATTAGTAAAAATGTCTAGCGATTAACATTGATAATATTATTATCCAAATTGAATGTTTACCTTACAAGCAAATTATGGGATAATACATTTTGACAGAGTTTATAAAAAAGTGAATGAGAATAGAATTCTTAGAGGTTTAATAGAAAGATTGCGATTTATAAATTAAAATGTTTACATTGTTTTATTGAAAAATGAATATTAATCAATTTAATCTACATAAAGGGGCTTTATCTCCTTAATCAATATCAATTACTTATTAACGAGCAAAACTCCTAATAAATAGCATTCAAAATAGCCAACATAGTAACTTCTTAGAAATTTGAAATAAAGTTAATGAAAACTAATTAGAAAAAATAATTATTAAACATAATGATTAAATAGAGATTCATCATTAGATATAAATGATAAATATTATTTACCAACTTTTAAAAAATGATGATATTAAATGATTATTTTTATATACATAAATCTTTGCATCTTCAAATTGAATTTCTATGCGGCAATCAACAATTTTTATGATTCTAAATAATTAACCATTTTTAAAAATCATCAAAACAAAATTTCAGACTAATTAATCTTCATAAAAATATTCTAATTAGTCTTGAATTTTACTGATATAATTAATTTATCTTTATTTTTTAAATACAAAGAGTTTAATCTTTTCAATATTCCTAGTTAGATAGAAATTTATTTATTTAATAATATTATTTTATTTATGGTTTGAAGATTTTAAATCAGTTTAAATTCATTAAATAAATAATCATTTTTCAAAGCAATGTTAGTTGTTATGCTTTTATTTTAGTTTTAAGTTTTATTAAATGCTTAGAATAATGATAAATCAAAAGATGAATATAAATTTGTTATATTCTCAGAATTTTGCTTTGATTAATTTTTCGGAGATGAAGATGTTAGCAATGAATGTATATCTGATGTATATCATAAATAAAAACTAGACAATTAGCCGAACAATTAGTATTTTAATGGTAGGATTTGCTGTCATGAATCAAGTGCCACAAATTTATAAAATTTTGAAATCGTAATCAATACAAGGAATCTCATTTAATGCTTATTACACAGAAGTAAAAAATCAAATAAAAAAATTAGTTATATTTGTTTTCATTTATAACTGCTTATAATCTATATAAACAAACAAAATTCATTTTATATGGTGAAAATGCAATAGTTGGACTTGAATATTGCATAGTTTTATGCCTATTCTTATTTTATGATAAAATTTTGAATTTTCATTAATGGCTCTTTAAGGCAGTTTTTTTTATACTTATCAATATCCCTTTGTATTTAGGTTTTGGACCATAATGGATCTTTGATCTGACTATATACATTAATATGAGTTTGCGTAAATTATTAATATAATAAGTTGATAGTTTTCGTAGCCAGATTTTTATAAATAAGGCTGAATTGTAAAAATAGAAATACAGGATAATTATCATTGCTCACATAATTGCAAAACTCTGCAGGTAGTATAGCAAGATTATTTACTTTGTTTAATGATAATGCTGATTTTTCATATATGGTATATGTATTTAAAAGAATTTAGATATATGTTTTAGAAGACAACATTTTAGGTACAATATTGCTGTTTTAAATTATTAATACTTGGAAAGAAGAAAGGAAGAAGAATAAGAAAATCTAAAATAATAGTGAACAGTCAACTTGTGAAGAAATAAAATATGATTAAATCTGATAAAATATATTTTTATTTATTATTTTAGTATATATTATGTAATGTGAAATTTTAGATTGGAAAGGTTATTTAGTTTAGGCAAGTTTAGGAGTGCTATCATTTACAGTATTAATAAGTATTATTTTTAGTGAGTAATAGTAAAAAGATATTTTGAACAACCAAAAAGAGTTTGGAAAATATTCTTTATGGTATAAAAATGAAAATTAAGAAATAAGGACTCTTCAAAGCAATTTCTTTCAGCATTATTAGCTCATATTTTGAATGTGATTTTGGCTATGGAGTTATCTACAGAAACAGATGAGAATGCTTGTATCTGGTATTTTATAACTTTTATGTTGGATTCAACTATGGGTGTATTATTAATCTTTCTACTTATGAAATCATTAAATATGATTTTTACTTACTTTGATATAAGAGTATTTAGAAATATTTATTATTCAGAGATTAAAAAGTGGTAACTATTTCCGGATCTAAGAAAAAGTAAGAGTTGATTGGCAAATATATGCATGTCAATTATTTGTATGGAATTCAGTTGTAATTGTTTCAAAATTTATTTTATTTGGGTTACAAAAATTATTTGCTGACTAATTAAAATAAACAGGTACTTTACTTTTATCTCCTATAACAAATCCTGAGTTACTTTTGGTATTTGTTATGATAATCATACCTCTTATAATGAATGCAATTACAGTAAATTCGAATTGATTATTTAAGTTTTGGATCTAAGATAATATAATTAAGAAATCTAACTTTAGCAATTAAGAAGAAAAGTAACTATTAATAGGAACATTCTATGAAGAAACAATAACTGAATAATTTACATAAGAATTAGTTATTTTGTGAAATTTTTTATAATTAATATAAATTAAAAATGAATCCAATTTCTATGCCTTAATTTAAAGGAGATCCACTATTATTTCATGCAGTGGCACATGGGAATGTTTAGGAAGTCATTTCATTAATTGAAGACAAAGAAGCTAATGTTGATGCTCGTAATATAAATGGTGCAACTCCTTTAATTTTTGCTGTTTAAGCCAATCATCCTTAAATTACAGAACTTTTATTGAAATTTAAAGCAAATCCAAATTTAAAGGAATACTATGATGTAGGTGAAAAGACTGCTTTACATTATGCAGTTGAAAAAAATTAATTTAAGTTATGTTAGTTACTCTTAGATTATGGAGCAAATCCTAGTTTATAAGATAAAAGAGGTCTAACTTGTTTGCATTATGCAGCTAGGTAAGGATTTAAATAAATTGTTGTTTTACTCCTTAATTATGGAGTAGATATTAATTTAAGAGATGAAAATGGATTCAATGCTTCTTATTGGGCTCAAATCAATAAATTTAATGAAATTTTGACTTTATTACCTTAACCAAAATTTATACCCTCTAATGATTTACTAGAATTTAAGACATAGATGAGAGAAATTCATAAAATAGAAATAGGTAAGAAAAAGAAAAAGAAGAAAAAATGATAAACTAATATATTTAATATAATATTCTTTATTTTAGTGCAAACATATTGGGTACATTTTAGTCTTAAAATTGTTATCCTAAAAATCCTCCCTAATTTTGGCAATTTTTATTAAATCCTTTTAATTAAAATTCTTAAAAAGATAACGTCTATCAATTTTGCAATATTAAATATTCTTGAACCTACTTTTTTGATTAGATTAATTAAAATAAATGTTATTATAAACATTTGAATTAAAATAATAAACTTAGTTTAATTTGAATGACCTAATAAAACTTTTCAGTGTTGTATTGTTTATTTTTGAGAAATTGAATATAGCTATAAAATAGCTCTGAGATTAAAAAAAAAATCTTTAGGATGTGCTATTTTAATAAATATTGATAATTTATTTAATAATTTTTTAGTATATAAGCTTTTAGTGAATCAATGTTTTAGTTATATATCTGGAGCTCTAGTAGAAAAAGATCTAATTCTGGTTTTAAATTAAGAGGATTAAACAGATTTTTTATTTGATGTTTAGTACTAGGATAAGTCACAGAGAGGCTTAAGTTTTGATGGAAGAAATGATTTCTTTGTAGTAGTAGTAGTTGCTATTGAAATATTATTTTCATTTCCTGGATTAATTGTAGTCAACTTTCTCTTTATAACTCTTTTTTTATTGTAAGAATTTTCATCACAAGAACTACAAGACTCTGAATCTGAAATATCTATTTATTAATTAATTTTAGGAAACTCCTTAATAAGTTCTGGTGTATTCATTAAATTAATTGCTTGACAGATGTTAACGCCAATTTATTGGAGATTTTCTACTGAAAAATCTTTTCCATTTTCATCTTAATTTGAAATTCTCATTTAAAATATATTACTAAATTATAAAATATTTCTAAAAAAATAAGATGAGGATACCCCAAAGCAAATGGAAGGGTTCTTTCCATTTTAGAAGATTTTCCAAATTTACTTTAATTTATATTAACATATTAACAAGTTTATTAAATGGCTGAAATGAATGGTTAGTTTTAATTGTGTATTCCTACAAATTTGATACCATATCTAAATAAAATGTAATTTTTTTTTTTACTTTTTGAATGTTTAATGTATGTCTAAAACTAAATGTAAATTTTAAGCTTTTTTTAATAGTGCTTTTACATGTTGAGCACTGGGAATTAATTTATTAACTTTATGCCATTTTTAATTGATATCAATTCCTTAAAGAGTTGTAATGCTATTTCCATGAATAACTCCATCTGGATTCATCATAGGTAGAATCTTAAAATAGAATTATTATCTTAAATTTTAAGCATCTTCATTTACTAAATATTGAATGATTCCTTCAATTACATAAGAGGATATAACCTCTGATGGGTGTTACCTAGACAATATAACTATTAATGGTTTAGAGGAGTCTCCCATAGTGATTACAGGACATTAATTACCTAAATTGGTTGTTATTGACTTTAATTTAAAAAATGGTCTAATTTATTACAAAATTTGTTACAGATTCTAAAAAGGTATTAAAAATTATGAGAGACTTGATAATCCATAGGGTGGAAATAATGAAAAGTAAGTAATATCTTCTTTTTCAAATAAATAGCTAAAAGATAGGGTATAATAATTAGTGTCTTTATTTTTTTTATAGTTGTTTTTATAATATTACACATTATCTCCACCTCTATACCAACCAGTACGAGCAGTGTAGATATAAGGATTTACATTTAAATACGATGCTGATTTACTTAAATTTATAATGTTAAATTGGAGCATTGTTCTTTCTGGAGTTCTTACACTAAAAAAATACCATCTTGTGCAACCATTTGTTTATGTATCATTATGCAAAATCAAATTGTATTTTTTATTGCCCACTCTATGAACTGTATACAAATTTCCACATTCAAAGTTTGAATCAAAATGGATAGGTCCTTTAGAAAATAGTTTAGTCCCAATATATTTTGGTGATGCAAAATTTTATCCTTTAGGAGTTTAGTTAATGAATCTTTGATAAATCAACGTTGCATTATTATGCAATTCATGAAATGTCTTATATTAGCTTGATTCTCTTTGAAAAAAATCGATATCACAGCACTCAAAGTTAAGAATATCCTTTGGAGGTTTATATTAGTTATGAAAATAAGGTAAGGGACTAATTATTATACAAAATACCTTATCTAACCTGGATAATCATATTTAGGTGTTGTAAATTCAAAAGGAGTTGAAAGTATAGGATTTGCAATCGGTAATAAATTGTCCATTCAATAAGAATTTTTCTGTTAATTATAAAATTATTATAAACAAAAAATATTGTAAATAAAAGATGTTATTAAAATAATGATATAATATATCGATATAATATATCATACATTAAAAACTTTATTGAAAAAGATGTATAGATAAAAATGTAAAAAGATATAAAAAATAGATTGAAGGATGCATTTAGGATTAATAATGAAAGAGAATGGTAATTGATATTCTAAATAAATAAATTAATAAAATTAAATGAGAAGACCAAATGAGGTTGAGTATAACAAAACAGCTTTGATGGGTAATTATAGAATAAATTTGAGCGAATTGGTATGAAGATAGGTTAGCTCCTCATTAATTATAGAGAGATCCAAATGGTCAGAAATCTGTATGAAATGAGAATATAAGTAGTTAAGATAAGTAGAAGAAGGAATATCAATACCTGGAGATAATGGATGTTTACTTCCTTTACCAAGAGTGAATCGTAATCCTCCTTACATAACAAAGGAAATAATAGTTCCAGATGATGGATATGTATAATGAGATGTATAAAATAGAGAGAATTCAGAACAGAATTCTAAACAAAATTTGATGCAAAGAATATACAGAATATGCAATTAGGTGATTGCAGATCTTTAGTGAAAAGGAATGGAGAGAAAGTAAATTTTCCTGAGTGCAATCCTACAGTTGCATAAACAGCAGGGGCTAAATCAATAAAACAATTAGATTAAACAAATATGCAGTAAATTTTGGTTGATAGAGCTGTCCATTAAAATTATACAGACTTTGGATCAACATTCAGAAATCATCCAGAGTAGCATAATAAATTTTATTCAATTACTACATACTAATAATCATTTTAGCCTCCTGAAAATAATGTTAAGGAAATTCTCAGTGATAATAAGATAAAACCTTTAGCTGCTGGATGCAGAGAAAGAGATCCATTTGATTAAGGATTAAAAATGACTTCTGTAATAACAGGTGAAAAATACAGAGATTGTATTAGATATAATTATATTAAATAGCTGTTGAACCAAAAGAGAATACAGAAGTATAAAGATAATGGGTACATTCTGGTGATTGTGGATTGAAAACTGCTTAGAATAATTTAAGATCTAGTAGTATTTAGAATTATAAGAAGTCTGCTTGTTAAATTCATCCATATGACATAGCTACTAGTTTACCACTTGAAGGTAAAATGATTAATATCATTATATATAAGATGGTGTATACACATTACATCCTAAATATACTGATCCTGGTCAATTTAGACATATAAGAAGTGATGTCACTAGAATCATGAATAAACCAATAACAAGAAAATGAAATTCTATTTTAGGATAATCCATTCATTTAAGACTTATTTTATAGGAGTAATTCTTTCAATAATTATCTTTATCTTTATTAATATAAATTTCATTTGGCTATATGTAATAATGCACCCAAAGCACCAAATAAAACAGTTGAGCCTAATGCTTATTATTTAGATCTCTACCAATCCCAAGGCATATGGTTTTTATGATATAAAATACCAGAATTGCTCTTCAAATATGGATAATCCATATGATGATCAGCATCTAAGTCATAAGTTCTAATTAGAGTATAAATAATTAAATACCTCATATTTCTTTCATCTAATGGAGTATCAAAACATGCTCTCTCTAATACAACCTTACCAATTTTATCTGCATTCTTGAATCCTGTAGCTTAAGCCATCAATTATAGATCTGCATAACTCCATGAGGGATTTCTCAAATTTGCCACATTTCCATAAGTATTATCTTAAAGCTCAGGTAATTAGGATAAGAAGCAATCAAATTATTAGACTGAAGCATCTTCTAATTTGAATCTATCTGGAATTTCCTTATATTCATAAGGCACAAATCCTAAAGATACAAGAAGCTATTTATTAAATATATCTTCATACTCCTTCCTATACTGTTTAATCTGCATCTTCCTTTGTAACAAGTGGAACTACACATTCGAATCCTGGCTTATAAAATTCTGTTCTTGGTACCATCATTTATTTATAATGGAGAGGTCTTCCCTTCACTCTAACTCTTCTATATAACCATTCATTCAAATTAGAACTATTCCATGGAGGACTTACAAGCTCCTCATCTCTGAGCTCATAAATTGGTTTCTTTAGTTATTCCTTTCTGAATTAAATTTCTTATTCTTTCCATTACTTTTGGACCTATGCATAAAAAGCATACACTAATGATCCACCACTCAAACCAGCACAAATGCTTAAAATCTAGCTTATATACTATTTACTATTTGTAAGTTGGGCATTGGGCATTCAATCTACTGAATCCGCTTAATTATTTAAGCACAAGTGCCATTTTTTATTAATTATATTAATAATAATAAACCTTTTAGATTTTAAATCAAAATAAAATCTATTTTTATTGTTCTCATTATTTTTTTATTTATTTCCAGATCTCATTTGATATTAATAATTCTAATTTGTGAGATCATTTCATCAGTTATATCAAACTTACTAAAAATTTAATAAATATACCTAATAATTTCATAACATTATTAATCATATTTTACAGAATTAATATGAAAAATTCAACTATTCAATTCAACAAGAAAACTAAAAATATGGTAAAGTCTGTTAATTTATCTCTTGATAAACTTTCAAATAATCACAAATACCTAAAACCTTAGAAATCTAAAGATGAATATTATCTGTAAATTTCTCCTCATTTTCAAACTCAAACTCTCACATTTACTAATTAAATCAAAAAACTGAAGTGTATTGAGCATGAGGACGTAGACACAGAAGAGTCAGTTAAATCAAGTAATTCATTAAAAACTGACAAAAACAATTTCCCCTTATAAAAACTTCATTTAGGATAACCAAAAAGTTAATTTTTTAATGATATTAAATGTTCAAGAAGACTTAAGACTGAATAATGATTTATATATAATTTTTACATTAACAATCATATATTAAAGTTTTTGATTTTTAATTACATACTTCATATTATTTTAAAACAATCAAAATTTTTTCGATAAAAAATTGATCTTGATTAATTCAAAAAAATACTCAAGTTATTTTTTAATTAAACTTTAGAACACAGTTCTTAGCAAATGTCTCAATAATTACTACCAAGAATAATTCCATCTAAATTAAGTTTTAAATATAATAACTAGAAAACATTTGAATTAATAATACTTAATTTTTCAAAAAATATAAATAAAAGCATTATAAGTGATTAATTAATCTAAAGTGCTTTTCTCATTTTTCTTAAAATATATTATTATATTTTTTTAATGAAAATTATATCGAAAGTTTTAAATTAACTTAAATGGTAATATTTATCAAAAATACAATAAAATAAGATATGTATAAGAAATATTAAATGTTTTATTAAAAATTCTATGATTTATGAAAGTTGAAATATTAACATATAAATGCATACAAGTTGAATCTTAATAAAGAAGAATTGATACTATTGCATATAATTTAAATCTGAAATAAACAATAATTGTTTTATAGCAAACAATAACCATTCTATCATATTATAAATGGTAATAAGCATTCTATCAAATTATAAATGCTAATAACCATTCTATTAAATTATAAATGGTTTAGATTTTAAGAGTCATGCTAAGATTTAAGACAGAAAAATTTCCTATTCATCAGTAAATAAGAGTTGAGATAATGAAATGATAAATTATTGAATAGATTTTGTATCTTCATAAAAAAATGGATGGAAATTTGCTTAATTATATTAAGGAAATGAAGAAGTTGTTCTTCTACATATCAAATTTATTTCTGAGTCATTACAAAAGAATATTAAATCAAAGGAACTTCCTAAATAATAACTATTGTATGAATAATTTAAATTACCCTTCCCTAAAAAAAGAAATGGAGATAAGAGAGAGGAGTAAATTGATAATGTTAAAGAAGAGGGGATGAGAGAAGTCATGGAGAATAGAGGATGTTGATCTTTGATGTTATAATTTATAAATTATTGTAGTTTAATTGTTAATATCTAAATTTTTTAGGCATGAAAAGTGCCTAAAATTCTAATTATCAATTGATAAATTAATAATACTTAAGAGGTTATACTAAATCATTAATCATTCATAACACTCTTAGAGATTTATTGAATCTAATTTTTTAATTTATTTTCTGCTGATCTATTTCTTTGAAAAGTTATTTAAAACACATTTCCTACTTATATATTTGGAGGTAGATAATGACTTGGTACATTAAATTCACTAAAATCATCACTTAAAAGTTTAATTGAATTGCTTATGCTTATCACAGTGCTATTAATATCTAAAATAGGTTTGTTGTTTACAATATTTAGTTTCGATGTTTTTACATTTAGTCTAAGGCTCAATTTCACTTTAGTCAAGCATATTTTCAATTTATGATAAACTAATATCACAATTTTCATCAGTTTATAATTACAAATTTGACATTAAAATATGTATTTTTAGAAAGAGAAGAAAGAGCAATTAGATAAGTAAAAAACAATGTTATAAAAAATGAGATCATTATAATGAGATTAAATACATAATAAATATTGATAAATAATAATTAAATTTAATTTATGTTATAAGATTAAGTGTAAGGAAATAAAAGAGTTTAGTTCTAAGAAACTGTAGATAAACATTTTGATGATTCATTACCTTTATTTATGGATATTTTAAGAGTACCAAGTTAATCAAGAGAGTTTGATCCTGAGTATTTAACAAATGGATTACTATTACAATCAGCAAAATTATTCAAAGAATTAGTGGAAAACTTAAAATTGAAGAGTACATAATAATAATAAATTAGATGCAAAAATTGAATTGCTAACAGATGAAGGATTATCACCATTTTTATTTGTGGAAGTGGAAGGATCAGATGGAGACACAGATGGATCAGTTTTATTTTATGGTCATATGGATAAATAGCCTCCATTTACAGGATGGAGAGATGGATTATCTGCATATGATCCAAAAATAATTAATGATAAATTATATGCAAGAGGTGGAGCTGATGATTCATATTCAGTTTTAGGATCAGTGATAGCAATTCGAACAATTCAAGATTTAGGATTAAAACATCCTAGAGTAGTAATGATATTTGAAGCTGATGAAGAGAGTGGATCTGATCATATAGAACATTATTTGAATAAATTAAAAGATAGAATTGCTAATGTAGATTTAATTGTATGTTTGGATTCAGGTTGTGGTAATTATGAATAATTTTGGTCAACAACAACTTTAAGAGGATTAGTAGGAGCTAATGTAACAGTTTAAATATTGAATGAAGGAGTACATTCTGGTGATGCATCAGGAGTAGTCCCATCTTCATTTAGAATATTTAGATAATTATTAAATAGAATTGATGATCCTAAAACAGGTGAAGTTGTAGATGATTTTTAAGTTACCATACCTGGAGAAAGATATATTTAAGCATAAAAAACAGCTGCTGTTTTCTCAGAAGGATTAATTAATAAATTTCCATTACATTAAAATACACAACCAGTTTCTGCTGATCCTTTTAAAGCATATATAAATAAAGTTTGGAAAGCTTAACTTGCTATTACAGGAGCAGATGGACTTCCTCATGCTTCAAATGCTGGAAATGTATTAAGACCAGAAACCACTTTAAAATTATCTGTTAGACTTCCTCCTACTAAGGATCCAAAAGAAGCTGAGGAATCTTTTATTAGAATTGTAATTAATTATATTTTATAATAGTTAACTACTAATATACCTTATGGTGCTACTGTCAAAATTGAAGGACTTAATTCAGGAGCAGGTTTCAATGCTTTAGATAATAAACCTTATCTTGATAAACTTATTGATGAAGCATCTAATTTATTTTATGGAAAAGAAGCAGTTACTTTTGGTGAAGGAGGTTCTATTCCCCTTATGAACACTCTTTAATAATAATTCCCATAAGCCCAATTCATTATTACTGGAGTCTTGGGTCCTAATTCTAATGAACATGGACCTAATGAATGCTTAGATTTACCCTATACCAAAAAATTGATTAGTTGTATTGCTTATATTGTTAGTGGAGCACAATAACATTTAAAAAAATGAGTTTTATCAATTATTTTACATATATAAAATATAACAATTTTGGTATATCTTTTTAGTCTTATTAAAATTCTATTCATAATACAATTCATACTTAAATTATTACTTCAAGGAACTATTCAATAAAGTTTTATATTTCATAACTTATAGACGACATTTTAAATACATTTAAATTGATTATTCATATATCAAATCATCATCAAATAATTTACTTTATATTCTAATATTTTACAATCTTAAGACATTTTATTTATTTATATGACATTAAGCGAATATTTAAATAATATTATTCAATTTAATTTTTAAAATTAAATGAAGAAATAAACTGAACAATTTAAAGTAATAAATAAAAATTATTTTAAAGAAGAAACGAAGTATAATTTTATTAAACAATAAATTAATGATAACAAAAAAACTGTAATCCATATTATAACCTAACTATTTTTTATCTGATATACAAACTTTGATCACAATTTATTATCTTTTTTGATCTTCTATTTTTTTCAAATTAATTTCTTATTATTAATATATTAAAGTTCAAATATATTGATTATATACTAATACTAAATTTCCTAAACATTTAGTATAAATCTTATTAGATAATTATAAAAGAGAACAATTAATGCAATTATTAGTTATTAATCTTCAAAAAAGCTTTTTATACATCTAAGACTTTTAAAAATAATTTTGGTTCTCCAATTTTTTTATTTAAAATAAATCTAAATTATTTATTTAATAATATTTTCAAAGAAAATTCAAAAGATTCAATTTTTCTTTTATCTAAAACGAGATTAAAAAAGAATTCTAGATTATTTTTTTAATTGATTTAGAAATAAATATGAAATTGCAAGGCTGATATTAATTTTAAATAAAATATTTGCTTAAAGTATTTAATAGAAATTTGTAAAAGAACATTATTAAATTAATTAATATATATAATAATGGAAACTTAAATAATATTAAAGATAAAAACATTAGATAATCAAATCACTCCATTTGCAATAGATCCAAATAATACAGTATAATAATTGAAAAATATAATTTAAACAAAACTAAACATACCTTTAGATAAGTAAAGACTGATTTACTAAGGGAGAGTTTTAGAGAACAACAAATCTTTATAAGAATATAAAGTATTAAGTGAATGAATTAGTTATAAAATGATCATGTCATATTATTGCCAGGATAACCAATATAGGAAGAATAAATAGTCTAGAATTAGACTTAATAATAATAGCAATAATAATAAGAATAAGAATAAGGTTCAAATGAATTCCCAGAAATAGATATCTTAAGTAATATACTGAGAACATTAAGTAAAAGAAGCTTGATATTTTAGGGCAACACTAATACAATAGATAGAATGTAAGGAGAATGGTTCAATAATAAAGGAGCAATGGTAAAAAGTAAATGATTTGCGATTAGGTTTCACTATAGATAAGCAACAGTCATTAGAGGGTATAAGATAAAATTACTAAACTGTTAAGTAGTTAATAGATTGTTAAATAAAACCTGAAGAATTGAAACAAGAGGATATATAAGGCATATAAATAAATTATTCATATAGGCGAATATGTAAACCCATTTGATCCAAAAAAAAGAAGGTTTTAAGTTGGATAGTGGATTGATGTTAAAGATACGATAGATTAATGGGTATTTATGTTTTGTTTTTAATATTTATATTAGTTAGAAGCATAAGTATAATCAGTTGAATAGAATAGAATATTTATTCATTATAATGGATGGGGAAATAGATGGGATGAATGGATAGATATCTAATCTCCTCGGATAGCTATTTTTCGTACATATACTGTAGGTAGTATTAATCAAGAATTCTTATCTCCAAATCCTGTTAGTGATCCTGATTGTGAAGTAGAGAAATAAGAAATTGATATGCATAAATTTATTTTTGATGTAGGACATATGATGAATTAAGTTACTTAATAATTAATTGAATTTGGAAGGTATACAAATAATAAAAGAATAGCTGAAAAATAGTTATAATTATAATAATAATACTAATAAATGTTCAATAATAAAAATAAGGAAGTAAATATTGATGAGAATAATCTCGAAATAAAAAGAAAAGAAAAAGAATTAAATGAATATGAAATTAAATCTAGTTTGATTGGTTCATAATTAGCACCTATTTTTGATAGAATGGGTAGAATGATGACAGATTTAGCTCCTCATTTAGCTTTAATGGGATCTAAAACATAAAGAATGAACAATAATAATAATTAATAATAATTACTTTTTTAGGTTCCGGTGACTTTAACACCTAATGAAATTTATTAATCATAATAAAATGCCCCAACATTGCATAGTCGTTTAGAAATTATTAGTAATAGACTAGCTATACTGAGAATGACTGAATATATTCAATAAGAAGAAAGTGATGACGATCATCGTAATAATATGTGATTTTATACATTATTAGTATAATTATTACATATAATATATTAATTTAATCTAAAGAGCAAAATTAAACAAAATTCAAAAACCTAAAATAATAAAAAATCCTTAATAAAATCTTAATATAGGTAAGTATAATGAAGCACTTCCTAGATAATAAATTTTTATTTAGTGAATATCGTATTAATTATACTCTACAACTTGTATTGAGTAATAATTAAATTATGATCCAATTTAGAAAGTATTTTTCATTTATATAATCAAACTTGTAAAATATGTTCACATCAATTACTATTATTTTTTGAGTCTCTTATTTATTCTCAAATTAAATAGATTGCCCATTCATATCTTTTATGAAACAATAAGAAAATCCTTATTCTGAAATAAAATTATGGCCATTACAATATTGTTTATTATGTGCCATTGTTTTATTTACTAATTCTATTATTTAAGTTGTGGTTCTTTTAAAATTAGATTAAGGAGGAATATTTTTGGTGAGAATTACACAAGTAGTATAATGTGCATTCTATTTTAAACAGTAAATTAAAGATATTTATACTATTTTGATTATTCTACTTTGCTTTTTAAGCTATATATCAAGTCTATATTATATTTTTACATTAATCTTCATTCGGTTTTTCATTTAATTATATTCAGCAGATAAAATCTATTGAAAGATCATTTTCATTTTTATGACACTGAAACTTTTTTTAAATTTTGCCTATAATATAAGCTTCAAAATTTCCAAGAGAGATGTTTTTCCAGAAGCTTTGATATCTTTGTATACTTTTAATTAATTCTAGATCAATACTCATACTATTTGGTATATCTTTGTTATTTTATCTTATTCAAATACTAATAACATGTCTCTTATATGCACACAGTTGAGAAAATAACAAATACATCAAAAATATTTAGAATATTAAGCTAAAACTTGAGTATTTTATGAAAAAATGATTAATTCATAAATTTTTTGAAATTATAATATTAATAATAGAAGATGATTAATAAGAATAATTAATTAATATACACAATAATTGGTCAACAAAAAAATAGGAATTAAATTAAGCTAAAAAAAATGAGGATTATTATTTAAGAATTAGTTAGCTATATTTATAAATAAATTAAATATTATTTAATCAAATTTTAATGGATTGGACTTCATTTAAATCAAAATTCGCTTATCAAATTTATTTTTCTTATACTCTTCCAGATACTCATGAATAAATGATTGAAACATTATGTAAAGACTATTTTGAGACACCACTTCATTATAAATAATCAAACCTTAGATTTTAAGAAGTAGCATTATCTAAGTTAATAAAAAAAAATGCAAGTATCATAAATGACCTACAAAATGTTCATGATTTTGGAGATTAAATCTTAAGAATGCATTAGTAATATTTTATATATATTATTAATAGCAAAGAGATAAAGAAATAAGTTCCATACTTCTTACAATGATATCTAATATGTAATATATGTTTTTAGATATACAATTAGTTTTTATTTATAAAAATTTCAACAATATAAATGATATCAAATGATCATTCATAAAAATCATATTCATCTTCAAATTATTTTTCATCCTCCAAACAATCATCAAAACCCCAAATCCCTATTCCATTAGCTTTTGCTTCATCCTCCAAATTTTTAAACTCTTTTAAAGGATTGTACAAGACTCTATTATCAATTCTTCCTAGTCTAATTTATTTATTTACACAAATTATACCCTTTTTCTAATGCAATTTTATTAATCGTAAATTTCATTTGATCTGGTTAATCTTATGGTTAAAGAGTAATAAATTATCTATTTGTAGTTTTCTCTATGTAAGCAATTTTTGAATCAAATTATTAATCAAGAAGTAATTCTCTAAATAATTCAGATGCCTCTTCTCCAAATTCATGTGATTTTGGAGGAATTCTTAAATAAGCTAATTAACACATTTTAGCTTATTAAGGGATGCTTGTAAATTAAGCTGGTAAAACTCCCATATCTTAATAATCAACTTAATCATCATTTCCATAATCTATAAATTTTATTAAAAATTTATCATTTTTAAAGGCTTTTAATACTTATGCTCTGTATATTTTTTAATCCTCTGAAAATCTTGCTAAACATAATGTTCCTTTCTTAACTGGTTTTTTGAGAGGCTTCATATATAGATTAATATTATTACAATAAGTGCAGCTTTTTCAACTTAAATTTCTAATTCTTCAAATTCAGGATTAATTTCTTTTCTAATATAAAATTCATTGCAATCATTAAAAGCAGTAACTATAACTTTTGAGATCTATTAATTTTCATTTTTTTAAATATTTCCTTAATTACTCACTTATCTTTTTAATGTTTATTTATTATTTGAAAAATCTATTATAAATTATGCATAAGATTCAATCCAAAAACCTTTCTTTAGTTATTCAGCCTCTTTCTAAGCTTCTTCATATTTACTCAAAAAATCATTATTATTTTTAATAAATGTTAAACCTTCTTTGAGTAATTATATCGTAAAATCAGAATCTTTATTGTTTTTCTTTTCATAAATTTTGCCATAAAACATATTCTCTTAAATATTAAAACTTTCAAAATTTATCCAAGCATTCCTTTACATTAAAATATTATAACTAAATTATTATCTTAATTCAACATATTTTGTAACATTTGGAAAGCTTGTTGCAAATTCTTATAGTTTAGCTATTCCAGTTATAGTAAAATTAATCATAGAATGATATTTTAAAATAGTAATAATAAATTATCCATTAGGTAAGATTTTATCTATCAAAGCTTCAAGTTAATAATCTTCTCGAAATGTAATTCCAGTATTTGTTGCTGATTATTTTTAACTTTAATTATCTCTCTAAATACTAGACCATATTATTTCATTTACACTCTTTCCTTATTTTAAATCTGTTTAATCTTCAATTCTCCAAGTGAGTTCTGGACTATATTATCCAATTTTCTTTTATTTTGCTAACAGATTTAATTATTAAAATTGTTCAAATTTAAACTTTGATAATTAAGGATGATTCTCTTTTGCTGTTGCCCATCCATTAGCTATAAGCTCTTCTTCTATATCTAGATTATTTTCACAAAGTTATATAGTTTATAATGGCATATTATCTCCTACTTATAGAATATAGACTTGCTTTCCTATTAGTAATTTTCTAGCATATTCTTTTGCTTCTAATCCTTCTATGAAAATTCTATCTAATTTTATAGTCAATATTTCTTTATCTGTTTTTACTAAATATTAATTAGCCTCAACAATCTCTAATATCTAACCTACTATTTATGAACTAATTGAATTAAGCATTATTCTATCTAATTCTCCATTTTTCCAAAGTCCTAAATTATTTTTCTTAGCCTCTTATTGACACTAAAACAATATTTAAAAAGAATTTTATGATAAATTTAATTTACTATTATTACTTAAATTTATTACCCCCAATCAGTTATATAGGCATATCCACTTGAAACTAATGAAGTATAAAATTCATCGCTTAACTCATTATTTTTTAAATTTGTTGGATATAGGTCTGCTTTTAAAATTGGAAAATTTATGAAACTTTTCTTATAATTTACTGTCATAATTTAAGTCCCTCTAAAAGTAATTCTAAATTATTTATTAAGCCAATCTTTTTGCATAATTCTAGCATATCCTTATTCTTAAATTGCAAACTCTTTAATAAATTACATTTATTACCATCAATATAAATTGCATTTGGAATTAAACTTATCAATGTATCTTTATTATATAAAAAATTCAGAATATTTCCTTCAAAAGATACTAAATTTGCTTCTAATGTTTGATTTCTATTCTATTTAATAAAATCAATAACAGATTGAATTTATTTTGTTTCCTCATTTTAAACACCAATAAATTTTAAATGAATTTCTGAATCATCTGGTATTTCTTATTATAAGTCTGCTCCATTTATTTATAATTAGTTAGTTTTAGTAATGTACATTGCTTCCTTATTTAATTATTATAATTATGAAAAATAGATATCTAAAGCTTTTTGATTAATATTTAATTTGCTCCTGGTTAAAAAATTAGGTATTCCATTACCAACTATTATTGTCTTTTATTATTAAGTTTGAATCAAAAACTGATTAGGAGATAACAAAGATAGTATTTTGCATGGTTAGAGAGCCATCTAATATATTTATTAATAAAATTCTTTAATTATTTGATTTCTTAAAACAAAACAAAATTGAAATTCTTATAAAATAATGTTCTCACTTTTATTTATGCAATCATAAATATATATTTATAATCATAATTTACGATCACCATATTTCTAATTTTAGATTTCCCCTTTCTTTTACTCTTTTTCTTTGTACATTTCTAAATATCTTAGTTTTCTTTTCTTCTTTGTTTCTTCAATATTATGCTTAGCTCTCAAAAATTTATATGCAACATATGCCAAATAAACACCAATAGACTTAAAATATTAAAACTTTGCTCACTCTAAAAATAAAATAAATTCCCATAATTAAGAACCATATATAATATAATATATACTGAGATTAACAAGCTTCTTCTGATTACATAGTATGTTATCCATATGATTCAATCATCTAACATAATGTGTTTATTAATTAATAACAATCTTTATTAAAAATACTCTTACCTTTAGACTGTAAAATATATTGGAGCTATTTCTATCAAAACTATAATTATTGTTAATATTGTAAACTTATATCATTAATATTCTTCTTACATATTAAAAGTATTAGTAATTGTTTCCTATTCTTATCATACAATTAATTAATATGGTTAAACAGATTAATATTGTGAAAAATATCATTGGCAATTATTACTTTGTAGCACTAAATACAACATTTACTAATATTATTTGTACTACTTCTAGAATCTAATTAAGTTTATTCAATTCTTACACACCAATAACTGTTGTAAATTCTTGAATAGTTAAGACTTTTATGAACTTTGGGATTATAGGTAAAGAAAACTAGCAGATTATTTTTTACGAAACTAATACTATTATATTTCTCTTTACTTTTTAAAAGTTTATTCTTCTTAATCCTTTTAATCCATTTATTTATAAATATAATTAAAAAAAACTTGAATTATCTATTCAAAAGAATTTATTTAAATCATAAGATAAAACATATATTATATTCATTGTAGATAATAAAAAATAATCAAATAGTGTGTGTTAGTAAAAATTTGATTTAATCATAGATTTATTTGTATAATTAAGAAACTGCTAATTTTTTTTCTGAACTCATAATCCTTGCTCTTTATTATATTTTGAATAATAGCTAATTTTGATAACAAGTTAACTGTTTTGTATTATTAAATTAATGCAAATAGTATTCAATTAAAACTGTTATTAATTTATGATGTGCTATTCCACATAAGACCAATACAACTTATTTTCCTGGAATAAAATAATTTATGTGGAAAGACTACTATAAAGAAAATAATTATAAAAAATTATCACAAAGTCTTCTACTAAAATATTGAGTATTGGCACAATATTTAAAATTACATAAAATAATCAATAATTGTTAAATGTAATTTTTAGGCTGTTTTTTTAAAGTGGTTTAGTGATTAAATAAAAATAGAAGTAAATTGTTTATTTGAAATCGATATAATTTTAATCAAAATTATGATTGCGTGGATGTTATAGATTTTTAATTATATATTTCTATCTACATTTTAAATTATATTATTTAATTCAACATACAAGTTTCATTTTCAGTTTACTGTATTAATATTCCAACTATGTATAGAAAGGAATTAAATACAGAAAATTATATTTCAAATAATAACTACAAAAAAGTCTAGTATTTAGATTAATTAAATCTTCTTTTTAATCTTTCATCAAACTAGAGTCTCTAAAAACTAATGAACTTTAACCTCCCTTGTTTTATTCCTACACACCCTATTTAATAAACAGCTTTTGTTTATGTCCCATTCTTTTAATCTTATCCTTAAATCCACTGCTAGCTACAACTTTAACAATTTTAAACATATGTGCCTTAAATGGCATCAGTTTATCAGCTTCCTTAAGTTGAATTCCAAGAGCATAGCCAAAGAAGAATAGAATAACCATAACAAAAGGAAACTGAAAATTCTTCAAATACATCTCAAGCACTAGCCTTTGTAAATGAAAAAATTATAGAAGATAAACCAATATAGGAAAAAGTAAAAATATTAAGTTCTTCAAATCCTCTAAAAAATTAGGTGTAATTTGAAAAAGAGTCAAAGAATATATAAAAAAATTACGCTAAAGCCATTGCTGGCTTTGTTTATAAAAATAAACCATTAGCTTCAAGAATCTTAAAAACTTCAGAAGTTGATGAATTTATAAAATTAACAAAGTTAATAAAAAACGAAATCTAAAATGTTAGTCATATTTCTTAATATACAAGCAAATAAGATTTTATTAAGGCTTTTAGAATTTTAGGGTATATATAATTTATTTAAATATTATTTAGAAATTATTTCTTAAAAACAAAAAGTAATTCCTATATATTCAACTCAAGAATATAAAAAAAGAATAGCCATCTTAGACATAAAAAACTAATCCAACATAGTCTTCTAAGATGTTGATATTCAATAAATAATATTAATAATAAATAAATATTTCGATCATATTTATAAAATATTTTTTTGGTATAAATAAAGAATTTTATAAGGATTTAATTTTATTCAAAATTATTCATTAGTTAAATTAAGATTCAATATATAAAAATCTTAAATTGAATATGCTTTTTTTCCTAATAAATTCTAATTTTATAAAAGTTTTTTAATATCGTTTAAACAAACTGAACTAAAAAGAATTGTTGGTATGATGAATCACCATTACAGAGATTTTTCTTAATCTAATTATAGACTTTTGTCAATAATATCTAAATTTCGAATTACTTTAAAATAACAAATAAACTAAAATTAACGAAATGTTAATATTTTTTTTAAGTAACCTGAAAAATTATAGATAAACTAATAAGACTACTAAAAACACTGAAAACCAATTAAAAAGTTAATCTAAACAATTATTGATAATAAACTCTACTTAAACTTTAGAATGATTATTTTTGAGGAAATACCTTAAAAGAGTTAAAGATCTATGACTTGAATATTTAAAACAGCATTTATGTGACTCTGTTTGAGATTTAATTTAACATATAGATTTATTCGATGAATTTGGCATATATCTAAGAGATATGAAAGAATCTAATTTTGAATCCTTTGTATGATTCTAATCATTAATAAAATCAAACTATAAGGAAATATAGCATACTTCCAAATCTATTATGACTACTATAATTTAGAATTGGTGGCAAAAATTTCAAAAAAGCAAAAACACAAGAAGTGTTGCTGTTAATTTATTTCCTAATAAAACCGAAAATCTAGTAAATGAAATTAAATTCAGTGAAATCAAAATGCTGATAATTATTCAAAACCTACCTCACTTTTATTCAAAAAATCAATATAAACCTTATTTTTTTGGAATTTCTAAAAAATAACCCAAAATTTTTTTGTTTTCAAGGATTTTAATGAAAAATTATGAATTTGCTCAAAACATTAATTGAATAAATAAAGTAAATAAACCGAAATAATTTGTTTAAAAGAAATATGCTAATCAATGTTAATATTTATTAAATCTAATGTGGAATCAATAATTCCAACCAACTTATAATCTTTATGCATAGCCTTAATAACCTTTCTTTTATCCTATCTATATTATACCTGTAATTAATGCAAATTATGGATGTACAGATGGAAATTTAAGTAATTCTTTAACAACCTAACTAACCTAATAACCTTCTTCTATTGCACCATCAGAAACACCTTTTTAACCTTCTAATTAATCTTTTTATGATAAATAAGTTTAAGAATCTATAGAAAGTCTTGAATCGGCTGTTTTGAATAATAAAACTAAAAAGTATTCACAATAAAAAAGTCTTTCATAAAAATCTACAAATATATAAAAAAATTATGCCAAAGTTATTGTCCAATACATTCTAAAACAAAGAATAGAAATATTAAATTATTTAGGAGAAAAAAAAGGTATAGAATTTTTAAAATTACTAACTTAATTGAAAAATAACATTAAAAATGTTAAACATATAATAAAGTATACTAATGATGAAAAATAATAAAAATTGTTCAGAATCCTATCAAATAGGTTTCTAAAGAAAGAAGCCATAGGATATGTGTATAATTCAAATGTTTAATCGACAAGCCAACATATTTAGTATAGACATCTAATCTAACTTAATTTATAAAAATATTGAGTTTATTATTATATTCAACCTTGATTCTTGTCAATCATAATTATTATATATCTATTTTTAGAGTATCTATGCAAAATAAATTTAATGAACATTTTTATCGGAACAATTTTTATTATTTTTGTGTTTACAGTAATCCTTTTCAATATAGTTTTTCTATTTTCTATTCTAAAGAAGCTGATCTTTTCATTTATTTCAACAAAAAATATTATTACTCAATCTAAGTTTGTTTAAGCCATTGCCTGTATTTTTATGTAATTTATTAAAAATAACATTATTAATGATAATAATATTTTTAATTAAAATTATTATCAAATACTAAAATATTTATTTCTAATACTAATAAATAATTAGATGAAGACTTTATAATATTAATAAATTATAATATATTAATAAAGAATTAAATCAAATTCATTTCAGCATACAGAATTATAATAGATAAGATATATCATTTAATAATAGTGATTTAAATCTTATATTATTATTTATTCTACCCAAACAATTTCTAGAATATGAATTATCAACTTTAATAAATATAACATGTTCTCTTATTTTTAAAAGAATTTATTTAATCACATCCATACTCTATACAAAGTTTATTTGTGTTAAATTTATATCAAATCCTTTTTCTTATTTTTTTTAATTTAAGGCTTTCATTATTTTTAATTTTTTAGATGTTTCTAGAGTTTCAAACTTAAAGAGCCTTTTTAGTAATTCTTATTATTGAGATTTAAAGTTTTTTATTCTTATAAACAATATATTTTACTAATATATGTATAATTTAAAAACACTTATTTACTTCATTCTTCATTTCCAAATTGAAAAAATCAATCATAAAACTGATATAAAAAATTAGAAATTATAAAAGAAATGGGTAGTTAAAACTTAAATAATTGAATAGCTAATTAACTATTAATGATATGTATACAAAATATATTATCTATCAAATTATAGTTTTAGAATAATCAATAACACATTCAATATATGATCTTATATCATCTAATTTTTCCCATTACTATTCCAAGATCTCTATTATCTTTAATAAAGTTTGTTTTAATTCTTAATCCATTGATAAATCTATATCTTCTCTAGATATCTAAAAATTAAAATTTTAATTTACCTCTATAAATCTCATCAAGTATGTTACTTTTAAATCTAAATCTGTTGTATTTTGAAGACTTTCTTCAAATATTCTAAAGATTTTAATTTAATTTTATGGTTTACCCATTAAAATACTTCTTAATTCATAATCATAAGAGGATGGACTTAAAGTTTTGATTAAATTAATTAATTTAACATCCTCTTACTCAACTAAAATTTCAAATTCTGATTTTAATTCTGCTAAAAAATGATCTTTTTTTTATTTTAAAATTTTAGTTTTTTCTTTTACTTATTCTTTAATTTCATTTAAAATATTTTATTTTTCAACATCAGTATTCCTAAAATCTAAAAAGAAGGGCATTTTAACATCTGCATCAGCTAGCTTAACTCTATTTCTTTCCCTAATTTATTCAATATTTTATATAGGAACCCATCTTCCTTCTTCTAGATTTGTGAAACTAATTAAGTCCTTATTATTAGATTAATCATTAATTATCAATTAATTCTTGACATCATTTTCCTCTTCCATTTTTTAAGTTTTTTTATTTTAGTTTCCATACAACACAGATCTATAATCCTTTGATTTAATTGAAAGATCTGAATGAAAATTAATTTCACATTTCTATTTTGCTTTTGCAATTTATTAAGGATTATCTAAATGGCTTACCCAAACATTAATTTATCTAGAATTTAGAAATACTCCAATTAATTGACTCTCTGATATATCTATAGATATTAAAGCTTTATTTATAGATATTTCTTAAACCAAATTACCATAAATTAAATTCCAAACTTTAATTTTCTTATCTAGAGATGATGAAATTAAATGATAATTATCAATTGTAATTGCCATATCTAAAATCTATAAATTCTAAATTATTATATACCTTCTCTTTATGACCTTCAAATGACCTAATGATTTTCATATTTGAATAATCTATTGCAATTATAGAATGATTTTGTAAAGAGGCAATTGCAATTTAAGTTGATTATGATCCTATAATCTTTGTAACATTCGATTCAATAGTTAAAGTTGCTAAACTTTATCCTGAAACAAAATCTAATTATTCAACCTGACCCTATTCAGCAACAATCAAAAAAATATTTGATGGATCTATATACATTTAGAGGAAATTAGATTATAAATTCTAAATTAAAACCATTAAATTACATATGACATCTAATAAAATCCACTTTGCATAATAAACTTATGAACTTAATTAATGTTTGCAATAAATCCATAATTTCCACATTTTGAAACAAATGTTTATAATATCCTATCATGATTATTTAATCCATTTAATTTTGTTGTCAATTTTTTTTAATAAACATTCCAAAATTCAACATAGTTTGAACTGTTTGTTGTCAACATATTAGCCCAATCATTTTCTCTTAATGTAGAAAAGGAAAAATTATTTATTTATCCCTTTTTTATAGCTGTAAGATTTTAGTTAACAATTGATTAATAGAGTATTTCATCTTTTGTAATAGCTACATAATTGATTTATGGTTCTCCCTATTAACCATAAAAATGACATTATTCAATATTTTGTTTTACTCCTTACCTCTCTCTAATTAGTTACATCATTTTATGTTCTTCAATAGTATATTATTAAATACTATTTCCTTATGAAGAACCTATTACAATATTATTATTAGTTAAAAATAGAGCCCAATCAATTTAGAATTCATTTTAAAATGTATAAATTAATTCTTAAGAGTTGAGATTATATAAAATTAATGATTTATCTGAAACAACACTCATTAAAGGAATATTTCCAGATTTATTAAATTATACATCTCTAATTTAAGATAAACCTAATTCATATTTGGAAATAATTTAGTAAGACATTAGATTGAAAAAAATAATTTCACTAGGATTTTATGTAACAATTGCCACAATATCTAATGCTTAAGTCTCCTTTACTGAATGAATTGTTTGATCTTATTTATTGAAAATTTATTATTAAAATATTGTTGTTACAATGGTAAGTGACACTATATTAATAATTTTGATATATTATGCAGTGTATAAAAGTATTTTATTTAAGTATGTAGGAACGTGAATTATTCCTTTAATACCTTAAAAGTTCATTACATTATCATTTATATATAATTTATGTTTTGTGGCTATTATCTTGATGGGATGAAAGACTAAGATTTATTCGATTTTATCATCATATTCATTCTCATCTATTACATTTCTTTTAATTGTATAAACTTTCTTTCCACATCCTACATACATAAATTCATTTTAGCAAAATAATGCTCTAATTTTTTTATTAAAAATAATTCCATCTAAAATGTATTTCAAATCAGGAATAGAGTATATACGATAATTGTATTTATTTGCTACAATTAAATTCTGATTCAGAATAGGTTTAATAGTAGAGAGATCTAAACCACTAAATTTTTCAGGAATAATCATTTAATTAATTTTTAATTTATAAAAAATTCTTAAGGAAAAACACACTTAAAACATTTTAATGTTTAAAAAGTGTTAAAAAGATGAGTAAAAATATTATTATATGATATAAATTCTATAATTGTTATGATTTTAGTTTTAATAGTATTAAATGGTTAATACTTTGAAGATTTTATTTGATTAGATTTGGTTTATAAATAATTCAAAAATATATTACAAAGGTCTGAATAATAATTTTGGAAATATTTAAATAAGAAGTAATGGAATGAAAATGATAAATAAAATACTTAATTGTTTAAGGAAAAAGAACTTGATGAAAGTTTTGAATTCGTAATTATGAAATCAATAATATTAAATATTTTAGTAAGTCATAATTTTCTAAATCTACATCTCTTCTGATATTCAAGCTGATCTGTGTCTTCATTGTTATTAAGCGTCTTTTTATTGAAGTAGTCTAGACTATTTTCTTCAATATATCTCTTGTTCATCCACTTAGAATCAACATCATAAGAATAGTAAATGTATTCAGTGTAGGAATGATCATCTTGGTTGAACAAATAAAAATTTTAAGATTTCAGATGGACAGGAAACTTTTAACCTTGATAATTGACAAGCATTAATTATCCAAAAGACTGAGAAGCATTAGATTTAAATATTTGTGCTAATGTTTAACTCCATCTTATATTTCCATCACCTGCAAGGGATTAAGGCAACATTCCTGTTTAGAATACATAATCATTTAGCATTTCTTCATCTATTCCTATCATTTAGAGATAGGCATCATTCATTACTCTTGCTGTAGTGGTTATTATTCCATTTTTATTCTTTTAAATATATAAGGTAACTGGACCTTTAATATTATGCTCAAATTCAAGTAATTTTGCTTCATTTACGATTTCATATTTGGTGATGTCAGTATTTTTAGTATGAAATTATTCAAAACCCTCAAACAATTATTCTCCTTCTTTCATTAATACATCCTTAATTGTTTCAAAAGATGTAAATGGTCTATGGATAGGTTCTAAGTTAAAAATATGATAACTATTGTATTTATCATATCTAGCAACTTTATAATTATATGAATGAGGATCTATGTTCAAAAATCCTAACTAATATTAAGATTCTACTGTAACAGGAAACTATATATTAGAGTTTAGTCTGAAGACGATATTCTAAGGAATACAATGAGGTATATTTTAATTTATAACTATAATCTCTTTAAGTTTAGAAACATCTATATTACTGCCAAATTTAAACTCAACAGTGTATTAATTTTTACGCTTTTTCTTTTATATCTGTTTAGATAACTCCACGGTTTTTTCTTAATTTATTGTTTTTTACACTGTTAGAAAATGAGACATCCTTTAATCTAAAAGTTATATTAATTATTAGTATTTTAAATGGAGAATAAATCTTTATAAATACGCATTAAATATATAAATAATTACAACATTACATGACAATAATTATTATAATTCAATGTTAATTTTGAAATTAAATGGAAATATCAATATAATTCTGTTATAAATTGTATCTTTTTTTGACTTTAATAATGCTTATTATATATTTATGCTATTTATAAATAAAAATATTTTCATTTCTATCAAAAATTAAGACAAAAAGATAAAGTGAATAAAGAATAAGACTATTTTAATTTTATATTTTTGAATATTTTTAAATCTAAATTTTACTGTCAGAAAATAGGAATGATAGATAATTTATAAATATCTTATGATGTTAGATTAAATACAATTGATTATTTATAAATATCTTACAATGTTAGAATAAATATAATTGATTAATGTATAAACTGAAACATAATTATATTATTTTTTATCATTATGGGGCACCTCCTGCTTATTTGCCAGCTCTCATAATCTAAATAAATTATATCTATGATTACTTCATCGACTAACAATAATTATTAAGCTAAAGTTGGGGCAATATTTAACCAAGATCTTTTAGAACAATAATTATCAAAAATGCCATTAGCAATAGGAGCAATAAAACCTTATTCATTAACATTTACACCAACAGGTATATTATTTTTAATATATTCATCAGTAACTTAAATTAAAGTTTCTTAAACATCATATCCACAATTTTCAGCAAGTGCTTTTGGAATAACTAATAAAGAATCAGCAAAAGCTTAAACTCCTAATTTAGCTTTTCCAGCAACAGAATCTTTAAACCTTTAAAGATGAACACTAGTAGCAATTTCAAATGCACCAGCTCCAGGAATGACACATTTATCTTCAATAGCATTTTTAACAGCTCTTAATCCATCTCTAATAGCATCTTTAATTTATGCAATTGTATGTTCATTTGGTCCTCTAATTAGTATTGTACATGAAGTAGGATTTTAAACTCCTTCAATAAATGTATATTTCTCTTCCCCTAATGTATATTCTCTTAACTATTTTAACTTTATATTAAATTATTACCACTTCACAATATCCAAGATCATTTTCTGTTAAATCTTCAACTGCATTAACAGAATTACCACCACAAGCTTTTGCTATTCTTTCCATATTTCTTTTTTTAGCTCTTCTAATACCAACAATGCCTTCTTTAGCAAACATTTCTAAACAAACTGGATCAATTCCTTTTTAATTTATAACTGCAAATCCATAACCATTCTTTTCACAAACCTTTCTTTTAAAATCAATAATTTATTAGCATTTATCATCTGTCAATTTTCTTTCAGATCTTGCTAATTTCTCTCTATCTTCTGCTGTATTATAAAAGAATCCACTATGAACCTATTTATTAACTAATTATATACTTCTGTTTTTTCATATTCCAAAGAAACATTCAAATTTAAAATATAACATTTCTTCACAAATTTTGGCATATCTGGATGTCTTGCTCCATGATCTAAAACCAATCCTCTAATCAATTCTGTCTCTGCTCCCATTTTATGTTACATATGCATAATCTCAACCATAAATAAATCTATTGGTTTCTCATGTACTTATACTATTTAAACTGCATCTACTACTATCTCAATAATTCTAAATAATTTCTTAAAATATTATAATACTAATTTGCAACATCAGGTGTCAATTTACTATTTAATGAAGTTCTAGCCACATTTATTAATACTGCTTTATCAATTTACTAATATTTGAAACCATCTAGAAATTATAAAGCCTCCTTTCTTGCAAGTTCATATCCTTCTGTAATTACTCTTGGATGAATTCCTTCTGCCAATAATCTTTCTGCTTATTTCATTAATGCGCCAATTAGTAAAACGTTGCTAGTTGTACCATCACCAATTATATCATCTTAAGCTGTAGCACTTCTAGCTATCATAGCTGCAGTTGGATGTTAAATCTACATTTCTGATAATAAAACAGCACCATCTTTTGTAAGTTTAATTTATCCAGCCCCTCCAACAAGCATTTTTAATGTACCTTTAGGTCCTAAATTTGATTTCATGACTTCCATTAAACCAGCTGCAGCATTTATATTCATTGCTAATGCTTAATATTTACGAAGCACTTCAGCTTTAGAGTTGACAAATTACACACTACTCATTATTAATTAAAAAAGAAATTTAATTTTTAATTTTTTAAGATTTGTAAATATGATCATTTATCTTAAAAACTTACGCCATTCCCTATTTATTTTAAGGCTTCCTATATTGCATTAGCTTTACTAATTAATGATTTATCTACTGTATTTGTAATTCCTTCATTCAACCCCCAAATATTCTTAAAAAAATCTTATGAATTAGCACCATCATCAAGATCCTTTTATCTATTTTCAACATATGTTTGAATATTCTATATTTCATCAAAAACTGTATTATATTCTTCAATTTTTGAATTATATAATTCAATTGTTGTATCTTTATCTTAAAGAATTGCTTATCTTCTATCTTCATATAATTATTAGTTTCTATTAGCTTGACTAATCAATTCAATCCTATAATCAATAGTATTCATCCAAAATTAATCTAAGAGTTATTCTAAATCTTTTAAGACTTTTCTGTCTTTAAAATCCAATTGAAGTAATTCTTATAAAGAACTAGCTAATGTTAATAAAGGAGAATCAGATTTAATCAAATTTGTGATTTTATTATGAAATTCTTATAGGGATGATTTAATCTCTACAAATGAATTTCCTCCAGAACCTCCTTGTAATAATTCTTTTACTTATTTTCTCATCTAAATATATTTACTTATATTAATACTTAATCTACTGATTGTAATGCAAAACTTACATCATCCATCTCTTATTTGGCAGACTCTTTCATTTTTAAGAAATCTGCTTCATTAATTTTCAAATCTTATTTTTGTTAATCTAATATTCCAGCCCGATATTTTAATGCTTCATCAAGTTCATTCTTATAAGGAGTCAATTAATGATTTAATTTTGTTTTATGTTTTGCCAAATCTACCTTTATTTAACTGATAGTTCTATCATGTAAAATAATAAGCTATTATTTTAATATGTCTTTTACTTTTTAAAGTAATGCTGATTTTTATTGATTAGTATCATTTTCAATAGATCTTACATTTTAGACATCACATAATAAATCTGAAATTGCTGATGATAAATTAGGCCAATTTAACTTTGTTCTTTCAGGATCTGTAGAAGACAATTGAGTAAAAGCTTCTGCTAAATCCTACTAAGCAAAACCTATTACTATAAAAACGGTGATTAATATTAATTTTTTCATTAAAATATATAGTTCTATGTATTTATTTTTCTTTTTTTTGATTCTCCTATCATATTTTATGTATAAATTATCTAAACTAATATTTTTCTTTATTTAAGCTAAATCCTCATTTTTTATTCTTACTTTTATTAATATATCAAATATTCCTTATTAATTAAATTATGATATAAAGGTTTGCATAATTAGCATAATTAAAATCTATTCAAAGATTTTCAAACATATTTGTTGCTCATAGAAATAGAGACGATAACAGTGATTCAGTACCATTTGATTTTACAGATGAAAATTACAAAAAAATAGAAGCTATTTTAGCAAAATTCCCATCAAATGAGAAAAAATCAGGTACCATACCTTTACTTATGCTTGCATAAAAATAAAATAATAATTTTTTAAGTTTATCAGCAATGAAGAAGGTTAAAATAAATTATTATTTCTTAGATAGCTAAAATTTTGGAAATCCCAGAAATGGATGTCTATGAAACAGCATCATTTTATTCTATGTTTAATAGAGAAAGAGTTGGAAAATTCCATCTTTAAGTATGTGGAACTACACCATGCTAATTATGTGGATCTAAAGATATAATTAAAACTATTGAATAAAAATTAAATATTAAAAATGGAGAGACAACTGCTGATGGTTTATTTACACTCTAAGAAGTAGAATGTTTAGGAGCTTGTGCAAATGCACCAATGATGTAAGTTAATAATGAATGGGTTTATGAAGATTTAACACCAGAAAATACTGTAATTTATATTATAAATAGTTATAGTTAAAGCTATTAGAAGATCTTAAAAATGGAACAGATAAAAAAGGACCATAAAATGGTAGAAAAAATGCTGAAGGTCCTTAAGGTAGAACTACTTTATAAAATATTGCAAATCAATAAGATATCAAATATGATAGGAACTTTGAAGCTGCAAAGAAAGAATGGTTAGATCAAAAAGAGAAAGAAAGACTTGAGGCTGAGAAAAAGAAGTAAGCAGCCTAATAAGCCAAAAAATGATGTTCATTTTTAATAAACATAAAAGAAGAATAATTATTTTTCATTATAAAGCTTTATCAAAATATTAATTTCGGTATGCTCAATATTTTCCCTTTCTTTTACTTTAAAATTAAATAGATTTTGTAAATTTAATTGATTGATTAATTATCTTGTTTTTTATACAAGTTATTTGAATAATAATGATAAGAAAAGTTGAAATAAAATAATCAGAAAGGAAAGATAAATTTTAAAAATTATCTTCTCATAAATTTAAAAAATAGTTATGTAATTAAAAGAAAAGATATTCATAGTTTATTTAAGATTTCATTAAATTATTATAATTTAAAAAATGAATTTGTATTTGATTGAATAAAAGTATTATAAATACTTAATTTATAATGAATATTGAATACTTTTATAGATATTAATAGAGTAAGATTAGAACATAATTATTTGAGATTGATTGAATAATTATTTTGGTTGTTATATAAACACATTTAATATAAAAAAATTAAAAAACGGCATGAAGAGCCTATTGTTATTGTTATTTGTTGGTGTATTGTGTTAGAATGAAGTTGACACAGTAGAAAAATTGTTGGCTGACCTAAAAGGAGCATCAGCAGTTGAACTTACAGCACTCAATACAGATTACACAGTTTCCAAAAATGTATTGAATGTTTATACACCTTTTAGCTGAAAGAGAATATCATTTTTAATTTGGGCAAAGCCATTTAAGAATAAAACTTTTTATGCGCAAGTCGAGATAAATCAGTTTCTGATAGGGAATCTGACATTGATAAAACCAATAAATTCATTGCTTATTTATAAAGAAGACTTGTTGAGAATGCAAAAAGAGTGGAAACTCTTGATAATAATAGGTAGTAGATAGAAATATAAAATAGATGCACACATTCATCCAATTATATTGAAAGAGTTAAAAATGATAATATGACATTAAGACTTATAATATTTTTGAGAAATTCTCTATAAAACTTAGATAACAATTAATTAAATAGATATGGAGCATATGTTGAGAAATTCTTAACAATGTATAAGTCAGCAAAAATGTCAGAGCTGGTTGAATTGGCTCATGAGTTTGCTGATACAATGTTCATAGATTGGACTTAAGTAACACCATCTTCATAAGGAAATATTAATACAGTTAAAGGGTAATTGATTGAAATGCTTAATGATATGGAGAGATATATCAGAGAATAAATAAAGAATTCTTAAAATTTAGAAATTACTACTGGAGTCACATTAGCTGATTTCAAGGGAGCAATTGATATAGAAAATGAATAAATCAATTATGACCTTTCATCTGAAGAGAAGAATCTCATTAAACTATAAGAATAATTAGTCTAAGCTAGATTAGCTGCAGTTAATTGTAGAGAAAGAGGTGTAGCTATACAATAATAGTAATAAAGAGCAATTGAAGTAATACTTAATATAATATATATAAAGGACTTAAAAATTGAAGAAGTCTAATATAATAAAAATAAAGCTAGATTACAAGAGGAACTTAATTTATTCACTGATGTCTACAGAATCTATTCCACTTAAGTTGGAACATCTGAAGACAAATTCAAATAAAGAGTCGATGATTATGTAAATGACAGAGTAATCACTTTATTATATGTTAGTAAGTACAATCATATGAGAGATCAGAATATTCATTAAGTGATGCTGTAAGGAAATAAGTCTAACATGAATGATTTATCAATTCAATTTAATAATATAATACACATTCAATAATTAATTTATAATATAAAAATGAGCTTAATCCGTTTTAATTTATTGATATTGACTATAGGAGTATGTTTATCAGCCATGACACCATAAGCCTCATTATTGATGAAATCATTTCATTAAGTATTAACAAATATTTAGTGCAATAGTTCAGCTAAAGTCCATACAGTGATTAATTAAAGGAATTAGTACAAATTAAATTGGAAACGGGAGCTTAAGTTGATGAAGTTTTAAAACTCATTAAAGAATTATTAGATTCATTAAAATAAGATTAAGTTGATGATGATGTTGAACACTCAAGATAAATGGCAGTTTTTGATTAAAATATTAATGAATTAGAAGATGATCTCTCTAAATTAAATACTGATTTGGCAAATGCAAATGTTCTCATTTAAACTTTAGCTGAATTGTTGGTGATTTTAAGAGAAACTATTATTACATATGAAAAGTAATTGTCCATTTTAAATGAACAAGAATAATTTATCAGAAATGCCAGAGCTGCTGATGTTAAAGCTTATAATAGAAGAGTTGAATCAGCAAAGAAAGTTATTAATGCATTAAATCTCATAATCGATAAATTAAGCAAAGCTGTTGATTAATAAACAACTGATGAAAATAGATAAGCTATTTTAGCCTAAATTCATACTGAATGTCATGAATAATTTGGACCAAACCATCCAATCACTATTTTGATTAAATTGACTACTAGATTCGATGTTCCAACTGTTTAAAGAATTTTAGAAAAATTAGTATAAATTAGAGATGCAGCTAACAAAAGTTTAAATGAAGATATTGCAGCTGAAGAAGTGGCATCTACCAATTTCAACAATTCTATGAATGAAATTGAAACTTTAAGAAAAAGATTATCAACTGATCTTGAAAACTTAAATCAATAATTCAATGATAAATTCAATTAGCAAGTAAGTTCCTTAAGAATTATTAATAGAAAATTGTTTTGGCTCAAAAAGAATAATTATTAATTGATATTCCTATCACAGAAGAATTGCTTCAATTAACAAAAGAATAATAAGAATAATATCATTAAGCTTATATTAGCAGATAAACTTAAAGGTATTATTAATCTATGATTATAATCAAGACTCTCTGAAATTGAAGTTGTTTAAAAAGCCTACAATCTAGTTTTCGATCATGTAGATTCAGTTAAAAAATCAGAAGATCTTACAGCTAAACTTAGTAGTTGATTTATATAATAATCAATAATAAATTATCCAAAATTCTATTTAAATTTTTCATTATTATTTTATTCAAATTCTTTTATAAAGGTAATATACTAAATATATTTTTTATCATAAAATCTATATAAAAAGCTTACACATATATTAATTTAAAGTCAGATTTGTAGATTTCTCATATTAAATGAAAAGTGATTTATTAATTCCATAACTATTGTAAAATATAAATAAAATTAATCAAAGCAACAATTTTAACTAATCAGTATCTGAACCCAAATTACTCTTAAATAATTTCTAAACCTATAATTTAATCTTAAATAATGTTTACATATTTAAGATTATGTTTGATTGCAGCAGGATATACTTTTTCATCGGTAAATAAAAGAAGTATGAAAGTATTTTAAGTAAATTCTTCAATAATTACATGAAATTTTTTGGATTTTACCATAATAGTTTTAATATCAATTGCAGCCGTCTTGCAAGACAATTTAAATTATTTGATAATGTTAGATATTCTCTCATATTTTAAAATATCTAAATTTACTCTTAATTTTAATACCTTTTTTTTCACTTAGATCCTCAAAATCTATAACAAGATAACTTTATTTTTCAAATAAAACAATTTCATCACAACTGCATTTATTACATAAAGATTTTAAACTTTTACGAATTATATCTCTTTCTGGTAATAAATTTTAAACAATTTATGACCATGCTTTATATAAAGTTTCATCCCAAATACAAGTTGCAAATACATCCTTCACTTCTATATTAAGTCCTTCTGCTTCTTGTATAATTCTTTTGTATTTGCGCTATAAATTATTATAATCATTACCTCAAAAACCATTTTTTTATCTGATTCCTTTATTTTATCAAATTTGTTTATTAAAATAAAGACTTTTGATGAAGGAGAATATTCAGATAAATTTGTAAGTGTAGATCTAAAAGTATTCATTTCAGATGTAAAGGATTATCCTTCCATTTCAACATCAAATAAATATACTAAAACTTCGACATTAGAAAAAATAGTTTCTTTAAACTCTGTTAAATATTATTTCAAAAGTTAAGGCTAAGAAATATATTTTAAAATTACCTAGCCTGGTATGTCAAGTAAATGTATTTTAAGATTTCCCATAAATTTAATCTAAATTTAAGAAACATTTGTTGTGACACCAATTTACATTAAATCTTTTGGAGGAGCACATGCAAATATAACTTTATGCATTGAAGATTTTCCTGCCTTTTATTAGCCCATTAGTAATAATTTCTTTAACAAATTTTCTTTATGATTGTACATGATGAAAAGAAATTTATTATTAATTCTTTAATTAGTATGAATGAAATTTATATAGAACTTATATAGAATTATTCTTTCATAAAATTTAAAATAAATATTGGCTTTATATTCCTAAAACTGTTTTTACAAATAAAACATCTATATTTGTTTGTTCAATCAACTATTTCAAATACTAATTTAACTCATTGATTTTTCTCATGTATTATAATCATATCAAATGATGTTAAGAAATAATTTATAAGAAGAAAGGAAATAAAATAATTGGATGATTAAATAGATTTAATTTAGTAATAAATTTAATTACAAATGTTTTGATAAATGTAAAAAAAAGTTGTTTTCATAAATTCGTTTTATATTATTTAATAAAATATGTAATAATAAAGTGATGAATAGATAAGGTTGAACATACCAGCAGAGTAATATTAATTACCATAATAACTTGATGGTACAAATAAATGATTATATAAAGGCTATGCTTAGCCAGTAATGTTCAAATGCAGTAGTTGCTAAGTTGAAGCAGTATCTATACTATAACATAAACCAGGGACACATACCTGGTTGTGTTGTCTTACTCTTTGCATTTTTGGAGCATTTTTAGCTTTCTTACCATTTTACATGAAAGATTGCTAAGATGTTACACATGTTTGTCCAGCGTGTAGTCAAGCAGTATAAATATTTGGAATATATAATAGAAAGGAGTAAGACAATTTAAAGCGTGCTGATGAAATAAGACATATTATAATCAAAATATATATTAAATTATAAAAGCTATGTCGACATATTCTTTATATCCTGTAATGCATGAGGCAAATACATTTGAAATATTTTCGATGCTTTTATAAATAGGGCTTGATAGAGCCAACAATACTAAGACAATATAGTAACGACTTAATCAAACAGAGCATATTAAAACTCCAACCGATTTCTTATCATTTGTTAATGTTAATGAGAAATGCCTATCTTAATCTCTTAAATAAGAGAAATAAAGAGTTGAATAGGAATTTGCACTAATAGAAATGTTAGTCCCTAACAAATCGAAAACACATTTGATGTATAAGGTTTGTTTGATGAAGGTCTTTCTATCATTTATCACTAAAACTAATAACTTAGTGGTTACCTTAATTCCAAGTAAAGGTGAACTTGTCTGGCGAATTTTTAGATGTAGCAGAACTTTATGGTTAATTTTTTATTGCATCGGGAATGAACCATAGATTACAATAAATACAAGCAATAAAGAAGAATAATCTGTATGATAAAGTAATAGAGGGATGATTATATTTAGATTCCCTTTATGCCTTTACTTATGAAGTGGTTACATGAATATTGCAGATCATAATTTAATAAATTATTCTCTTCTCTTTATGAAACTATCACACTTATGAAAACTAACTATGTAATTATTATATATTTTATTTATTTAGAGACAAATTGTTAACAAACCAAAAGAAGAAATATTTTCACCTAGAGTAAATAAAATGCCAATAAATAGACCTACTTCATGTATCATTAACAAAACAAGAAGTATTAGTAATTACAGCATTCGTAAAACATCTTAAGTCGCAACGAAACGCAACAATAATTAGCCAGTCTCCAAATTTATTAATTTAATTTCTGATGTTATAGATATTGATCTTACTCATTATGACTAATAAACTCATAAAAAAAAAGAATAAATATTTACTACTCTTTGGAGTAAAAATATTCATGTCAGAACTACACATGAAAAATACCAATCAACCTATGGTATTCAAAAACCATAAATTTCATCCCATTTTTTCAGCACTCAAAATAAAAGACCTAACAGCTTTTTTAAACATTCATTTCATATAGACAATAATCTTAGTTTATTTTGATTAATAGTTTTGTTTTATGTTTTTTTCGTATCTATATAATTTATAATCAATATTTAAATTGATCTCTTAGAATTTTATTTTCTTATAAAATCTAATCTAATTTATCTATTATTATTAGAAGTATCTGATCTATATTTTTAATATTCCTATTTAATTGGCCTCTCTATTTATAACTCATCTAATTTAATATCCTAATCTTCTACTTTCTTTTATAAATTATTCTTTTGATATCTATTCATCAGAAATATTAAGGTATTTTTTTCTTTTCATCTAATCCTAATTAATTCTTAATATCTTTTTCTGAATTTAAAAGTTCATTATTTATTAATTAATACATTTTCATTTCTTCACTTAATTTAATATTCTCTTTAAATAATACTTAAATTTTTAATTCATCTAAATCTAATAAATTCTTATTAGATATCATTGAATTTAATTTATATAAATTCAAGTTCAATTTTTTTTCAATAACTTTGTTAGCATTTTTTTAGATAGTATTAATTTTGTTAGAAATTATCATACTTTAATTTATAAGTTCATGATTATTATCTTAATAAATACTTAATTAGGATAAACAATTTTATCTAAGGAATATTTATATTAAGAATTAATTTAAACAAGTTCTCTAATATTATCGATCTTAACATTATATAAAAATCTATTGCTATTGTTTGCATAAATCTCTAAAATTACTCAATTTAGTTTCTAGGTTGTTGATAATATCATCATTTAGATTTCTTCTCAAATCTCCCTAATGTGTAATAAGTAGATTATTCTCATCCTATAAAGATTATAAACATGTAATTTGTGATCTTAAATTTCATCATAACTTTATGTTTTATTTTATGTCTATAGAAATTATTACATTTCATTAGTCTATAAATCTAAATGTTTTTTGATTACTATATTATAATTAATCAATCTTTCAATCATAGTAGTTAATTCAAAGATATAATTAGATTATTTGAAGAATTGTCGTTATCATATTAGGTATTATTTAAATCTTATGTTTTAATATTTAATTGCTATAATAAAGGTGATATTTTAGCAGGATCAAGTAATAAATTTACATTATCAAATTAATATTATTTTGTTTATGCATATTTGAAATATTGTAAATATTTTTGATTATTTTAAAAAACATATCCAAAGGTTGTATTTGGATCTTCAATAATAAGTTTAGATAAATATTAAGGAGAAGGTCGTTTTGATTGCATAATTTTATTTTAAATTTAACATACAATACATTTTCATTTAAGAGATTAATTTTCTCCAAATTTTTCTTCTATCCATCTCATTGTAATAGATCCAGGTCTTTCAATTGGTAATCCAAATGCTCTAGCCCAAACCAAATTTGCAGTACATCCAAGTGCTCTTGAAACAGCAAAAACTACTGTATAATATTCAAATTCTTTCAATCCATAATGATTTAATAAAACTCCTGAATGTGCATCAACATTAGGCCATGGATTCTAAATTTTACCTATTGTTTTAAGAACTGGTGGAATAACATGATAACATTATTTAACAAGTTCAACAAGTGGATCATTCTTAATTAATCTTTCTGCAAAATTCTTTTAATGAATATATCTTGGATCAGTATTTCTTAAAACAGCATGTCCATATCCTGGTACAACTCTTCCTTCTCTAATAGTATTAAGAACATATTCTTATATTTTTTCATTTGATACTTTATCACCTAATTTTTCCTATTTTGTATAATAATATATTTTACTCTAATTTCAATCAACCATTTAAGAACTTCTTAATTTGCTAAACCATGAAGAGGTCCTGCTAATCCATTTATACCAGCTGAATATGATAAATATTAATCAGCTAAAGCAGATCCAACTAAATGTGTAGCATGTGCACTTACATTTCCTCCTTCATGATCTGCATGAATACTTAAATACATTCTAAATAATTCATATGCATCAAATTAATTAAAACCCATCATATGAGAATAATTTGCTGCCCAATCTAATGAATTATCACTACTTATTAAATCTCCATTCTTTTTATATATAATTATTTATTTACTTTATATTTATGTCTATAAATTAATGCTGCTACTCTTGGAATTTTAGCAACCAAGTCCATTGCATCTTCATAATAATACTCCCAATATTATGGTTTAGATGCTTTTCCGCTTTCATAAGCCTTTTAAAATGTTGAGTCTTTTTGTAAATATAAAATGCTTGATGACAACATTGTCATTGGATGCAATTATTTTGGAAGACTTGTTATGAATTTTATCGTCTCTTAATCTAACTCTCCTCTTCTTCTCCATTCTTCTTAAACAAATTTAAATTCTTAATCTGATGGAAAATCACCTGTTAATAACAACCAAAATAAAGCCTCTGGTAATGGCTCATTACCATTCTTTGCCTTTTAAAGATATTCTTATATCTCAGGAATATTGTAATCTCTAAATGTAATACCCTATCAATTAATATTATAAACTACAGTTTTTGAATCCAACAATGAAATATCATAAAACAATCCAAATACATTTCTCATTCCTCCTATCGCTTAATCAACAGTCACTTTACAAATCTCTTTCTAACCATATTACTTTCTAATATCTCTTAACAAAGCTTATTTTATTGGAATAATCTCTCTTAATCTATCTTTTAACAAATTAGATGAATGGAAAATGCTCTTGCTGTTCAATTATTTCAAAATGTGTTACATTTATTATCAATATTTAAATATTTAAAACAAACATTTTAAACCATATCTTATGCTCATATTCTTAAAGTGTGCAATTTATAAGCGTATTATTAATTAACATTAATTAAATCACTATTTATTATAATATGTATTGAATTAATATATTATTATTTTCTTCTATTATAAATTTCTATTCATTATTTGATATTAAAAATATCCTAAATATTTTATTATAAAAAATCTTTAATTCTATAATTAACAATTTTCTTGCCTTTTCTTAATGAAGTTATATGTACTATTTATAATCTATATTTATAATTGGATAATTAATTCTTCTAACTAAACCAATTTTACACTATGTTGAATAATAGAGTATATTTAGATTTCTAAAATAATGTTATGAATTTAGAATATATTTGAGTCTTGGATCAAATGTCAACTAAAACAATTAGAATGGTAATAAAATTGGGGGTAATAATGAGAGAAATGGGAATAATATGGCATAATTTGGACTATTTAATTATAAAATATATGATTAATAATTGAGATGACGAGATATTAAATTTTTAATATAAATTTTTATAATAATTATTTTAGGATATATATCTTAAAATATATTAAAAATATGCTTAATTAATAATAATAAAAAATAAAATGGATACACAAGCCTACTCTAAGATTTCAAATGCTGCATTAATTTAGGAACTTTATAGAAGGTATAGATGTTAAGAAGAAGCATTACGAAAAAGGATAGTATTGTTAGGAATGCCTGGAGCTGGTAATGAATAAGAAATATAATAAATATAGGTAAGGGAACACATTCAGCAAAAATGTTGGCTCGTTTTTGTATGTGTCATTTATCGACAGGAGATTTATTAAGAGAAGAAGTAAGATCAGGAAGTGAATTTGGAAAGAAATTAAAAGGGATAATGGAGAGAGGAGAATTAATAGAGGATGAAGTGATGTGCAATTTGATAAAATAACAATTAGCTAAGTATATTAATTTGTTATTTAAGACCTGCTTGTGCTAATGGTGCAATTTTAGATGGATTTCCTCGTACTATTCCTTAAGCTGAAAAACTTGATTAAATTCTTAAATAAAGTGGATAATCAATTGATTAAGCAATATTCATGAATGTTCGTGAATAAGTTGTTGTTGATCGTCTTGGAGGAAGATGGACTCATTTAAATTCAGGAAGAACTTATCATTATAAATTCAATCCACCTAAGGTTCATGGAGTAGATGATATTACTGGAGAACCACTTGTTTAAAGAGAAGATGATAAAGAGGCTACAATTAGAAATAGACTAAATGTTTATTAGAATAAAACATCACCTATTATAGATTATTACAGAAAGTAATTAAATTTAATATTAATTTTAGAAAAGGAATTTTATTTGAAGTTAATGCTGAAAGACCAGTTAATGATATTTGGAAAGACATCAAGACTATTGTTAAAACCAAATGATTTCATATAATTTAACTTATTTTTTTAGTGTTTACCAATTTCGTATTAATAATTAATTATATAATAATATATGGTTAAAATCATATAGGCTACTAAATTGCTTAAATCAAGACGTCTATAAAGGTTAAAATTAAGTAAACTATCATTATAATCCAAATAAATTAGTGGCGATAATAAATAATAAGAAACTAAATAAGTACAAATTATAAATGAAGATTAATTCATTACTCACATTGAACCAATTAAATAATTACTACCATTTTATTAAGGGGGCAAAATATCAATAATAAATAATGTGATATATACTTGCTTTAATTTTTGTGTTTAATACCTAGAGAAAAAGATCTAACATAATTAAGAAGAAATAGCCAATTTTTGTGTAAGTAACTTAAATGATTATATTGCAACATTTACAAAGAACTATATGCTCAGATATGTTAGATTAAATGATCATATCACTTAATTTACAATCAAAACAGATCCACTATTTGCTATTGACATGTAATTTAGTCCTGAAGATGTGTATTTAGCTTTAGGTGGCACAAATTGTATGGTTAAAATAATAAATGTGAAAAAAAATTAATAAAGTACAGAATTTAGAGTAAGTGGAAGTGTTCTTAAATTATAATGGATTCCTATTATGAGAAAATTATAAATTGCAATTGCTACAGATGATAGACGCATTTCATTATTTGATTTAGTAGCAAATAGAATACTATGTGCTTTTGTAGATTTCAACAGTAGAATAACTCATATTTAATTCAATTAACATATTTTAATATCAAGTTGTAATAAATATATTAAATTTTGGGATACAAGTATATAAAAATTGACAGAAACTATAGAATTTGATATTGAAATTGAAACCTTCATTTATTTAAAAAATACATTAATCATTGGTACTGAATCTGGAGATTTACATATTAAATAGTAAAATAAAAAAATTGTAATAGATTCACAATTTAATGGATAATAAATTTTGAAGTTTATGACTTGTAATGAAAAGTTGTATATTGTCACAAGTGAACTACATATTTATATAACAGAATTAGTTTCTGGTCAAATATAATAATAAAAATTATTGTTAGGATATAATGATGAGATTCTTCATGCAAAATTTATCAAAAATAATCAATTGCTTTTAGCTACTAATTCACCATTTATGAAGTATAATAATAAATATATATATTAGGATATTAAATTTAGATAATATGGATGTTATAGCTTGGAAAGCTCATTATAGTGTAATCATGTGTTGTGAATTTATTGATGATTTAATAGTTACAGCTTCTAAAGATAATTGTGTTATTATATTCAAATATAAAGGATTCAAATAACCTATACAATTACATAAATATAGTGGACATTCTGATGATGTTATATGTATAGATGTCAATTCTAAATATATTGCATCTGTTTCAAAAGATAAGACTCTTAAATTATGGGATTTAAAAAATTATTAATCAGAATAATCTATAAAAACTGTTGTTGCTCATGAAAAAGAAATGAATTGTGTTAGATTCTCACCTAATAATAAACTAATTGCTACTTCCTCTTAAGATAGACTAATAAAGTTATGGGATGATAATTTAATGAATAAAATGATACTTAAAGGTCATAAAAGAGGAGTATGGGACATATAATTCTCTCCAATAGAAAAAATATTAGCTTCTGCCAGTGGAGATAATACTATTAAGCTTTGGAATCTTAGTGATGGTTCTATTATAAAATCCTTTCAAGGAATTGCTCCATAATTAAAAGTTTCATGGTTAGCTAGAGGATCTGAATTAATAAGTACTGATTCTATTGGTAATATTAAATTATGGAATGTTAAAAAATAATTATGCATCAATACTTTCTCTTAACATACAGGCAAAATCTATGCTTTAGATATTAAAAGAGATAATTAAGATGTTTATATTATTACTGGAGCTAATGATTCAAATCTAATCTTATGGAAAGATAAAACAGAATAAGTTACTTAATAATAACAATTATAATAACATGAAATTAAAATCAAGTTATAAACTTTTTAAGATTTGATAAGAGATAAACTTTTTTTAGATGCAGCTTTTCTTGCATTTTAGAATAATTATATAAAACATTTTATCTAAGCTGTCACTCAAATTTATAAGTATATATTATTTATATTTCAGACAAGAAGATTATGAAAATGTTGTCTCTCTGTTATCATAAAAGATGGCAAAAGAAGATTTATTAAAATTCTTACAACTATTGATTACTTTAAATTAAAGCAAAAAGACATATTAAGCTGCATAACATTTATTCTTTTATTCAATTAAATTAATTAATGTCAATGAATTTAAAGATGAAAAAAGAGAATTAGTAAAAAAATTGTTGTAATAATTAAAATATTTAACATCAAAATGTTTTGATAGATTAGAAAGTAATTATTCTTCTTAGTTTTTAATAAAATTCATGATAGATAAGTCTAAAATTGTTGTATGATTAATAATGTTTATTATAAAGTATTATTAAAAATTTTTTCTTTATTCCTTTCATAATCTGTTCTATAATCAGTATGTTTTAATTAATTCTTATTTTAACCCCTTTAATAATCTTTAAAATAGTTCAAAATAAAGTTTTCTTAATTATTTTTATAACTTACCTTCATGATTGATTTAACTCTTAGTTTTTCTAAAAAATTCAATGTTTTTGTATCTAACTTAAATATAAATTAAAGAATGGAAGGAAAATCTATTTTAAAGATTAATTTTTCTATAGTTATAAGTTTAACCTTGTGAATATAATTCTCCAATGTTTTTATTTGAATTTTTTATGATAAGATACTATTTAAATTGTCTATTTGAGTATTGAAAATATGACTAATTTTTAAATGAATTATTCTTAAAGCATTTAATTATTAATTATATGTTTGATTAGTTTTATTTATATACAAATTTAATTTCTTTTTATTTCAATTTTATGATTGAATTTAATAGCATAAAAAGTTGTGATAAAATACTTTATCAAAGACAACCTTCAAAACAGAATTCATGTACTCCAAAAAGTGTGTTTACTCCAAATACTTCTCCAAATTCTAGATTAAGAATACTAAGTCCAACAAATAAATTAGATTCCACAGAAAAATTCAATAGAACTTAAAATAGCACCCAATAATTTTAAAATATGATAAGAAGAGATTTAATAAAAAAGAAAATGAATCTATTAACAGCCACATTATAAACAAATAAGACTGAAATTATTAAGGAAGAGAATGCATTCAGTGATAGATTACTTATGAGTAGTTTTGAGAATTTTGTTAATGAAACTGATTAAAAACTTTAGAAAATTTGTCATTGGATTAGTAAATCACCATAAAGTATTTCAAATTCTTAACCCATAATTCCTGTAAAGGAAGGACAGATAGAAAATTTTGAAAAGAAAATTATAAAGTATTATATTTTATCAATATAGAACTAAATAAATATTAGAAGAGAAGAGATAATAACTTAAATATGCCAAATAATAATACTAATAAAATAAATAATTATTAAAATAAATGAAATTTGAATTAGATTAATTGAATGAAGATCAAAAGATTCTAGAAATAAGTACAACTAATAGATCTTTAAAAGATGAAATAGTTTATAATAGACAGAGTATAATTAAACATAAATAAATATTAACAAAGGTGGATTAATTCATCAATAAATATTTGAAAGAGTAATTATTAACTGAGGATTGTTAATTTGGAAAATATATAAGTAAATTTAATAACATCTATATGTAAATGCTAATAACACTTGATAAATAAATCTGAATATATATTATAAAATTTACTATATTAATAAATAATGAGTTTAAATTTTGATATGAATTGTAAGGCTTAATAATAAGATTAAAAGTCTGAAAAAGCCACAATAACTTAGGATAGTTAAAAAGAGAGACAATTTATAATTTAAACTTGGAAGAGTTAGAATAAATAAAAGTCTAAGATAAATTATTCGTAAGATAAGTTATAAACATAAAGTAAATATGCAAAAATATAAATCCTTTTTGAACAAAAGAAATCTATCAATCTTACTTCAGAACGTTCTACTTAAATGTCAACAGAAACAGATTTATTTAATGATAAAATCATTGTTAAAAATTAAGAAAGAATGAAAATTATACAAAAATTATAGGAAATTCGTTTACAAAATGTTCTAATGAAATAAAAAACAAAGTCTTCAAATGATCTTTATAAAGAATACTAATAAGAATAAAATAAAAAATTGGATACATAAAATGTTATCCTCTTTGAGAAATTAAGATAGTATTCATATAATTTATAAGTAAAGCTGCAAAAATGAGATTGATCAATAAAAACAAAGTTTATTAAATGGTGAGATAAATTTGTAGGAATAGTAAAAGGAATTAGAGATTTTGAAAGAACAATTATAATTCGTTAAAGATTCGATATTATAAATAAAAAATTAAAATATGGACAGAACCAAAGAATTAAGTTGTAAATTGTAAATAAATTAAATCAAAGAAAAATAGTTATTAACACAAATGGTATAATATATTGAATCTTTATAAGATCAATATAATAAACATTTATATGAATTTAGAGATTACTTATTATAATTAAAGCATAACATTAATTCAATAAGAATGGATTAAGAATATGATATAAATTAATGAAATAGTATTATTACACTAAATCAATTGTTAAAATACATCTCATACAATAATAATTACTCTTTTAATTTGTGATTCCATTTTTTTTATAAATTAGTATCAAAATAATGATTAGTTTCTTCATCATAATCTTTTTCAATTTTAAGAAAAGTTCTTAAATTGGTTTAAAAGATGGAGTTGATTTCAGATGAATGATTATCTGATTTTAAAATACCTAATTATTCAATTTATCTTTTAAATTCTAAAGCACATAAACATCCTATTAAATAATGTCCTGTTTCATGTTCTAATAATTCATCATCGGAAGTTTATTTAGCCCATGATTTTTCTAGAAATTTGCATGAAACTTATAATTTAATTTTCTATCTTGTTGGTGATTATCTTTTAAGACTTGAACTTGAATTACTTCTAGCTATTTTATGTAGAGGAGAAGAATTCTTAGGAGTCTATAAACGATTAATTCTTTAAACACTTGACACTCTTGTAGAAGGTGTTGGAGGTTTAATGAAGAGTCTATTATTAATTCTAGGTAATTGATTATTATGTTAAAGAGGCATTTTTGGTGGTAATTTAGGTGATTATTGTTTTATACCTTATTATTCTGATGGCTCAGTAATTTTTCTAAAAGGTATTTAGGGTGATTGCTTTAAATCTTAAGGATATTCTTTGTCTTAAGATTAATTATTTTTTTTTATAGGTAAAATTGGTGATTGTTATTTTTGAATTAATGGTTCTTCTTTTTCTTCAATCATTTAATAATCATATATTATATTCCAATAACAATGAGCAATATAAGGCATTTCAAAATTTGGTTTACCTATAAAATCATTCCATTCTAATCTTTTGATTTCAAAATTTTAAATTTTAATTGGTAATATATCTCTTACATATTTATCATTTTCTGAATCTAATAAATATTCCATTTCATATTATGGATTTTTAATATTTTTCAATGAAATAAATCCTTAAAATGAGATATCTGTCATGATGTATGTAATTATTTAATTAAAATATAGTATATAGTTAAAATGTGTTATTAAAAATGATGATTGATTAAACAAATGAAAATAGATTATATATTATTAATGATTATAATAAATCAAATCTCTGGGAAGGTAATTTTCTTAATTTTATCAATGCAATTATTATCGCCATTTTTTTACACTTAAAAAAAGCCTTACATACCCCATGAATTTTTAACAAACCACGTTTAAGTATCATAAGCAACAATAACAACAACATGTTAATAATTAGACACTTTAGGATAATTACAAGTATTAATAATACCAGATTTATATCTTAACCAACTTTCATCAGCATACATAGAGCAGCAACAGGTCCATCTTACAGAGCAGTTTCAATGTCATCATTAGTAAATTTACTCAATCCTTCAATTGATTAAAATTGTTTATATCCTATACTTCCTTTAGGTTTTGAACATTCATCTTCTTTTTAATCATATTCTCTATAATCTTTTTCATAAACAGTTCCATAATTATTTATAAATTCAAAAGCATCTCCAACAGATCCTCCATCACATCCTGCAGTATTTCCATCTGCACAATCAATCAAATGAGTCTTAGATAATTAATCTAACTTATTTTTATTTGCTTTCGATAATCGACTTATTGTAACATCAGATACTGCAAATGCCCAACAACTACCACATCTACCTTATTGTTGAACTTCAGTAATCTTAATAATATTATAATAATCTTTACTTATTTTAACCAATCTAAACTAGGAGGATTTTTAACTTATTCAACTACTTTCTCTGTTTGTTTTACTGCCTTCTTAACAACAACAACTTTTTTATCAGCTTACAAAAATGAATTATGATTCAAAGCATCAGATCCTATTGCATTTATATCATCTTCATTAAATAATTCATAATGATTCTCTAAATCTCTCTTCATAAATAATTTATCCACTAATTCTTCATTTGTTTCATCTGCAAAATTGTTTAATCCCCAAACATCTTTTGGTAATTATTCGTTATGATGCTATTTTATTTATTACTATTTATAATACCTTCATTGCTTTATAGTTTTCTATATATCATTTCAAATTCATTATTATAAGATCTCTAATTTTCTTTTACCCAATTTTTAAATTACTTCTATTCATCTTCTTTCCAACCATACACTGATCCATTTTTAGAAGACTTGATTCAAGGTTAATATCTTCAAACTCAGAATATACTACAACAACAATTATGCATAAAATAACGATTATTTTCTTTTATTTATTTCTAATATTTTGCCGTTGACTACCATATCACAATATCGTCAATTAATACTTTAAAACCACTTAAAATATAGAATATTTATATGCTTTATTTCTAAATCAATATTATTTTAATTTTTTATTGGAAATTGATCTTCATTACGTTTATGATAAATTTTAATAAAATCGGGTATTTGAATAGAAAATTTTTATATTTTAATATAATTATGAATTTTCATAATATGAATAAATTATTGCTCAATTTTAAAACTTGTCTATTTATTCTTTCTCCTTTCAATGATAAATATTATTCAACTTGTACCACTGATAATCAAAAATTAATTAATTAAAGAAATTTATAAGTAATCACATTTTATCAAACTTAGACTTCTTAAAAAGAATTAAATTTAAAAAAATTTTTGATTAATTAGTGAAATAATTTAGAAAATAGGAAAAATTATTATTTAAGATAGAGGAACTTGATTTAGAGGAAGGTATATAATAATTAGTAAATGAATAAATGTTATAATAAGATAGTTCTTTTGTTTAATTATGAATATATTAAATTATATTAATATATTTTATTATGAAAATTTTTATTACTCTTAATTCTGAACAACATGAAATCTAATTGTAAGAATCAACTATAGAAGCATTGATTATTGCTATCTAAAATTAATTTAATGTAAAATCTTTAATTTTAAATATTAGATAGCTTTTAATTTTGAATTACTTACAACTGACAATCAGACATTAACTGAAATTTAAGAAGGAATGTCAATTATAGTCTAAAAAGTAGAAAAAGAAAAGGAAAATTTAAAGAAATTTAAATCTTTCTTTTCAATTGCAGGTTCAATTATTAAATCAAAAACAATAAGCCATAAATTCTCTTTTGAAAAATTAAATCCAATATAAAAATAGAAATCTTAGATAAAAAATTCAGATTGTAGTATATAAACTCCTGAACACTAAGCTTAATTAATAAATGCCAATAATTAATCGGTAAATGAATAAAATATTTAAAAATGTGAATTATCTGGAATTCTATAATAAGATTCAGCTATGGTTGTAGATGAAAAATAATCTGATAGATAATTATTAAATGAATTACAAGAAGAACCAGAAAAAAAATTGCATAATTCTTAGGAATAAATAAAGAGACCAAGAAATAATCCAATTAAATAATAGTCATAAACTACGAAAGATTAAGCATTTAATTATGCAGAAGAAATAGTAAATATTCCTAGACCTAATAAAAGATAATAAATCTTATAGAGAATGGAAGAAGATAGAGCAGAAAAAGAAAGAATATCAAAATAATAATAAGAAGCTAATAGAGTAATTAGATAGATATAAGAAAAGATTAAATAAAAAGAATTATTATTAAAATAAAAAGAGGAAGCATTATAGATGCCAGAATTAGAAAAACGAAAAGTATTTATTTTTAATATTAAGGCTGTTCTAGCTTAAAAAAGAGAATTGAGTCAGCCAATAAAATTAAGTGAATTAACAGAACATTAAAAGAAATATGAAGAAGATAGAAAAATAAAAGAATATGAGAGAGAACATCATAAATAAGAATAAGAATTTGAAATAAAATAAAAATCTTTAAAATTTCCAAAAAGCTAAGCATAAATAAGAATTGAAGAAGAATCAAAGATGCAAAAATTGATAAGAGAATAAGAAATGGAATAAAAGAAATTGGCAAGATTAAAATAATTAAAATATGCTGATGTTGCTTAAGAGATATATTTTAAAGAACATCCTGTAAAACCTAAATAATCTTCACCTCCTAAAGAAGAATAATCTAAATATATAAAAGAAATTCAAATAACAGAATAAAATCTAAGAAAAATTAAACGTTTTATACCTAATTAAAGACATTTAAGTCATGATTCAAAAGATTCAATCAATGATTAAAGTAATCATTAAGAAAATAGACCACCTAAACCAATTGCTAAAAAATTATAAAAAATTGTAGATAAACCTCCTGAACTTCCACCAAAACCTAAAACAACTGATTATCTCTAATAATTGAGATAGTAAAGAAAAGTTTAGGTTAATATTGAGGATTAATGGGAAAAGTAAATATAAAAATTATATAAGAATCATTGAAAATAAAGGTTTAGAAAATGAATAGAAAGTATAAAATGTTTTAAATAATGTATAAAAATTAGAGTAAAAAGCAAAAGAAAGAGAAAAATTAGCATTATTAAATAGAGATGTTTAAGCTGAAGAAGAGGCAAATAATTTATATATTGCCAGTATTAAAGCTAAATTAGCAATTCTGGAGAAAAATTGATTTTTTTTAACTTAATTATAAATTTTTTGTAACTAAATGATGAGCGAATTAATTCTTAAACGAGAAAGCTTCTGTATTCAATTGAAACGTACTCAATAAGAAAAAATATTTAAGGGTAAGAGGTAAACATTCTATTCAAAAGAACAATTATTGTAACTCATCTAAGAAAATAAAGATTAAGACTCATTTAATAAAATATTGCATGCATCTGAAGGATCAAAACAATAAATAAAAGACTTAATTGAAATTGGAGCAATTTAATATTTTTAAAATTTCTTTAACTCTTCTCAAAAAGAATTAGCAATAATAGGTTTATCAAATTTATACTCTTAAAATACACTCTAAGTTTCAAGATAAGATTTTATGTTTGTTAAAACTATGTTAGTTGAAGTCCATAAATATCATAAAATTGACTAATTAGTTTCAAGACTTAGATTTCTTAATGTAATAACATAATATTGTTCAGATTCATCATTTTTTGAAGAAGATCCTAAATTAAAAGAAAATTTATATTAGATTTTTTCCCACTACTAATAAACATATCCCCAAATATTCAAAATTTAAGAAGAATGTTTTAAAGGATTTTTATCCTTAGCTTCTGTATAATTTTTTTAAATTGAAATTTTACAATTATGTTGTGATAATTTAAATAAAGGAATCGATCTAATTATTCTTTAATTAATTTACTACACTATTGACGATAATGTAGAATTTATTAATATTTTAAATAAAAGTACATTCATTTAATAATGTTCTAAACATCTAAAAATAAGTGATCGATAAGAATTTGTACTAGGCATTCTTTATTATTATTCCTAATATTATGTTGAAAAAATAATTAACGATAATGAATTGGTTTAGTAAATATTGATTATTTAGAATTCTTATAAACATTAAAGATTAATTTTATTATTGCATTATTAAATGTTATTATAATGCCCTAGAGCACTTTTCATGAAAATCTTTAAAGAATTTGAAGTAGTTAATAATTTGAAACTCCTTTTAGAATCATTTAAATTTTAAGAATAAGTTTTATTAGTGATCGCTTTGTTGAAACAAACAAAAACAAACCTTATTGAAGAATTATTGCCTAATTTGGAGAATTTAATGTTAAAATAAGGAATATGTGACAGAATTGCTCAAAAATTATAATTAATTTTAGATTGATTATTTTAGTCTAGCTATCCAATTATTCTCTAGATTAATTGTCTAAGTGTTTATTTTGTTTTCATTTATAAAAATACCTCTTTATTTTGATAATTGATCAAAATCAAGATCAAAACTGATTGGTTTTGCATCTTATATTCATATTAATTAATATCTTCTTATTCATTCTAATTTAAATAATTAATAAAATTACATCTTATCTAATGTCTTATATATTATCTTATATTATCACTATTTTAGTTTGTTTATTCTTTATTTATTTCTTTTTCTTCTTTATTAATATTTAACTCTTAAATTTCCAAGTATCATTAGTTATTGTTTAAATTTCATAATGAGCATATTAAATTGAATTTTTAGAGAACCCCAAAATGAAAACCTTTAAAACATCTTTAAAAAATAAAATGTTATACCTTTTAGTGTTAATGTAGATAAACTTCATTTTTAAATGTTTTATCGCAATAAAAACAAAATGATTTAAAAATGATAAATATCTATTTTTCTACCCATTTTTGTAAAAATTTTAATATTAGTATTAATTTAGATTATATGTCTCAAGCAATTATTATTTATTTATATATTTTGAAAAACTTATTAATATTAGAATGCTTAATTGATATGAATAAAAAAGAAAGAAATTGTAAGCAAATATTTATATTTAATTTTAATTTTGACATCTTGATTTTTTGAAAAAGAAGAAGAAGATGGTATATTCTAGAGTTATTATAGTATATTAGATTGCTTTTAACAAACCAAATTTATAATTCTAATTGTGATTATATCAATTATTAGCTTTTAATTTGAAACTAAAATAGATTAAATTAAGTCAATATATAAAAGCCTTATTAAAGAATAGAATTTCAATATGAAATAGATATAATATTGTTATTTAGGTCAGGGTATACTGTATTATGAAGATAAAAATATAAAAATGAACTAATCAGTTATTGAGATAGATGGTTAACTGATTATTTGTTGAAAGTAAAATAAACTAAAGAAATTTGATTAAAAGCTTATAGTAGTTGATAAGCAATAGATTTTAAGTGTGAGAATGATAAAAAGACAAAGAAAGTATCAAAAAAATTATTTGACAGTAAAAAGTAAATTAAAACTTGATGATTATAAAAATTAGAAAGAAAGGTAGATAATTGAATATTCAAAGAGAATAAAACGAAATGATAATAATGATTGTTAATAAATTAGATAGAAATAAAATCAATAAAGATAGAGAGTTTGACTCTGTTAACTTTAAATGAATTGAGAGAGATTAAAGGAATAATAAAATAAAATACTTTAAACTTGAGCCTATGAACATAGCGTAATTGAAATATTTAGATAATTAATAAATCAATTAGAAAAATGGATTACAATGATTAAAGCGTTGGGATATGCTATTGTTGCATGTTCTTTACTTACAAACATTATATTTATTTAATGATGACAACTAATGCCATTTAAGGGTTGCTTTTAATGACAATAGGAATATTTGGTCTTTTAGAATAATTTGAATTGCTTGTATTTTAAAGACCAATAGCTCTTGGCTTATTAAGTTTGGGTATTGAAAATATGATATTGAGATAGGTAGTTTGGTTGTTTTTGGACTGTTATTATAATTGATATTCTTTATCAGACATTCAGTATTATATATTGGGAGAATAATGGTAATAGTAAATATTTTGACCTCTTTATTTGATTTAAGTTCAGGAATAATATTATTATTGTCTTGTTTCATAGAATTAAGTTTTATAGAATTCAATGATACACAGCAATCATTTAGTTCGACAAAAAGAACAATTTTGTAAATAATCTCTATAATAATAATTGTTATATCTTTATATGGATTTTGGATGACATATCTTTAATATTAAACTATAGTACCATTATAAGAGTAGTTGGAGAAAGAGACAAAAGTAGTCCCAGTAATTTCATTACGACAAGCAGTAGCAAGAAAATTTACAAAAAATTTTATTGGAGAACTCACTCCAAATAATGGAAAAATGAATAGACCTACAAGAGGAGATTCAACATCAGATTAATCTTAACAATTACAAAAAATTTAAGTATAACATCAATATTAATTAAAAGTTAAAGGCTTAAAATTAAGAAGAATTAAATGAACCATATTCTAATCAAAGAAGTGAAAAACTTATAAAAGTCACTGATAATATGACTCCATATAGTGAGTATTACACTTCTTAAACAAACACTATTAGACAACCATAATTAACTGATGACATACAAGCATTAAGAAAATAAAGAACTCCTAGATCTACATATAATAAATAATAATAAGAAGGTTGATTCATTTTCTCATTTTTATATTATTGAATATTTTCTTACTTTAATAAAGAAATCCATATCATTGTAATAACAATTATTTAATTAACTTGGAAAACATTTTACCTAACTAACTGCCATTCAATTTTTTTATTTTTATAAACATCTCATTTTTCTATCAAATCTCTCATTTCTTAGTTTATGTTGTTGATGTAAATTTTTCAATTTAAAAATTGCATAATTTTAGATAAAATCCATGATAATTTTATGATAACTTTACTTTAGACAAGTTGTTATTAATATATAACTAAGAAATTTTGTAGATTAAGAAATTATTATAAATCCTTGAAGTATCAATGTTATGCATTGTTCAAAGGAAGGGATTCTGCAGACAGATCATTTTAATCTTGGAAAAACTAAAAAGATTAAGAAACCTAACTTCTCAAAAAATTTTAATTTATTATTCATAATTAATAATTGTGCTGATAAAGCTATTTTATAGAATATTTTTTGATTTCTCTATTTGATTAGAAAAAAAATATGTGGAGTTTAATAATTCATATATTCTATGCAATTATATAAGTGCAACTATTTTTCTAAATAATTAAAATGCTTTTTAAACGAGCAAACTTGCAAATCTTATTTAAGCTGCAATAACTTGAATAAAATAGAATCTTACAATAATCATCATGGATTAGAAGTTATTATGATGATTATAAGAACCAACATAAAGTAATTCATAAATGCTTTGGTATTTATAGTATCATTATTGTCAAACTTATTTATAAACAGAATGATTTTCTCATAGTCATTAATTAATGCAAAATATGGGGATGATTAAAATAGTTATTTACAAATTTGCAGATGAATTACTACTTCTTCTTAGTATTATTAGAGAGAAAACTTATAACTAAACTATTTAACTTGGTTTAATTTTTAGTGTTTTGAATTCAAAAAATTTTGTAGTCAACTAACTGTATAAAATTGCTAATATTCAATTTAATACTAATATTTCAACAAAGAAAGTATTTTTTTTTATTAATGTTGTATTGCTAACAGATATTAAAATTAATTGCTATGATATTTCAAGATGTTTTAATGTAAATTTGAATATTACCTAATATATACATACTATATTATTCACTATTAATTATAACCCTAATATAATAATATTTCATGGAATTCTATTCCAAAATTTGTATAGAATGAAATCTAATACAAAAATTAGTAATTTTTTTCTTGTTTTTTAATATTAAATCATCATTACTTCTAGTCACTGACAATATCAATCATGAATTTATATTGAAATTTTCTAAACCTATTATCTGACTAATGAAAAAGTTTTGGTTTTAATTTTAGTAATACTTCAAAATTATTAATTAATTATTTTTTATTAAGATCTCTTAAATTTACATAAAAGCTTTATTTAAACAATATTTTATTTATCCGTAAATAGGCTAAGACTTTTGTTATTCTAAAATTTTAAATTATCGCTTTTAAAGCAACTTTTTTCTTTCTTTTTTTAATTATTTTTTATATCCATATATCAAACCTGGAATTCAGTCTTTAAAATAGCTAAATTTTCTCCTTTCAATGATTCTATTTGAATTTTATACTATTTTTTCTATCCATAACATGGGGAAGTTTGAGAATTATTTTTTATTCCTATTTATCCATTCTAAAGATCAGGTAAATTTCTTGAATTATTTTAAGAATAAAGCTTCTATATTACAAAACTATATAATTCTTTCTATTTTTTTTTAATATACTTCGATTAGAGAAATTATTCTTTGGACTCAAAATTTTTGAGACAAAATAATTTTAACGATTTAATTTCCATAAAGAGGTCTTTCTTCAAATTCTTACAGCATAAAGTTCGTTGAAATTTAATTCTTTAAAGGTAGTNTAAACAGAATGATTTTCTCATAGTCATTAATTAATGCAAAATATGGGGATGATTAAAATAGTTATTTACAAATTTGCAGATGAATTACTACTTCTTCTTAGTATTATTAGAGAGAAAACTTATAACTAAACTATTTAACTTGGTTTAATTTTTAGTGTTTTGAATTCAAAAAATTTTGTAGTCAACTAACTGTATAAAATTGCTAATATTCAATTTAATACTAATATTTCAACAAAGAAAGTATTTTTTTTTATTAATGTTGTATTGCTAACAGATATTAAAATTAATTGCTATGATATTTCAAGATGTTTTAATGTAAATTTGAATATTACCTAATATATACATACTATATTATTCACTATTAATTATAACCCTAATATAATAATATTTCATGGAATTCTATTCCAAAATTTGTATAGAATGAAATCTAATACAAAAATTAGTAATTTTTTTCTTGTTTTTTAATATTAAATCATCATTACTTCTAGTCACTGACAATATCAATCATGAATTTATATTGAAATTTTCTAAACCTATTATCTGACTAATGAAAAAGTTTTGGTTTTAATTTTAGTAATACTTCAAAATTATTAATTAATTATTTTTTATTAAGATCTCTTAAATTTACATAAAAGCTTTATTTAAACAATATTTTATTTATCCGTAAATAGGCTAAGACTTTTGTTATTCTAAAATTTTAAATTATCGCTTTTAAAGCAACTTTTTTCTTTCTTTTTTTAATTATTTTTTATATCCATATATCAAACCTGGAATTCAGTCTTTAAAATAGCTAAATTTTCTCCTTTCAATGATTCTATTTGAATTTTATACTATTTTTTCTATCCATAACATGGGGAAGTTTGAGAATTATTTTTTATTCCTATTTATCCATTCTAAAGATCAGGTAAATTTCTTGAATTATTTTAAGAATAAAGCTTCTATATTACAAAACTATATAATTCTTTCTATTTTTTTTTAATATACTTCGATTAGAGAAATTATTCTTTGGACTCAAAATTTTTGAGACAAAATAATTTTAACGATTTAATTTCCATAAAGAGGTCTTTCTTCAAATTCTTACAGCATAAAGTTCGTTGAAATTTAATTCTTTAAAGGTAGTATCTAGATTAATAATATTGTTATTTTTTCTATATTATTTAATAGAATGTAGTATTTTGAAACAAATTAATTCTATGTTTATAATCTTTTAATACTTACCATAATGAAACAAGATTAATTTTTAATTAGATATAATTTTTACTTTATTCAAATTTTAATGATTCCATAAGATAGTACTCATACACTTAACTTATTAAAAACAATTTATTAGAGGGCAATTAGCGATTTGTTAAGTAAAAAAAAAAAATTAGGAGTAATATTACCAAAAATTAAATAAGAATAAGTATTTAGTAAACATCACTCCTAATTAACTCTGAATTAAAAATAATAAAATCTATAATTAAAACGTAAATTAGGATAATTTTAATCAGTCTAAAACAAAATTTAACCTTAAAAACTTTCATAGATTATTAAACTAGACACAACTTAAATTAATTCCTCATAAGTTGTAGCAAATGAAAGCCTTAAAATATACAGATATATATCAAGTTTGAATGAAATAAAATAGATATCAAGAATTAAGAATAGAAAATATAAGTTTAATTCATTATAATTTTGAATAAATGATATTTGAAATTTAATTTCATATTAAAATAATGAAAGAAGTATAAAAATAATGTTTAAGTCATTCATTTTCAAGTTATATTTCATCTAAATTTAAATCATGTTTTAATTTATCGAATAATTTACATAGTTTTTCATCTCTAGAGGAATTCACTTATTCAATTAGAGATTAAATATTTTTAACTAATTTTTATTACCTATCTTTTGCTGTTTGAAGAGTAAAATGACTTGAAATTTTATAAATTTATTTTGATGTACCATCACTACTTTCTGTTTTAAACCTTCTTGTAGGTGGTAAAATTTTATTAGCTAAAATTGGAGGATATTTTTATGGTGTTTTTATACTCAAATGAGGTATTTAAATTGGATTTTAATCATTATTCAAATCAAGATGAATTTTATATTTCTCAGTTTTTGGATTAACTCCTATGCTACAAACTGAAAATTTTTTTTTATTTAATTATGGGAATTATTTAATATCCGAAGAATGATCATTTATAATTTGGGATACTTATCTTATCTGATGATTAGATGATTTTTCAGAAAAGCTCAGTTTATTTAAGTTTTTTTTGGAATCATATATCTATATCCTTTTTTTTGATTAACTTATTTCTTTAAGAGCACTTTAACATTAACTTTCCAATAGATTTATTGGTCTTGGTTGTATTTTAGGAAATAAGAAGTTCATTAAAATATTTTTATAAAGTTTTGAACTTTAAATATTAAGTCAGATTATTTTTTTTAAATATTATTTTTATCATCTATTTTTGAATGGATTCCTAAAATCAAGAATTAATTTTAGAAGAATATATTAGTGATGAATAAATATTATAGTAAAAAAAATACCAAATTGATGAAGAATTGGAGTATATGAAAAAGATGGAAGAGAGCGCGCAAATTGAAATTGATAATTTAGAAATGAGAATAGGGTAGATGAAATTAAAAAAATAATAAACTCAATAAGCATTAAATTAACAAATGCAAACAATTAGTCAATAGAAATAAGAAATTTTATAAATTGATGCTAAAATAGCATTTATTAATAGGAAGTTAAAAAAGGACCCTTTGTAATAAGATGATAAAATTAGTGAGGAGGAAATATTAAAAGATTCTGTCTATATAAATACTTTACTTTCACTAAAAGAATAAAATATCAAAATTATGAAATAAAAAATTGATAATATCCGTCCAATAATAAATTAAGAAAAAGATTTATAACAATTAAGTTAGGATCTGCTTTAAAAGTAGAACCAATTAAAAGAGATAAAAAACTAATAAAAATTTGGTGATTTGAATAAGACTATTAATAATTTGAATGCAAAACTTGAAGAAATGAGAAATTACCAATAAGAGAGAAAAAATATTAATAAAGAGATATAAGAGTTCAATATTAAGCTTTAGAAATATGAAGATGAAAAATAGATGCTTTTGAATCAAATACAAATAGTTGAGACAATATATAGAACTTATGAAAACTTAACAGAATAATAAAATACGATAATTAGTAATCTTGAAGAAGAAATCAATAGTAAAACAAATAACTAATTTTGAGTTATCAATAAAGTTATCAACGATATCATATAAAGCGCCAAATATTTTGAAAATTTAAAATTCAATATTATATATTTAACAATAATGTAGAAGAAAAGGTTATCATCTGTAGATTAAAATTTTATGTCCTCACTAAGGAAATATGAAGAACATCCTACTTAAAAACAAATGAATGCTTAAAAAAAAGAAACACAATAATAAGAACAATAATTATTAATTTAAGACATTCAAGCTAATATATCAGATTTGGAAGATGGAAATTATATGAAATGTTTTACAAGTATAAATTTAATGTTTACTGATCCAAAATATTTACTTCGTAAGCATATCACATTTTAATTATTTGTGCCTGAAGAAAGAGATTTCATAGGTTTTACAATTTTGAATAAAAAAGAGATTTGGATTTTACTATTACTTTATTTCGATATAGTTAATTAAGATAAGAATTAATATGCAAGATACCTTTGGTAAAGCATTATTAAGAAAATGACTGAATATTTAAATTATGAACTAAGAGAAGAGGTAATGAACAAAGTCAAAATATATCGAGAAAAGTCTAAATTAACTAATAATCTAAATAAAAAGACTAATAAGGATTCTAATAAATATTATTTTAAAGAGGAACATAATGATAAAACTAATGAAGGGAATGAGATAAATAATTCTTATAAGGAAATATGTTTTGATAAATCTTATATGGCAACATTATCAGATAACTCTATAAATGAAAGAAGTTAGTGTTAAGAATAGAACATAATAATTATGTAAGATCATATTGATTTAGCAAATAATAATGATGATGTATATAATTAAGGTCCAAATAATAGTTCAATTGATTTGAATAATGATTTTGTAGAAATAACATATCATAATTCGAATCTAAATGATTTTCAGATTCCAGATATTTCATTCTAATAGTAATCATAGACTGAAGATAATATTAAGAATTCTATAGACTAAATTAGCAATTAAGTTGAAGTTTCTTTGATAGCATAAATGGAATAATTAGGTTTATAAGAGAATTAATAATCTGATTAATTGAATAATGCAGTTATTGTAGATAATGAAGAAGAAATTTTAGAAAGTTGTCAAAATTTTAAATTAGATTAAATTAGTTAAACTTCTCTTGAAAACATTAAAATCCAAGAATCATCCAAATACAAATAAAACTTTCAAGAAGAAAATAAGATGACAGAATTTCTTTAAGATAATAAAATTAATTAAATAAATAAGTAAATATGTATTTTAGATTTTGATCAAGTTAATAATGATTATAATTCAAATTCTGATCAATTTTGTAATAAATTTTAGCAAATAGGGGATACTCCTCATTTTTCTATTAATTAATAGAGTTTAAATTTATCCATTAAAGAAATTTAAAAAGATTAAATTTAATAAGAAGAATAAAAATAGAATAACGATATGCAATTTTAAAATTATGAATAATAGATAGCTTATGATTAAGCTAAATAAATTTTGAAAGAAGATTTAGAACAATTAGCAATTGATTCAGATAATAATGATTAAATTGAAACTAAACAACCAGAATATGAAAACAAAGAGAATTTATCTAAAATTGAAGAAAGTGATATTGTAAATATTGAGATTAAACAATGCTCATAAAAAGTTAATTCAAAGCAGGAAACCAATTAAGATTGTTATAAAACGAAGAATTAAAAAGAATTTGATTATACTAACTCTTTAAATGAAGAAGACTGTAAACAAGAAGAAATTGAAAATGCTTCTTAGAATTAAAAAAGGAGAAAAAGTAGAATAAGTAAATTAATGTAAAAATCAAATGCAAATTCTTAATTAGATATTGCATTTGAATATGATTTATCTTCTTAGTAACCTTCAAAATAATAACATTAATAAGAACTATCATAAGAACCGGAATCTTAATAATTATCAAATAATAAAAAAAGGCGTTCTTCTAATTTTGATATCAGATATGATTAAAATTTTATGGATACTCATGGATCAGGTTACAGATTTGAAATATTAAAGGCACCTAAAAGATTAAAAGAAAAGTATTAAGTTGAGGAGATACTTGTCCCAAAAAGATCAAGCAAAAGAATCCAATATCCAAATAGGAGTGATTTAGAAATTTCGAAAATGATTATTGCTAATAATGAAATCCTTAATTATTTTACTCCTGCAGATTCCTAGTCTAAAAAAATATCAGAAGAAATTAATAATCGACCTAATCCTATAACATACTTTAATTCATTAAATAAGATTGATAAAAATCAAATAATCTTATTGATAAACAATTAAGAGCACTTTATAAATGACATCGTAGAAATAGAGATTTGCTTAGCAAATATTAATGATAATTAAAGTCATCATATAGTTAGGGTATTTAAAATTTTTTAATTAGATTTTAAGTGGATAACTCAATTGTCAGATAGCTATAGCTTAAATAAAAAAGTAAAATTCAGAATAAATCATCTTTGAAGATTTTAATTTTTACAATAATTATCTACACTATCATCTCCAATAATAACAAGCCATCTACTTACCACTAGGGAGTTATTTAATTAATTAAAATTGATTATAATATAATTAATGTATTTTTAGGATTAGAATTATCTAATGAATTAATATAGTTCAATTCAATATATTATTTCTATGAATTTTTTTACATTTATATATTTTAATATAAATGATGACATATAGAATTATATAAAAGTATAAATTCATATATTAAATATATCTTTACATGTGAACAAAAATTATCAGAATTAAAAACATATTTAATTGCTTCCTCAAAAAATGGTTAGAATTATTATTTTTAGAATTTAAATGGAACTCTTCTATATATCTATAATTTTGCTAATGATGTGTTTATCTAATTACAATCAAGTAAGTTCATAAATCATTTATGATAAATTAACATATTATTTAGACACATCAACATCTGCCTAAAATATAACTTGCTAAAGTCTTACAAAAGTTTACTAGTCTTCAACAATTGGTTCACCAAGAGTTATGTAATTCAAAATCAACACTAATTATGGTTACACAAACTTATTCTATATATTTGAGTTACACTTTCTAACATAATAAATGTCAAACATTATTTTTTAGGAAAGTGGAGTAACTGTTTATACATTTGAAGCAAATTTAATTTATTAAATGTCAACCAGTTTTTGCTCTAAAACTAGTTTTGTTTAATATTTTTAATTTACTTCTGTCACTAATATGAATGAATAATAAGCAACACTTTTAATTACCTCAAATAGTGAATCTACATTTTTTATTAAAAATTTAAATATATATGCAGAAAGATGCTAGCCTTATTGCAAAATATGTATTGAATCCTAAAATTGTTAAGAATGCATGCCTGATTATGAATTTAATACTTTTGGATTCTGTTAATGTAAATATTAATTTCTAACTAACTTCTAAGGATAATGTATAACCTAATGTCCTATTAATCATATTTTCAATGGTTATACTTGTGAGAAATATAATCAATTAATAAATTTACTATACGATGACACAGCATCAAAATTTACAATGATACCTGACTATAATACAACTTAAAGATTAAGTAAAACAACTTTAGAAGGAAAATAAGTAGCAGGTCTTTTTATTCAGAATGAAGCAGTGGAATATTAAATCAATTTATCTTCAGAAACAGGATACAATATTATATTGTTAGCAGATATGTATCTTTTAAATTTTCCATCAATCTCTATCAATTTTTAACTATCCATTAAATATAATAATATTATAATAGGTTAGATTTTTATAAGTTTAAAAAATGAAATAAATTAAATATAAGTTATAGGAGCTATAAAATAAAAATAATGCAATATAAAAGGATTTACTACATGTTTAAAGTTTACTATAGGAAAATATATATAAAATATTAAAGATCTCTCTTTATTATAATTGTAAATGAACATACCGTTAGAAAGATAAGAAATTTCTTGGGCAATTTCATAAATTTAAGTTTCTGGGATAACACTTCCTCCAATTAATTGTCCATTAAAAAAATTTGAAAATGAATGTTTTGATGAATGCCCAATAACTTCAAGAGCATAAGGAGATGAATGTATTAGTATACTTAATGATTATAAATTTACCTAAGTATTAAGAATTTCATACACTGATCGATTTTCATTAAAGTAAAATACTCAAATTAATTATATTTGTGATTTATGGGAAGGACTTCATTTTGTTGATTGTGTTTTTTATTAAAAACGATATTTATTCGGGGGTTATAATATTTGGCAAAATGAATAAATAAAATTAGTAGTTACTACAATTAAACCACATTATAAAGTGAAATTATTATTTAAATTGATTATAATAGACCCTGTGGATAGTAATTAAAGCTTAATAGTAGGGATTGAGGATACTGTATTTGTTTTGAATAAGAATTCTCCAAATTCATATTGTTTCAGTAGTGTAGCTACAAGTGATTGCATAATTTAGGAAGATCTTGGTTAAACAAATGCTGATTATTTAATAAACTTTGATTAAGAATTTGATCATTCAAAAACCTAATTAGAGATATTTTTAAATTGTAATATACAATAAAATAGTAATAGTTATTGTGCAATATATGATTTAATAATTCTTTAAGCAAATTGTCCTGATAATTGTTAATTTTGTTTATCAGATTCTAATTGTTTGTAGAATGGTTAAATTATTCCAGTTTTATATGATTGCTTAAAAGATGGTTATTATTATTCTGAAGGATCCTGTTAATAATGTTAAAATTCTTGTAAAACATGTAAAAATTAGAGTTCATGTACTAGTTGTAAGGATTCATATTTTTAATTTGGAAATTTATGTATTTGTAAAATGAATTAGGTGAGTGCTGAAATATCAGATTGTTAAGATAACAATTGTCATTCATCTTGTTCAAAATGCTAGAATTAAATAAGTCAAAATTATGTTCGTACAGTTTCTTACATGAATTCCTTTTGCTCATCTTGTGATAGAAATGAACATAAAATCTTTAATACTAATATATGTGAATGTTTTTTAGGGTACTATATGGAAAAAACAATTAATCCAAACACTTGTTAACTATGTAATTCAAAATGTAAAACTTGTTCAGATGCAACAACTTGTATAACTTGTTATCCTGAATAAAATAGAATATATAATGACTATTAATGTTAATGCAAAGAAGGGTATTTTGACAATGAATATGATTCAAGTTGCATAAAATGCATAACTCTTTGCAAATCTTGCCTATATAAATAGAATCATTGTATTGATTGTCATCCTGAATAATATAGAATATTATCAAAAGAGAATAAGTGTATCTGTCAAAATGGATATTATGATAATTAAAACGATGTTTGTTTAAGTAATTAATAATATAAATTTAGAATGTAATGATAATTGTTATAGTTGTACAAATTATTATACTTGCACATCATGTAATGAATTTGATTTTAGAAAATTAGATGTCTTAAATAAAATATGTATATGTTAATTAGGGTATTATGATAATAATGAATAAACTTGTCTACCATGTTATTATACATGTAGTAAATGTAATAATTAAAATTTACCATCCTAATGCACTCTTTGTCCTAAAACAAGATAAAAATCATCAAATAATCTTGATACTTTTGAATGTTAATGTAGAAAAGGATATTTTGATGATGGGTATTTAGAATGTTTGCCATGTATTAATTTAATCAATCCTCCTATTTCACATTATTGTTATTCTTTTTGTGGAGATCTTATTGTTTAATGGAATGAAGAATGCGATGATGGTAATTTAGATTAACGAGATGGATGTAATCAATGTTTTCTTTAAAATAACAACTGCAAAGAAAATGTTTGTTTAAAATGTTAATATAATAAATGTCTTTAATGTATTGATGGATATTATTTAAATAATGATTATGCATGTATTTAATGTTCATATGAATGTTAAACATGTGAAACACGATAAAATAATTGTACATCATGTAAATTTCATTATTCTAACTCTAATAAATGCTTAATTTGTAATCAAGATTAAGGATTTTTTTAAATTGATAATTAATGTTTTAGTATCTGTGGTGATGGAATTAAAACATTTTAAGAATTTTGTGATGATGGTAATTAGTTAAATGGTGATGGTTGTGATTAAAATTGTAACATAGAAGTTGGTTATGTTTGTAATACTTAATGTTAATAAATTAATTATCTATAAATATTACTAAAAGAATATTAATTTCACACTATTTATGATTCAAAAAGAATTATTTAATTAAAATTCAATCAGGATGTTAAAATTACTACTAATAGTTCAATAACAAATTTAATCCAAGTTATTTCAACTACTGCAAATCTCAATATGACTCTTATTAGCATTTCTGACAATTCAGAAGTCAAAAATGACTATATTAATACTGCTTTAGATTTAAATATATAATTAGAATCATCTGCACTATCTCCAACTCTTAAAGTTATAATATAAAATTATACTTACATAACTAATTAATAAGGTTGCTCCTTTCAATTTAATAATGCTACCATTTAATTAATTGAGTATATTTAATAAGATAAATTTGTAATTTAGAATACTCAAAATTTAACTTAAATAAGTTCCTATTTCCTATATATATTACTAGGATTAGTGATTTTAGCTTTTGTTTTCGGAGGATTAGATATATTTTGGAATCTCTTGGATACTTTACAATTTATTTGTTATCTAAAATATTTTAATATCACTTACCCTTATAATCTTTAGTATTATTTTACAATTTTTGGATTTGCTGAATTTGATTTTATTAAATCTTATTTTGATTTTGAATACTTGATTACATAATATGTAGATACTCCTTAAGCTGATCCAAAATTTTATTAAGAAGGATACTCAACTGTTTTTCTGGTTAACATAATTTCTGTGATTATAGTTTTTATTACCTATATTCTTACATTTATTTTAATCAAAATAGTTTTATATTTACTACATAAAATTACAAAAGATTTTAGTGAAGAAATTATATTAATGGAATCAGAAAAGATAAATATTTTTACTTTTCTTTTTTATAAATTTACAAATAACTGTTAGAAATATTTTATGTAAATTATAAGTGAATTTAAAAGTGCTTTAATAAGAACTTTTATGACATCTGCATATGATTTTAATTTGGCTATTTTTTTATAATTCAAGGACTTTAACTTTGATAATCCTATTCTAAAATTAAGTAGTATATGTGCAATTATTGTTTTTTTCTTAGAAATCTATTTTTTATTTAATTGTTTATCATTAATGAGCAAGGATGTTGCTACATACAAGTTACAAGTAACAAAATAAAATTATGGATCACTTTATGAAGGATTAAAATTAAATAGAAATCATTTCATTTACTATTTCAATTTATTCATAGTTATAAAGAAGGGTTTATTTATGGCGTTGCTAGTATTTCTATACAATACTCCTACTCTACAAATAAGCCTTGTTTCATTACTAAGTTTATCATAAGTTTTATTTTTATTTCTAAATAAACCCTTAGAAGATTAAAATGAACATGTCAAATAAATAATTTGTGAAATTATTTTATGGTTGTCAGAAATTTTAATTTTAGTCATCAGTTATAATGAGTAGAGTTAAAATTTGAATTTTTCATCAATAATAAATATTGGATGGTCAATAATAGGATTTTTGTCTTTAATTATTTTTGCATAATTAATTATTGATTGTAAGTAACATTTTAAATTTCTTAATTAAAAATATTAATTGCTCAAACACTTTAAGATATGGTATCATTAATATTTTTAAAATGATGATAGCCAATCTTCTCTTAATACAGAATATAGTTAATTTTCAATTATATTTCAATAAAAGCCAAAATAATTACAAAGCATCTAAAAATCCAAAGCCTTAAATTATTTAGTAAATCAACGTAGAATTTTTTCTTTTAAATTAAATTGATTTCATATTTTTATGAATTATTTAATCATATTATTCTTAATTATTAAGCATTTATTAATTCTTAATATCTATTTAAGAAAATAAACAAATTCTATAAGAATTGTTTTAATCTTTGTATAGACTAGCTATAAAAGTATTATGAAGATGCATTTTGCTTAATTTTGAAAAGCTATAATAAAATTATTTATGGAAGTAGTTTAATTATTAAAAAGAAAGCAAAAATATTTACGATAACGTGAATGAGCATATTAATATAAATAATTTAAAACTAGCAAATGACAAAAATTATAAAATCAATATCATGATGTTAATTTAATAAGTGTCGGTAAACGTCTCCATTTTGTTTCCGTACAAGTTAAATTTTCATCTAAAATAAATTTAAAGTGAGGAAAATAAGAAGTCTCAGGAATTCTATTATTAAATGATTATTGTACAATTCGATAGTATTAAATTCTTCTTCTAAATTTTTGTTAATGAATAAATTTTATGGATTAAGTAAATCAACGACTTCAGTATAACTAATATTTTGAGGACGATTAGTCTTTTTTGATGTAGCATTGCTTTTCTTTTTTTTTCTAGTCTGCCCTTCTAAAGAATCATTAGTTGACAAAGATCTCAAAGAGTCATTCATGAAATTAGCAGTTAGATATATAATAAAAATATTAATCAAAATTAAAAGTCTCAACAATAATATTCTTTACTTTAACATCAGTTTATGTATAAATGAGATTCTACCATTCTATATGTCGTTTAAATATCTCTTTAAATAACATATTTTCTTAATTATATAAGAACTAAAAAGTTCGTTGATAATTTTTTAAAAAAGAAGCGTGTATTTAAATAATCTTTTCTAGATATTAAGATTAAAAAGTTATCATGTAAAAACTAATTTTTTTAAGTATTAAATTGATATACTTTAGGTTTTTATTATTTTAAATTACATTATTTTCAAATTTAGTGATTTAATTTTCTTTATAATTCAAGTTCTTCAAAAATTATACTAATAATTAAAAGAAAAAAAGAAGTGAATATAACTTACAATTACATCATCTATAATTTAAGTATAAATTTTTAACAATCCTATTAATTTTTTAACTATTTAAATCTTATGAAAACTTTATGATGAAAATCTTTTAATGGATTATTTTTAGAATCATAAATGATAAAAATAAATAAAATTTTAGAAAAATGAAAAATATATTTTAAATAAAAAATATAAGTTTAATGATGCAATCTTCTAATAATTTTGAATTAAACACTCACTATAAATAAAATAATTAGGAAAGTTGTGCATGAAAATTGAATTTTAATAATAAAAACTTAAAAATTAAATTTTTTTAAATTAAATTCAAAATGTATATTGATGAATTGCCGGTTGGATTATAAAAGCAGAATTTCATGGTGGAGGAATTTCCTCCTGGTAATATAACTTTAATAATAAAGATTTCGATCCTTAATAATTTGATAAAGTGGATTTACCATTAAAACAAAGAATTAAATCGAAGGTTTGGAAAGTTAGACTATAAGGTTATGAAGAATTAGCAAATGAGTAAGAAATTGAGTATGAGTGCATTTTATAAATAATACAAGATATACATGTTTAATGTTAAGAGAAAGCACTATAGATAGCCTTAAAATATTTTGAATAACATCATCAATTAGAGATTGCATAATAGAAAGAGATAATAAAAGTGTTAATAGAGAAAGTTTTGATATAATAAAAATTAAGGTAAAATGGGTATTAGTTGGCCACAATATTGTTTCCGTATTGTAAACAAGCAATATTTGAAATTATAATTGTAGAATTAAGTCATAAAAATCCAAAGATTGTATAAGCAACAATAAGTTTGATATTGGAGTTACTTCAATAGTACGGTGTTAAGAAATTAGATAATTTAAAACCTTTTTTCCCAATATTATCAAAATTAACAGAGGCATAATAAAGTACAATAAAAGCTGATGCAATTTCATTTTATAAGGAAGCCACTAAATGGTTTGGAAAGAATATAGAAGCATTTTTTGGAGGATTGAATGAAAAACTTTAATAGGAATTAAAAAAGATTGTAGAAACAATAACAGAAGTATTGAAGGCTCCAAATTAAGATGGAGATTTTGAGACAGGAAATCAATAATTATATGATTTAGCAGAAGCAGTTGAAGTATTCCCAAAATTTACAGATTCATGGTGTGAAAAGTTATTTTAATTAGAGAAATGGTAAGACAAAAAAGAATTATTAGAAAACTTATAAAAAGCATGTTCAGTTGCTAAAATGATACCATCACCAAATGTATATTCAATAGTTTAATTGTTAAAGAAATTAATAAATGAATAAAATATAGCAATATGTACAATGAGTATAAAAATAGCAGGACTTTTAGCAAATGGATTAAGAAAGAATTTCTTATAATATGTTAAAATATTAACATAACCATTATTTGCTAGACTTAAAGATAAGAAATAAAATATTGTTGATGATACAATAACTACATTAAAGAAATTCTTTTATTGTTGCACTCTTGATGATTTATTTGAAGAAGTTAAAACATTATTAGATGATAAAGCATCTAGTCCAAAAATTAATGTTTTTATTCTTATTGAATATTGTTTAGATGAATGTCCAAAAGAGAAACTTATTAAACTTTAATGTATAAAATAATTAGTCCCTATTTGTAAAAAATTAACAGAAGATGGTAATGCAGAAGTAAGAACAAAAGCTCTCAATTTGTTAGCTAAAATATCAGTTTAATTATATAATGGTTCTATGGCTGCAGATTTAAAAGGAGATAAATTTATAAAGTATTAAGCTTAGGTTAATATATATCTTGAAGGAATTAAAGCTATATCAGGCAATATTTCTGAAATATAAATTCGCTAAAAGTCTATTTTATAATCTAATAAAGAAAACATTTAAAATTAAGCAATCATTCATACTAAATAAGATACTACTCAAAATAAGTCCCTCTCTATTTCTTATTCTTAAAGCAATTAAGAAAGTTAAGATATTAAATATTAATCTAATATGACTACTAATTAAGTAGAAGCATTCTTAAAATAATACAAAATTAAAAATAAAGATTAAAGTGAATTAGGTAATATTTTGTTGAACATTACATAATAATCTAAACAAATTTTAACAGTCATTATGGATTATATAGTAGATAGATTAACAGATTAGAAATAATTGTGTTATTAGTTATTTGAAAAATGTTCTTAATCATATAAACCAAATCATTTTTCTTAATTAATTACAAGCTTTAAGAATGCCCCTACTTAAGTTTAATTAATTGAAATTTTAACTTTACTACTAAAATATATTCCTTTAAGCGATAAAACAATTGATTAATAGTTAATTTCAGAATTCTTAAAAGGTTATTAAAATTAGTCTAATTAAAAAGCAAGATCACTTGTAATTGATTGTTAAAATGCATTAAAATCATTATTTGAAATTAAAAAAGCTCCATCTGAATAAAAACCAATAATTCCATTCTCCTTAACATAATTTAATGATTAATAAATTGAAAAATTAAAAGAACAATTAAAAGTACCACAAATACCTTAAAATTTGTTTGATAAACTTTTCAGCTACAATCCTTAATAAAATTTAGCTGCAGCAACTTATATTAGATAAAAGATTGCATAAGCAGGAGAATTCACAGAAATCTTTTTTAAATGGGGTTATCTAATTTCATGGTTTAAGGAAAATATACCATTATAAACTGAAATAATCATGCTATTTTAATTTTTAACTTCTCAACATAAACTCACATTATTAGAACAATAGATTATTTCTTCTTATATTAAAATGATGATATTATTATACATTAGAAATGGAATGCCTAAATTAGCACAAAGAACTTTGCCTTTACTTATGAATTTACTAAATGATTACAAATTATAAAATTTCTAAATACATCAATCAGGTAAATTTGATGATTTTGATGACATATCTCATTCTTAAGCAAACTAAATAATTCAATAAATGTAAGATAACATTTCAGATTGGAATTGCAATTCTTAATTATAATAAAAATAAATATTAGTTTCATTAATTTCATTAATTAATAAAGAAAATGATTCAATTCTAGATCAAAAAAGACAATCAATAAGAATAGAAGGAAGGAAAATTTCAAATAATGATTTAAAAAATAAATAAGAATAAACCTAAAGTTCTCAAAAAATTACTCAAGAATAACTTTCAGAAAAAGTTATGACACTACAAAGTTTTTCATAAAAAAAATTACTATAATAAAAAAATTTTATTTTACCACTAACTTAAATTATAAATAGTGGAAATAAAAATATTAGTTCATCTTAAATTTTAAATTGTAAAGAAAAAGAACATGAAATAATTTTAAAAAATTTTCAATAAATGTATTGTAAATTTAGAGAAACTAATTTAATTGAAAACTCTCAAAGTTTTGCTGAACAAATTATTTTTCTTTTAAGCAATTTATTAACTGATGAATGTTATGATAAAATGAATGAATTCTTGGAAAAATTAATACATATTTTATCATCAAGTCATTTTTACAAAAACATTTCTTATAACTAATTTTAAATTATTTTTGATTCACTTATTTTTAAAATGGTTGAATAATCTACAAAAAATAATGTTAAAGATGGAGCATAAAAATGTTGTTATAATTTAATCAATTCAAACTTAATTAAAATTTTAAATAACCAAGACTTATCAAATTTATATTTGGCCTTTTTGGATATATTAATAAAAGTGAAAGAAACTGATAAATAAACTAAATAATTTTATGCATTAGTAACTAAATGCTTAAGTAAATCAGCTGATTAACTTAAAGGTTAATTCTAATGGTCTTAGGTACAAGCAATTTTAGAGAAAATTAATTAATATTTGAGCAAATGTTAAAAACCTTAAATAAATTTGGAATACACATAGTATTAGAATTGTATATTGAATGCTCTAAAGACTACTGTTATATTTTTCTTTAATTACAATGATGGTATTAAAGTTTATCAATATATCATGCAAAACACAAATGAAAATTCTATGTTAAGATAATGGATATTAGATTTATAAGAAAAAAATAATACTAATCTTATAGTTGATTTAGCTAAATATAGAAGGTCAAGAGATACACATTTTAACTAAATTATTGAATTATTAAAAATAGATTTTGATAAAACAGTGGAGTAATTTGTTTCTTTAGTGAGAAGGTAAAATCTGAATTGGAAACCTATGGTTGAATTTTTAAATTTAGACCAAATAAAATTTATCGAATAGAGATTAGAATCCACATCACATATGAATTTGTTAGAAAAAAAAGTGGGAGAATTAGAAAAGATGCTTAATTAATGAAAATAATATATAAACAAACCAATTTTTAAATTATATTTTAACACTTTCTTTTATTGAAAAGAAATCTCAAAACATTTAATTTAATTTAAAATTATTTAATTTATATGGATACTCATGGGTTTTGATAAGATTTTAAATAAATATCTGTTATAACCTATCTTAATTCTTATTCATTTTAAAAAGTAGTTTTTTCTAATTATTAATTTTAGGCTTTTCTAATAAGACAATAATAAAATTTGAGAAAGCCTAATGAATACTACCCATTATTTTCCATTTTATAAAATTCCATTAAGGTCTTGGATATGGAAGGTGTATCATTATTATTATTTTTGATTGATTCCAAAGCTTGTTCCAATAATTTTTTGGTTTAAAGACAATAGAATGATTAATTTTCAAATCTAAATTTAATAAATTTTCTTACAATTATGTTTATAGGTAGTTTACTTGATCTTATAACTAATTAATTTAAATTACAGTTGAAGCATTTGAAGCATTTGAAGCAGTTGAAGCAGTTGAAGCATTTGTACTCATTTTTATACTTTAAGGTGGGAAAGACGTTAAACTCTATGGCTATAAATTAATAGTTTATTATTTTAGCCCCGTCTCTGTCTATCTTAATTAACCTTAAGCTGGATTTTGATTGCATGTCAATCTGAGGTTGCTGGACTAATTATTGTTATAATTATTGTTAATAATTTGTTATTAACAAGCAGGAGCCATAGTTGATCTCATATTTTGTGGAGTTTGACCTATAAGTGTTTAAGTTTAAGGTTGATTATTAAAACCTTAACCAAAATTTAGAATTGGATTAATATTTTAAGGTTAAATTTAAGGTGGATTTTAACCAAAATTTTAAGTATGAGGAAAAGATAAATTTCCCTATTAAGGTTAAAATTTTTTCTAATCATTATTGAATTTATTTGTATTTGATGATTAATTAGGTTCCTATTTAATTTTAATAAATTGTTAAAATTTTTAAGGCTATTCAGGTTACATGTTTATTAATTTATGAGAATAAATATCTGAGAATTTAATTCTCTCAAGAGGATTGTAGACTATCATTTTTTAAATCAACTACTATAGATCTGAGTTCTAATTTGTAGGGTTCTTAATTTCAAAAGGAGTTTTTTTTAAATTTTTTAAAAATTATTCCAGTTGGTTTGCGGATTATGTTTCAAATGGTACCCTTCCAAAAAGTAGTTGATAAAGGATAATACCAATCTAAAAATATATATAATTATTTATATACTGAATAAACATCGACTTGGCTTTTTCCATTTTTCAAATCTTTTAATTATCTAAGTGCACTAACTACATCTTCATCATCCACAAAACTATTAAGTTCTGGAGCTGCATAAACCGGTGTTCCCACCTTCGTTATATTAAAATCGTTATTGGCATTAATTTTACCTATGCCAAAATCTGATATTTTGTATAAAGGTTAGCCCGTATTATCTAAAGATATTAATATATTTTCAGGTTTGAGGTCTCGATGTAGTATACATTTTTCATATAATGGTTTGTATCCATTTAACAATTATTTTAAAAATTATAACACCTCCTCAGAACTGTATGTACCCTTTTATGCTAATTGATCTTTTAAATTAGTTTGACATTTTTCCATAATGACGATCAAGACATCATTTTTGTCCATTTATTAATATTAACAATAATAAACTTTAACTAAATTAGGATTATTTGGATAAGCCTTGCTTAAGGTTTATAATATCTCAGACTCACGATTCAGATATTCTGAATTACTGCTTAGAGATTTTATAATCTAATTTAGAATCACAAATTACCTTAGCACACAAACAGACTTTGGAATCTTATTATCTGCACTCGTAAACAACCCCATAAGCTCCTCTGCCTATCTCCTTTTTTATGTCGATAATATATTATCCATTAGTCATAGTGTCACCATCATTCTTAAACATAATAAAATAAAAATAATAGAATAATGAAATTTAAAAATCCTATTAATAATAGTTAAATAAGTTTTCAATAGAATTGAATTATAATTATCAATATTCATTAATTAAAACCTATTTCAAATTTATGATTTGCTCATCTTCTTTATCAATTGAGGTTTTTATTAAAATATACTTTCTTACATTTATATTTTTGAATGGCTTTAATTCCATTTGATTAATATTTTATCTGATAAATTACATATGTTTGATTTTGCACTTTTAATTTGTAAAATAAACTATCTTTACTTTTATTTTAACTAAAAAAAGAATATTTTGATGTAGGATTTAACATTAAAAGCATCTGATTTCTTTCCTTAATTGGAGATAAATTATTATATTATTCTGAACAAAATATGATAATAATATATAAAGATTGTTTTATATTATCAGAATATTGAAGAGAGCATCTCTTTTTTTATTACAAATACCAAAAATTTTAAAATCATATATTAATATTATCAAAAATATATTAATTTCTATAAGAATAAGTTTTATATATGGAATATAAAATAGTTGCCTATAACAAAATGAAAACAATTTGGAATAAAGAAATAATGGTTAATGGATTACAATATCTATATAATTGGACTTTTGATATAAAAGTTAATTAGGGAGTATAGCTCAGTAGCAGAGCAGCAGACTGCAGATCTGTAGGTCTCAGGTGCGAACCCTGATGCTCCCTTCTTTTTTTATTAATAAAATAAATAAAAATAATTAATTATAAAAATAATTAATTCGAAAAATAATTTAAGAATAAAATAAGAAATTTAGCAAACAAAATAATGTACTAATTTTTATAGAATATCACAGTTAAAAATGATCCTATACTTTGATGCTTTCATCTGTAATTTTATCTTCCTCTTATAAGATTTCCTTTAAGGCATCATTATGTATTGATAAAACAGCTCTTCCTGATTCATCAGTATTTTTTTTGAAAGCCTCATCCCATTCTAAAGCCTAATGGATATAACATTTATAGATATACTTTTTCAGTAGAGCAAGCAATTGATTTAGCATAAGGTACAGTTAAGGCAGCACTATCACTTGGAAAAGCTGTAGAATATACTTATCTAAACCAAAATTATTCTTTATCTCTAGGTGTTGATAATGGATATGTAATTGAAGCTTATTAAAATTATTAATCTGAAATTAATTGGTTAGCTCTTTCTATAAGTCCATCTCTCCAACTATAACCAACGCCATCACTAAATTATTCTTTTTATCTCCATAATATTTCTTATGGAACATATGGATGTTCTAAATCTTCAAATGCTTTTCTTAAAATATATTTTTCTATTTATGGTTAGAATGCATTGATCATTTTATATTTTGGATCTATTGACATTACATATTCAATCCATTATTTATTCATAAAGGGTGGTCTTGTTTCAATACCCCATGCTAAACAAGCTTTATTAGCTCTTAATAGATCATATTTATGTAAATCATTCAATTTTCTAATTAATTCTTAATGAAATTCAATTCTATTAGGTGCTTTATGAAAATATAAATAACCACCAAATAATTCATCACTACCTTCTCCAGTTAAACATATTTTAATTCCTAAGGCTTTAATCCTTCTACACATCATATACATAGGTGTTGAAGCTCTAATTGTTGTATTATTAAATGTTTCTGTATGATAAATAACTTCTGGTATATAATCTAAACCCTCTTCTACTGTATAAGTAAATGAATGATGTTCGAATCCATGAAATTCAGCTACTTTTCTAGCAAAATGTAAATCTGGAGATCCTTCCAAACCAATACAAAAAGAATGAACTTTTCTCATTCCTCTTTTACTCAAATCAATTTCTCCATTTTTGATTAATTTTGCTACTATACCAGCAACAATTGATGAATCTACTCTAAAATTATTATTTCAATTATAATTACCCTCCAGATATAAATAAACCAAATGGTGCATCACCTTTAACTTCTCTTCTTACAACATCAATAAATCTATCTCTCATTTCTTAAAAATTGATTTCTCCTGTTGGAATGTAATCAAAATTATGCCAAACTGGATTATACCATTTTTTAATTTCATGAGTTTCATCTATATAATGACCTTTTATTTTATAATCATAAATTCTAACCTGGAGGGAATTATTTCACTTCTACTACTTAATCATGAATTCCTTTTAATTCTGATGACAAAAATAATGCTCCATCCTTATTATATCCATAATACAAGGGTATTATTCCAATATGATCTCTTCCTGCATAATAAGTCTTTTTATTCATATCCAAAACTATTGTTGCATGCATTCCGTCCATATGATTCCAAAAATCATTTGCACCATACTTTTATAATAACCAATCCTTTTACTTCCTTATAAAGCATTCCCACTATTTCTGAATCTGAATTACTACTAAATTTGTATTTTTTTTCTAATTCTGGTTTTATTGACCAATAATTGTATAGCTCACCATTTTACATATAGTAAACATTTTAATCATCAACTAATTAAAAAGGCTGTCTTCCTCTATCACTTAAATCTACTATGTTCAATCTTTCATGAGCTAGTACATGGTATGTATCTGGACCAGCTTCCTTTATAAATTATATAACCAATTTACTATTATTATTATACGAGATCTATCAGGTCCTCTATGTCTCTATCTCTTTGATAAATTATAAGCAAGAGTTCGCACTTCTATATAAGTTCCTTTTATGTTGAAAATTGCCAAAATTCCACACATTTTTAATTTCAAATAACACAATAATGTAAATTATTGTTATAAACTTGTAAATGCGTATCAATTAATATGAAATATTAATATTAGTATTCAATGGACCATCTAAATTATTATGTATTATTTTTATCTACAATCAATTCATAATTGCTAACATTCAAAATTTATTTTCTTTTTTCTTCATTTTTTCTATTAATAACTCTTTATTCTAATCATTTTTATTTTATCACATACCTATATTCATACTCTAATAAAATCATATTTTATTTTATTCCTTTTTTTCTTCATTACTTTTTATTTATCTAATTTTAATTCCTCTTAAACTTAATCATCTTGCAAGATCTTTAAATTTACTATAACTTAATTAAATAACATAGGAAAATTAGTAAATATATAATTATCAAAAATATCAAAAAGCTTACTCATTTAAAGTATCGCCAAGAATTAATTTATTAAAAATACTTTATAACCATTATAAATCGTTGTAAAGTCAATATTTTATTATATTTATTTATTAATTTTATAATATAAGTTTTTAATACTCTTTTAACTCTTATATATATATATAATTTATATGTATATTTTAAGAATATTAAAATATATATAAATTGAAACTCTTTCGTCTTTTTATACATTAATTTATGAAAAGATGGCTATTATTTTAATAGAAAAACAACAGGATGCTGTAAAAATCTATTTTAACCAAAGTATTTTTCCTTTTTTAAATGTTTTTTTTAATTTAAATACTTCGATAATTTCTGAGTGGTATAATTTCTTAAACTTTTTAAATTTATGAAATTCATTAAAATTTTCTCATTTTCTTAAACATATATTATCTATATATTATATCATTAAATTCTCCCTCGATTAATTTATTAAATTAATCATGTTAATATTTATTCTAATTATTTTTCTTTCCATTTTTTTAAGTAAATCTATTTTATTGAAATTTATGTTTTAAGATCTTCTGCCTCATAATTTTTTTTAATGATTTCTCTATTGATTTACCCAGGAGAAAGTAAATTTATAGGTAAGATAATTTTGTAATCTTCTTATATTTTATATTTTAAAGTTTTTGTTGTGTTCTCTTGTTAATTAGACGAAGTAACTTAATCTTATAATAGTACCTAATATATATATAAATTATGTAAAATACAAAATAATTTATATATTTCAATGAAGATTCATCAAAAATTAAGTTTAAACTTACATTTTTATAGATAGGATCTGATTTAAATACTAAATCCATTCTTTAATTAGAATATTTTTGATATAAATTATTCATGAAATCAAACACTACTAGTATTACTGTACATTAATAAGGGCAGGAAATAGATACTCTATTATCATTGGATATTTTGAAAACTTGATATTTTGGTTTTATCTCTATGATCTTTTTGGATGATCTGAAATTTACAAGCATCATTTGAAGAAAAAATAAACAAGAAATGATAAAAATATTTGGTTAAATTGTTTGTAGAGTTTGATATTATATTTATATTTTGAACTTTCTTTTTATAATTGTTTTATTATAAATTAAGAATATTTATCAATCAATTAGAATAGCATTTAATTCATTTTCACCTTAAGGTTGAAATTTACTTTATGAAATAATTTCATTTTCATTCTCGAATTAAAGAAAACTTCTTTCAAAATTATTATACCCTTATGAAATGAGATCACTATAACTTTTAATTTTTTTATCTGAAAATATTGGATAAAAAGGATCCATTGTATCTAAAGTACCCTTAAAACTTTAAAATATTTCTTTACATTTTAATTAACAGTAATATAATCAAGTTTAATATTCAGCTATTAAAGTTTCTTCAAAATTTCCCATTAATAATGATCGATTATCAAACTAATACAATTTTTTTTACAAATTGGACAAATCCATTTCATATGTTCTGCATGAATCATCATATCTAAATAATTATTTAAGCTAAAACACTATTGATGTTAACAAAATTCACCTCTAAATTATTATTAAATTTATACCTTGCAGGTATTTTTATTAAATCAAAGGAATATTAACAAATAAGACTAACTTTAGATTTATCTACTTTGATTTCGTTTTTATAAACATCAATTTTAATTTGAGACAAGATACTCTTTTAAACTATAGAATGAATAACTTAATCCAAACTTAAATCTTAAACCAAAAACAAACCGAAAATATAAATCTATTATGGTATTTCTTACCTCATCTTTGAATCTGGAATAATTTCTATGCAAGTGAGAGTGTATTTTTTTTATATTCCATATGTTTTTTGAATTGTATCAAGATTAATTAAGATGCATTAGTCTTTTCTTTTTTTTAAACAAGATTTATCAATAAGAGGTTTAAATTCTTAAATAATTGCTCCATTAATTTGAAGAATACAACTATTAGGAAAAGTAAAATCTGTTAATCCATTTTTATTCATCATAACACATCTAATTTCAAGTTACAATCCAGGACATAAAAATAGCTCTTATTAAATTGTAAAATCAATATGGATTTTACTTTATTATTTTGATTAATATTAATATTCTAAATATCCTAAATTGTAAATAATTTTTTTAAATGGATTCAATTTCTCAAATAAACAAGATTAACAAATTTTAATTTCATCTTCAATTTCTATCAATTTAATTTTTCCATCTATTTGTTTACAATAATTACACTGATTTTAATTATTATTAATTTAAAGATATTTTTTTAATGTTGTATATTACTCAATACTATCATTGCTGACATCAATAATTTCTAATTTTGGTTTTTTCTCATATCCTTCTAGATTTTAATCATTTTCAAGAATTCTTCTTGTATTTCTTTAAAATTAAGGGTTACTATCTGATTACTAAAACATTTTGTTTTAAATGTAAGGATTTTATACATGAATTTATTGTTATCTTGAGTGATACAATTATTTGTTCTAATTAAAATGAGAAGGATATAGATTTTAATTTTTCAGAGATTATTAATTGTTTTCAATATTTATTCCAGAATAATCATTTTGGTTGATTTACTGATTTTAATAAATAAAGTTTTAAGGTTCCTTTTAATTTCCAAAAATTGAATTATAAATTGGAGTTGAATCTATATTCTGAATGTCTTATAATGAGTTTTTTTATTACAAAATACAAATACTAGAACTATTTTAAATATTTCTCTCAAGGTTTTTTTAATAAAAATCTGTTTTTTTTTAGTAAGGCTCAGATTAAATTTAGTTATATTAATTTTCCAATAACTATTTTTGTTTTTGAATTTCAAATTCAATTCTATCAATAGATTAAAAATTATCTTGATTCAATAAAACTTTGTTTAAAGGAGGATTGGCCTACTTTATTAAATTAAAATCCAAATCTTTTGTTTTATTTTATTAAACCAATAGTTTTTATTTTTAAATATTTTATTTACGATATATTTTATTGCTTTTTACTTAAATTAAATCATCCATTTAGTATTTTCTATTTTTATTTCCAAAATTAGAAATATTTCTTTATTTATCTGATTCAGAATCTGAAATTTCTATAACAATTTCCTCTTTTTCAGGAGATGTATCAATTATTGCTCTTGAAGATTTTTTTTTAATTTAAATTTATTAATTCTTCTTAATATTTTATTCAATTATTTTGTTCTCAATATTGTTTAAATAATTTTCTCCTTCTTATTTTTTTTAATTAATATTAAAGTACTATTTACTTCCAAAGTTATCATTTACTTAGAAAATCTAAACAGATTGAACTTAATTTTAAAATTCTTTTATAGTTTTATTCTTTTTTCTTTGATAGGGTTCAAAATCAAAATCTTTAACTTATCTTTCAATTATAGATTGCTTTAATTTCTACTCATTTGATGTGACTTTTTCTATTTTTTCTTTTTATAAACTTTTATCTTAATGATTATTAATTGAAATTGAAGGATCAATACTTTATTAACTTATTTTTGGTGCTTAAGTTATCACTAATTATTAATTAACTGAATTAGGAGAGCTAGGATTTTCTTCAATTTCCAAAAAATTTGAAGGCATTTAATTCTTCAATTTAACTTTTATCTTATTCCTAATAGTATCAGAATAGTCATTTTTTTATTTATTTGACACTTAATTTGAATTTGTTAAAAACTTACTTTATGAACATTAATTATTTTGATGTGAACGATCTTCATGAATTTTGTTTGAATCACCTCTTTTTATTGAGGATTATTCTAAAATATTTTAAATTTCATTTTCTGTCTCCAAATAATTTATAAAGAACTAAGCAAACTTCTTTTGAAAATCATAATCTTTCATATTGCTGAAATTTTATAATTAAAGTTATTGGCATATGCTTATGAATTACCAATCTTAAAACTATAAATAATAAATTAATTTTACTTAATTTATCGGACAAGCTGGATCCTTAAGTAATTCAATCATTACATTTTCTAATAGTTTTTTATGCTCCATAAATTTTATAATTAATTAAAACTTGATTTTAAATTCAATAAAATATGTAATCATCTAAATCAAATATAATTAAAAACTATTTATAGTTAAGACTCATATATATCAAATTATTTTTTGATATTTAAAATATGTATAAAATAGATCAATTTTTTCATTTTATAATTAAATACAATAAAATTAGAAAATATTACAGTTTATGTTTAAATACTTTCAGAAAATATATACATTTTTTAGATAGTGGTAAATATTATAAAAATCTAAATGAATTTTTATAGATTATTAAATGATTACAAAATAGAATTTGAATGAAAATGAAATTGATCAAAATTTTTAGGATGAATTTAAGATGGAATATTATTAGCATTTGATAATTAAAAAGATGTAAATACTATTGCAGGATTAATTTCAAAGGTTGCTGCTTTTATTGAAGCATTTTCAATTAAAGGAGGAAATAGATAAATAAATGATAAAGAAAAAATAAATGTTTTTAATGTTGAGTTTGATTCTGTATTTTGTAGCAATTTCATTAAATTTAAGATATATCTTTTGATAATATTAGAGAAATGAATAATTTTTAATAAGTAAAATAAAAAGGTACTTTTGTGTAGTAGCTAGAAAGATTACTTAAAAATATCTTGGTGTTAGTCCTGGAGATTTAATATTATCATAATTTTCTTAATGATGCTGATGTTAATGAACTTTAAGGATGGAATATTTATAAAGTTCAAGGAAGATAAAAATTATAGTTAGATTAAATATTTGATACTCATTAAATAGTTCATAAAAAAAGTATGGATAACAGCTTATCGATAAATATGTTAAAGTTTAGGAAATCCAGTATTTGAATATGAAAGAATATTTATTATAATTAAATTATCAAAACTTTTTTTACTTAAAATAAATTGAAAGTTTAGCCTCAAATATATTATGATGATTTAAGGTACAAATATAACAAATACAATTAAAGAAAGACATAGTCTAGTTAACCATGAAGATTTATGATATTTATAAAATATAATTTAAAACATAAATAGTCAAAATTATGCTTCTAAAATTTGTCTAAATTCAAAATATCAAACAAGATCTAGAACAACAAGAAATAGAAGATGGCATTTCTTTTTCTCCTTCTAAAATAGTTTATTTTTAAGAATAAGTAGTAGTTTTTGTAGCTTCACCATATTTTTTAGTGATTTATTTTTTTCCTTTTCTTTTTTCCATATTTGCACTCTCCATTTCAATCAAATCATCTTCATCATCATCAATTTAAATAAATTATTAATCTTATTTTTTTGTTGTAGAGCTTTAATAAGATTTTGATTTTTCTTCAAATTCCTCTTATTGTTATTATTGTTATTACTAAAATTGATTTGGCTATTGTTGTTCTCCTTATTAAGATTCAATCTAATCTTCAAAAACTTCTACTTGTTAATTTAATAAAGGATTTCCATTTTCTTCTAATACAGTTATTTTCATAAAACTTGGTTTTTTGTTTATTGAACTACCCATTGAATTTATTGATAGATGTGAGTTCTTTTTCAATAATTTACTAGTTCCAGTATGAGTCTCTCTTTTCAAGATTGGCCTAAATTAAACTTATGGTATTTACCAAAATAATTCTATATTATTTAAATCACCCCCATATTTAATTTCTAATTATTCTTTTGGTATATACTGTAATATTTATTAATATTCTGTAATTATTTTTATTTTAACCTATAAATCTTTTATTTTTTCTACAATTTTTAATTAATATTATTAATACCAGTGAACTGTTTAACAATGTCATCTATATCATCTGGTCCATTAACTATTAAAATTTTATTTAAGTTTCCATAAAAATGCAATTATAAAAATAATAAATCTTCAAGTTCTAAAACTGGTAAATCAGCATCTAAATCAAGAATAACTGTCCAATTTTCAACATAATAATCAATTAGTAATTATCTTTTAACTGTTTCTAAAAAGTAAGCAATTATTTTTATATCGCAATATTACTTTATAACTATGACAGGACGAAATTAATTATCAAATCCACATACATATAAAAATCCTTTCCTTAAATCATTAATATAATCTTGTTTTGAATATTCTTATAGAAAATTTAAATGAGATTAGCAATTCTAAGTGCTTTTAGTATAAAAAATAACATACAATAATTGCTTTTTCAATATTATATTAGGCAGCCATAAGCATTTTTAATATAATACTTCTTTTTAATTTTATTTGTAAACCTTTTTCTTTCATTTTCAATTTAATTTCTTCAATTTATTATTTCTCATAATCATCATAATCTACATTTTCAAAAATGTTCCTTTAAATAGAAGGTCCATTTCCACTTTTTATGTAAAATTCTTAAATAGCAATAATTTATACCACTATGCACGATGGATGTAATTCCTTCATAAATCATTAATATTAATATATTAAATATTATGTATTTCATTAATTATTAAATTATTTCTTAAAGAAATCATTTTCATAAATTATAAGATATCATTTAGATAATATAAATAAGTTTTAAAATAATAAGAATATATATCTAATATTATTTAGATTAATAAATAAGTAATAAATAATAATTCACTTTAATAATTAATATAGTCAATCTCCTCAAATAAATAACCTTTTAATAGTATTTTCTTAATCAAGAATCTTTGTTAATATCTTAATCTAAACCTAAATTTTGAGACCTTAAATTTTAAAGCAAAGACATTATGTTAGCTTTGATTGATTAATCAAATAAATTTAAATCTTTTTATTAAAAAATTTATTATGGGAAAACTCCACGGAACCTTAGCAAAAGCAGGTAAAGTTAGAAAGCAAACACCAAAGGTTGAAAAATAAGTTAGAAGACATAAAATCCCAAAAGGAAGAGCCTACAAAAGAATTTGCTTCAATAGAAGGTCTTAATTCTTTTTATTCTTTTAGATTTGGTGCTTCAACAGCTACAACAGGTCCATAATAAAAGAGAAAAGGACCAAACTGGCATGCAGGAAGAAAGGAATTAATTGAAGAAGAAAGAAAGAAATAAGTAGAATAAAGAAGACAAAGAAAGAAGGATGCACCAAAATGATTAATAAACATACAGTAGATTATTTACATACAATAAACAAATTTCCATTAGCAATCCCTAAATGAAGTAGTAACCATTTTTTAAATCTTTTTTTCTATTGTTTTATGCTCTCTAAATATTAATTTATTTTACTACCAATCACTAAATATTAATTAATTAAACAATACTAGTAAATAAAATCATCATCATTTAGAACTATCTTAGCTATTCCTTCTCCAACTTCTTAATGTATCAAAATTTATTCTAGTATTTATATTATTTCTTTAAGGGGTATTTTTTTATGAAAAGATTATCACTTTCTTTGGATAGCTATTAAATTATTCATTTTGATAATTTTAAGGAGATTAGTAGTATTTTTACTCAAATTAAGTTTCATCTCTTTATACTGTTCTTGATTTTGTATATCTCCCTGATAAATTATCATTTATATCAAAATTTTATGATCTTTTCTCTGTCTTCAAATGACTAATTTAATATTTTATTTCTTTCAATTTATTTTACTTATATAACCGTTATCTGTTACATGATTAATACCTTATTTCATTAAAAACAGCTTAAATTTATGTCTCCCCCAACGATTTTTAAACCTATTGTTTAGCTTTCTTTACTATAGATGAAATTTTATTATATAAAGTTGACGGTTAATTCTATTCTAAATTTTTTTTCTACTTCAACTAATACAATAACTGCATTCTACAATAGTTTTCGCACATATTTTTTAATAATTAATATGTACTTAAAATTCAATAAAATTATTAATCTTTATTAATCATAATTATTTAAAATTTTATTAAATTGAAATTCCATTTAAATTTCTTGCAAGAAATAAACTTATACATTATTATCAAAGAAATCTTTTTGATGATTTCCTTGACCAATATGAAAAATTTATTTATGTTATTAAAATCAAAATAGTATTATTAATTTCTCATCACAATTTCTTGATAACATGAACAGTATCTTTGATCTACGTATGATATATTAAAATTATATTTCTGAATTACAAGAAATTTTATTATTGTCTATCTAGTCTTAAAATCTAAACTAATTTTTTTATTTTTTTTAAGTTTTAAATTTAAAGATTTATTTTATCTAGGATATGGAAATAACTTTCATACGAATATAGGTATTTTTTATTTAATTTTTATAACATTTTAACTAAAATCTTAAAATTATCACTATTTAATGTTAATCTTTTAATTGAATTGAAGTGTTTTTGTCACAACTTATTTTGGTTATTTTTCCTCATTTCTATCTTAATTATTTTCTTATTCATAATATTAAGATCATATAAAATGTAAATAATAAATCTGATAAGAGAAATTTGTTATTATGCCTTTAATAAAATATAAAATATTTTCAATTCTAGATCTTAGGCTTTAAGAAAAGTATTTGAGAATTTATCTCCTTATTTTAATCAATATTTAATGTCTTAAACTTCTTTATATTATATACTTTTATCAAACTGTCTGTAGAATTTAATTCTTTTTCTAAATTAAATAGGAAAAAAAGATTTTTGCTTTTTTAATTTGATCTTGTATTTTATATTGAGAGATGATTATGAAATCTTAAATTTAATTGCATGTACTAAAAATATTATTTAAAAGAAAAATATTGAGTAATATTGAAATCCACATTATTTTTCAAATACTAAACAGATAAGCTAAAATAAAGGAAAATTTTATTTTTAAGATTATTTTGTCTATTCTATTATAATATTCCTTCAAAAATCTGATCAAAATTATAAATTTATCCATTAATTTTAATCCATACAAATAAAATCATTAATTTACAAAACTTTAATATGTGTAAAATTAGTTGAAATTTTAGGATTAAATGCTTGATAATTTCAATATGATAAACAAACATAAAATTGAAATAAATCTATACAACTTTAAACTTAATAACTATTCTTCATTTAATTATGTAAAATAAGAAAAATAGTTAAAATATGGGAATAATGGAATGAATTTAATAATTCTTAGATCTGAATCTTAAGAAAATATTATAATTTAGAATATGATGTTAAAAAAAATCTCAAATTATAAAAAAACTATGTTATTAATTTAATTGCTTAAACGCAAATGGATAATTAATTAATTTAGATGTCTTCTTCCATGAAAAAGCTTTTTAACAATTAAAAAAAATAGCTGTTTTTGAAATATTTATATGAAAATAAATATTAAGCTTTTTCAAATCTATGTTTTAATAGCAATTATATAAAAATTGCTATTAAGATGATTAATAATAATTATAGAAAATATTAAAATAAATTTAATATTTAAAATGATAATTATATCTTATTTATTATAGTATTTAGTTATGATAAATATGATATTCAATGATCATCTTTTTGTTATATAAGCTATGAAATATCCTTTAGTTGTCCAAACATATGGATATTATTTTATAAATTTTTGAGAGCTTTATCTAAACTGTCATTTTGATGTTTAAGTATTACCTTGAATAGAATTTACAATAAAATTTACGTTTTTATTACTTAAGAATTGAAAAGACACTTCACCTTCTTGATAGACTCTTTTAATTAATTATCTAAGATCAAGAATCTAATGTTTTAATGATTTAATTTACTTCGTTAATGAACTCTTATTACTTATTCTCTAATTGATTTATTGATTATTGTAGAAGTTGATTTTCATTTTTTAATTTTTAATTCTCTTGTTGTATTTCTTAAACTTTCTGTTAAAGTTATTATGGAAATTAATTCAACGCTTGAATCAAATATGTTGATGATTGAGACTATTTTATCTTATGAGATTAATTTTACATTTAAAACTTAAAGATCAGATTATTAAGTGGATGAAGGGTTACATGATTGAAATTCTAACATATCAACAATTAGATTATATTTTATTAAATATTTTCGTTTAATGCTTATATTATTAAGAAGGCTTAGTAAATTTAATTATATTCATGAAATAAAATTAAATAGCTTGCCTTTCTAGTATAATTATTAGGCTACATTTTGAGTATTAGGAATATAAGAATTCTAGAAAATTTATTTCACTTCTTGAATAAAATTTTCATAAAAGATAATTGTAAGAAATTAGTATTAATCTTGAAGTATAATAAATTGACTCGGGCATATAAAATTTGAATTGTTAACGTAATGTTCATTTTTGATAAAACACATAAATTTCGATTAAATAAGTTAATATTAAAAATCATTGAAGTCGGTCTTTAACTCAAAAGTTTATTGTAATGAATATTTTGAATAGAGAATTAATACAACATAAAGTTAAATATAATAAGGAGATCATCAAGGATTAGTTTTAGTCACTAATAATGTAAATCCTTTTTTGGTGGAAACAAATTTTGTGTTCTGATTGGTTTTACTATATTTAAAACTATTAAATGATGTTTTCCTAGGTATAATTTAGGGCAGAGTATTTGTAAGTCTTTCAACAGATCTAGTAATCTTTGTATTAGAACCTGTTCTAAATTAATGAGCTTTTAAATATTACCTCATTGAATTTGGCTCTGCTGCATATTAAAACATAATTGAAATATTTTGACAGAATGGTGATTAGTAGAGTGTCATTGCTTCATCGTTTATTTCTTCTGAGAATTCCTAGTAAATATTAAATAAAAAAATTACAGTTAAGATCTTACTCTTCTTTTTCATAGAGCCAATTTCTTCTCTTTATTTCTTTTTACAATTGCAACAGAACATTTATCAGTGTCTCTTTGAAATATATTAATATTATCAATAAATAATCACTATTTTATTATTAAGAACTACTGTTCTTATTTCTGGATTACGACAGTTTTGATTTCGATACTAGCCATTCATAAATTACAAGACATTAATTTACTTTTACTTTTATCTTTCTAAACAAACAATCAAATTCTTTTTTAAAATTTTCATATATTGAAAATACAGGATAAAATTCAAATCTTTAAAATAAAAAAATTAAATTGTATTGATTCTTGTAAGTCTTGCCATTTAGTTTTTTTTTATAAATTTCTATTAGAATTCAAATATTCCATTGTAATTAAGCAATCATTTGTGATATAAATAAAATTAATAATAAAATTTAGAATAGATTTCCAAATCTAAAATTCAACCCCTCTAAATTATTTATTAATTTATGTTATTAGAAGAATTTTATTGATATTAAGTGAATGAAAATTCTATCAGCGAGAAATCTTAATATAAATTATTTAATATCTACAAGCCTTCATAAAAGAATTCTATTATTAAAATTATAGATAGATTTATTTTATATTTTTATCAATAAGATAACATCTTAAAGTTTAATAATAAATCCTTATTTAAGATAAATGGCATAATTAAAAAAGATAAAGTTTAAATTATAAAATTAAAGATGTTCGGCAGATTTGCTTTTAGATGAATAAATAATTTATTAAAATCTATTAATTATATTAAGTAACAATCCGTCCCTACTCTTTTTTTTTTCTCTTATTTATCTATTGATATGGAATATTCAAACCTAACGAAATGACAAACTTAGAATAATCTTTAGAATAAATATTAAATTTTATATTCTAGACAAATTAATGAACGTATAAAATGCAGTAGCATCATTAATCAAATTAAAATGAAATACTTCAATTTATATGAATATTAGGTTAAAATAATTATATTTATATAATCAACTAGCTTTGATCAACTATTTCAAAAAGCATCAACAACTAATTCAACTAAAATTCTCTGGGAGACGAGAGTAACATCGAAATTCACTTTAATATATTAGTTTATTGTAATCACCTATAAGACTAAAAAGATTTTGGTATCTTATTTTTAAATCTGTACAGGCTTCACTTTAGAAATGATTTATTATTGAGTAATTATTTCAATTTTGGAAGTAAACACATTAAATTACATGAAATATTAATAATAAATATTTATTTATAATTAATAAGTTTTTAATGTGGCATTTCTTTAATAATCTCTCATGGCAATAAATTTTACTGATGATTGATAATCAAGCTTTGTTCATTTAAGGAAGATTTAATACTTTTTTATATAGAGCCATATCTAATAAATAATCTTTATCAAAAGGCTAATCATTCCAAATTAAATTATTACAATTGTATTATTAAAACGAACTTAATTCAAGATCATTTGGACTGGTAAAGTTACATCCTTTGATTTATTAGATTAATAAATGATTATTGACATTATGTTGTAGAATCACTTTATTTTGGTTTATTAATTTGCAGTAAATTAATAATCTACAAATTATTTGTTATAATTTCAATAACTTCTACCTATAAATGTAGAAAATAAAAAAGTACATATTATAAAAATGTGTTTAAATTATATTATATACATATTGTTCACTTTTGGATTGAACAAATATTGTAATAAAAATAAAGTTTATAAATAATTAGTAATATGAAATAATGTATGATTTTATTCTTGTGAACATAAAGAATTCTTTTCACTATTATTAATGGTTTTATAGTTTACTCTTAAAGGTAAACCAACTTGAGTAAAGAATAAAATAGTTAATATAATTTATTTCTTAATTATTGTATGAATTAATTTTATTTATATTGATTGATAAGGTTGTTGGAATGAAATAAGGTATAATTAATCACTAAATTAGAGTAATTATCTTAAACGTTTTACAGTAAAATACCTAATTCTCCAGCATATACAATGGGATCTAGAAAAAAAGAATTATCTATATTAGATACTCCAGGTCCTGGATAATATCACCCTATAATTCCTTTTCGATAAAGTCCAAGAGCAATAATGTCAGGTTCAAAAGATTCATTCTATAAAATATCTGATTCTCCAGGACCTGGTAGATATAATCAATTATCATATACAACTAATGGTTTTAAATTTCCATAAGAGAAAAGATAATTAACAAATAATAATGATTCTCCAGGTCCAGCAAAATATGATCAAATCAATAACTTTTTTGCACCTGCTTATATTATTCCAAAAGCAGAAAGAAAAACAAAAGCAAGTTCTTTTGTAACTGGACCTGGATGTTATCATATACCTTCTCTTTTACGATCAAATATAGGTTTTAAAATGCCAAAGAGCTAAAGATAAAATAAAATTGATATTTTACCTGGTCCTGGAGAATATAGTTTTTAGGATAATAAAACAAAAGGTATAAAAATAGGAACTAGTCCAAGAATGGAAAAATCAATGTTTTTAGGACCAGGTCCAGCAGATTATTCACCAAGAATAACAACTGATTCTTCTCCCAGAGCTATTTTTGGTACTGCATAAAGAGGAATTAAAAAAAAAGAGAAATCTCCAGGACCAGGAGATTATGAATTGCCATAAAGCAGAAGTGTGAGTGTAAGAATTATAAATAAAGAAGTTCTCATTTCCTAAATAAAATGTATAATAGCAATCAAAACCCTAAACACCATTCAGTTATATCAATGATTATACTAGTCTTAGAAAAACATAAATGTCTTTTGGGAAAGCACATAAAGGAAATTAAAAACATTAAATCATTCCAGTATAAATAAAACAAACCTTTTTAGGGTCCTGGATAATATGATATAGATGGTTTCTTTAGAAGAAGAATTAAAACAAGAGAGGGTTCAAATATTTGAATTTTACTACCTTTAACTATGTATTTATATATTCAAAAGATAATTTCTCACATTATTTATTAGGGAAAATGTAAAATTAATATTTATAATGTACATATATCTCACTACGATTCCTTCAGGTATACTTAATTATTCTTAATTAATAAATACTTTGTGGAAGCCAATCAATTCATAATTTTCTCTAAAGCATCTTCTGCAAACATTCATGCCATATTTTCTAATCAAACCTTGTCTAGCACCGCAAACTCTGCATTCTTTATTTATATTATTTATAAATAACCTCTTGAATCTTTTCCGTAGGTTCTTGGATGAGTTCTGAATAAATGGTTTGGCATTCTTACAATATTTTTTTTTTAATTTTAAATATTTATTAAAATCTTCTGAATGAATACAACTATCTAACTAAACCTTATGTTATTGCAAATAAAAATTTTCACTTCTTTTTAGACTAAAACCAATTATTTTTATATAGTTATCTATTTAAAGTCAATTTCTATTTTCAAAATTCATATACTTTTCTTTATAAACATGTCTTTTTTTCATTTTATATTAATTTTATAATCACCTTTATACTTTATATATAATAAGTTTCATTAAATAGACTTCTTAATATTTTAAAATATCATATAGATATATTATATTCAATAAATAACATACAATCTCAAAAAAATTAGTTATTGTTAAAAGTAGTTATCTAATTAAATAATTATGAGAATTTCAAGAATTAGTATCATAAAGCAATTTTGTAATGATTTATCTTAAATAATATTTATATTTTAGTAAGTATAAGTTTATCATATAAAAATAAGTTTTAATATTTTTTCATCTATTAATTTTTATAATGGAAGAAAAAAAAGAAACATAAGACCTTGCTTAATTGAAAAAAGAAATGTTAGGTGTTGCTATCATAAAAGTAAATTATTTAATATAGGTAGGATACAGATATGAGTCCAGATATGTTATCTGAAGTATAAGACTCAATAGTTTCAGGAATTGAAAATAATTCATCCCCTGTATTATCAATAGAAGTATAATTTAAAATATATGCTTATTTAAGAATGCTTGTAAAACTATAAAGGAAGCCCTTGAAAAAAAATACGGTCCCACATGGCAAGTAATTATTGGTAACTTTCAAAAATAATTGAACAGGTGAAGGATATGCTTATGATGTTACTGTTTAGAACAATACTAGATTATTTATGTTTTACAATGGATGTTTAGCCTGCTTAGTGTTCAAATCATGAAATATACATCAATAAAAATCAATTGAAACTTGTATAATCAATTTCTAAATAATTTTGTTTAATTAATTGTTTAATCAAATTTTTCTAAAGCAATTTTACTTTTTAATATTGCCTCTTCAACTTTATTTTCTAGAATACTTCTATTACTCATTAATGATAATTAAGAGAAATAAGATGTATCATAAAGTTATTGATGATTTTAATGTTTATCAACTTTTATAGGTTTTGGAATGACAATTTTATTTTATTAAAGTTATTAATTTTATTTTAAAGGATTAATCATCATATTTGAAATCTTTGGAACATGAGATAATTGATTTTTTGTTGATAATGATATTTTAGAAGTGTTTTTAGATTCTGGAGAATGATGAGGAGTACCAATTTATAAATAAGTTATTTATGAATCTAATTGTTATTTATTTTATGAAAAGCTTGGCTTATTTCTATATTTATTTATTTGATGTATTTCTTGATTCTATGAATTTTGAGATTCAGAAATATTAAATTTATTATCCAAAGATATTTTGCTTGTTTCATTTAATTACAATTAAAAATTAGATTAATTTGAAATTCTTGAAAGTTAACATTCTTCATTTGAATTTTTAACTATAATATTGTCAGATAACAATGATCTTGAACTATATTATTGCCTTATTCTTGATATTTATTGGATGCTTTAATCTATTTTATCAATTTATTTAATTTCTAATAGATTCTCATTGCATTCATGATAAGATACTACTTAAAGTAATTCATTAAAAGATCCTCTATCTTACGGAAATCTTTTTAGCATTTTTAATAAAATATTCTTAAATTATTAACTATAATTTAACTCTTCTATTCTTTGTTTCATTTCATATTCACTATACTAAAATTATAATATTTTAAAATTACATTTAGAGTATCATAACTAAATAATGAATTTGTATCAGCTAAAGTAGCAGCCCATAAAGCTGTTAATCCTAACTAAAAGATTTCACATTTCTCAAAATCTAAGTTTAATACTTGTTCTTTGGTTTTTAAGCATTCTAATTCTTCAGGGGATATATGAATATCTTCTGTAATCTAATTCAATAATTGGATATATTGACTATTTTAAATGTCATAATAAGATTAAAATTTTATTGTTCCTTAATTAGAAAGCAGAATATTTTTTAAGTCCATTGGATATATTTAAAATGACTTAAAATACATTAATGCTTTTAAACACATAGATAATAAACCCCATAATTATTTCTCTTCATAATATTATTATTTTGTTGCTCTAATTTTTATATTTTATCTTAATTCGTTACTAACATATTCTTAAATCAATTGTAATTTTGTAAAAGTTGAACAAATATTCTAAAATGTTTATTAAAAGTTCTTACTTTACATATATCAGCTTTATAATAATGAACTTTTAAAATATTTGGATGATCTAAATTTTTAACTGGGCTGTTGATCTTAATGAAATTTTTTTCAATTATACAAATTGTTTCTCCACTATCATTTTTTTAATATAACTTAATATTTCCAAATCTAGGATCTATTATTTAATTTAGAAACTAATATTGTTATAAATTAAATCCAGTTGTAGAACTACTTTGTCCCATTTTATAATTTCTATTTATTAATATAAATATTAATTAAATGAGTATTCGTTCAACAACTCCAAATAAAATATTTGGAATCACAGAATTAGAAGAATACAAAATTTCTCAATTTAAACGACCTTAAACATCAATGAAGTTTTCTCTTTAAAAAATATAAGAAATTGGTTAATCACTCAATAATATTTTATCTAAAAAGAAAACTCAAAATGATAAAAAGATTTTACAATTTTTTAATGATAGATTTAATTAAAATATGAAAGAGATTAATACATCAGGATTTTAAGAATCAATAAATTAAGATAAATAAACAATTTCTAAACGAAATCAAAATCAAACTATTTTTGCTACTATTTACAGTCATTTAGGAGGAACAGAAACAGAAAGATCACATACAAATATAAAAAATTAAAGAGAATCATTTAAATATTTAAATAACAGCCGATAAAAGAAAAATTAAAATCTGTAATAAAAGATAAATGATGGTCTTAGAAATTAATCCTGGTGGGCCAATGATAATAATCATATTAATCAATGCTCTTTAGATTATAGTAAATCTGAAAATATTACAACTAGAAATAATCGAATTCGATAATCAAGTTAATCAGAAATCTAAGATTTTGATTATTATACTTTATAATCTATAGTTGTTCAAATCCAAAATGATCCTAATCAAACAGATCTTATAGTTTGTTGTTAAGATTACAAATTATATTCATTAAATTAATACTCTAAAATAATTACCTTAATTGGATAGCATTCTAGACCTATTAAATAAATGACTAAGATTATCATTTAGGCTAATAATAAAACTTTCTACACTAGTAGCAGCGATGGTTAAATTATATAATGGGTATCTGATTCTATGCATGGACCTTTTAAATATTAATAATCTATTAGAATAGAAGAACCACCAATTTAATTACATTTAGACTAATAAGGATCTTTATATATTTTGACTGCCAATTTTTTAACTTATCAGAATTATAAAATACCTTTAAGTGGAAATGTCAAATGCTTAAGTGTAGCTCCTAAATAAATAATTATTGCGATAGATAATTAAATTCATTAATTAATTGATGATATAACTAATATTTAAAAAATATAATTGGATAAACATATCAAAACAATTTTTTATGAAGATTAACAATTATATATACTTACTACTCAAAGATCTTTAATTGTTTTTGATGATTAATAAAATAATTTAATTTTTAATTCAGAAATCTAATTGGATGCTGACTGGATTTATCCTATGCCAAAAAATTAGATTATTATTTAAAAAGACAAAAATGTTATAATATAATCTTTTCAAAGAACTCGAAAGTTTTAATTAACTGATAAAATTACTTCCTTACTACCCTTATCTTAATATATATTTATAGGGGATTCAAAAAAAACTATTTAAATTATTAAGCTTTGAATATATATTATTTACTAAATTTTTTTATTTTATTCAATCTATTTACTTTAAATAGAAGTTTATCTTACATAATTTATGACCTTCTCTTAAAAATAAATTCTTCTCAAAACATGAGATTCGATTTTAGACTTTAAGTTAAGCTGAGATATATAATCTAACAATTCTTTATGATTAAATATATATTTCAGGATAATTTTTTTAAATTGAGACTTTTTTTTTTTTTTAATTTTGTTTAATTTTGTCTGTCCATCAAAGAATTATTTTTGATTAGAAAATGCAAACTTGAATTTGATTCTACTAATTTTAATTGCATTCTAGATTTCTAATTTTAGAAGTACTTTTAGAAATTTAAATTAATTTTTATAAATAATATGTTAATAATATAAAATTCTTCAATAATATCTTTAGGATGAATGCCCTTAATTTTTAGAAAATTATGGATTAAAATTAGAATAGTTTGGTTAAATATAAGATTAAATGGTTTAAGGATGGCCTTAAAATTATTTAGTCTAAATTAACTATGATTATTTGAAAGGTTATTATCCATAACTTTATTATGGTGATCCATTATAAAAAATTGGATTCTAAATTTATTAATTTGGAACATATTGCATAGGAACTTTTAATTGTTATTGATATCCATAAGATTATTCTAATCCTGTTTATTGTTATACTATAGAAGGTTGAATTTTTTCCTTTAAAATCATGTTATCTTAAATTTTAGAATTCTAATAAGGATTTATTTGTGAAACTTAAAGATTTTATGATTTGACTGTTAAAACTTTAGTCTAAATAATTTCTGGAGAAGCTAGTTTATGAATGTCAAGAAATTCTGGTAAATCTCTATGGATCACATTTACAATTTATGCAATTTATGTACTAAGCTAGGAACTAATTATGAATTTCATAAATAATTTACGATTTTACAGTATCAAAATTGATTATTGATGAAGCTTCTTTAAATCTAGATGAAAATACTTAAGCTGTCTTAAAATATAATTCATTATCTTCTTTAGTTGTAGATAATAAATATGGTAACAATGAATACATGCAATCTGGTTATTTTAATTTTTCTAAGAAATTTACATGAGACCTCCATCTCTCCTCTAAAACAGAAATAAAAGCCTGTCCATCATGATCAAAATTTTCAAAGTTCTTTTTTTATTTATTTTCTAATTCTATCTCTAAGGCATTAAAATACTATTCCACTATATTTAGAATTCTCTATTTAGCTTCTTTTAATTTCTATACTGTTTCTTATGTATAAGATAATGCTTAAGTTGTTGATTATTTAATATCCATGAAAGCAAATACTAATTATTTAGCTATATATATTCTTTATTATATTATACCTTATTAACAAACCTCTTAATGAACATTAGTCAATATGTTTTCTAAACATTCCAACTATGGATATGATCTAAACTGAGAATGCTCATATACATGTTCTTTCATACATTCTGGACACAAAGGTAGCAAACATTCTTTACATTTGCAAAAATTTGTAAATGTTTACCCTTAATGATTAAAACAATTTATCTAGTTTAAAAATTATATCCTATACTTTTGGCATATTTTAAGTTGTAAAAATAAAAGGAGCTGTTCTATCAATTTATTTATTTTCATTTTATTATTATGAATATTCAGGATTTTAGTTTTAAACCTAAGAATTAAAAATTGTTTGCTATTCATTTTATTGCTATTATTTTTCCTTTCAATAGTATTTATCATACTTATTAAAATCTTGAGGATTCCATCAATTATGGAACATAATCTTATTAATCTTAAAAATTGTTCCTTTGACCTAAGGATGTTTCTGACATGACAGTTAAAAATAATTATTAAGCTTTAAATAAATAAATTAATTATTAATATAATCAACATACATGTTAAGGAGCTTATTCTATATATTTAGATCTAAACTTATAGGTTTCTTTTATTGCTTATTAAAATTATTCTTAATTCAAAATTAAATCAGATGTTTTCTAAGCAAATGTATCTTATTCTCTTAATACTTCCATTGGAATTTATGAACCTTCTTTAAAAAGTTATAAAGATAATTTTGAATTCCTAGCTTTAAAGAAAATCAAAAAATATTTCATAAGATCTGATTTTGAAATCTTTTCCAAAGCTAATATAGTACATTCTCTTTAAGTAAAATAATATGATCCATCTCTAATTGAATTCCAAATAATATCAGCCTGTTACTCTAAAGTATTTGGAATTTGTTATAATTATTTCTGTATAGCCTATTTTATACTAATACTATATAAAATTATTAATACCCATCAAAATCTTTATCAAGCATTCTATTTAAAAATGTTTCAAAATAACCTAATGATTCTTCAATATAAAAATCAATTTCTTCAGGATCATATGAATTACTTTAAACTATTATTACTATTGAATCTATGTGATTTACGGATATTAATGATACATCTACTGCAAATCCTAATTACAATTAATTAAATAAATAATCTTCTATATGAAATTTCATCAATCTTTATAAAAGTCTCATATAAACATATTAAACTAAACTTGGGTCAGATCCTTAATATAAATTCAAAGTCACGATGCTTTCAGATTTTAATTTTGCTAATCTATATGTTATAGCTCTTTTTGACAATTTATAAGTTTCTTCTGTAAAAAATTATTTGCTTTTGCTTTATACTTTTGGTAAAATTTATTCAAATATTTATTTAGAAGTATCAGCATCAACATTTCCATAAAACAAAATGTCAAATCTTTGATTTTCCCAAAGTTTCTTTAATGTTTCCTAAATTTTTTCAAATTTGACATCAAATTTATGCTACTAAAATTCTTATGAGTTAGTTAGGATTTATTTTGCATAAAACATAGCTTTTTCTATTGTTGTAGTATTTTTTTCCCAATATTTATCTTAATACTATAAATTTTCAATATACCATTCAAAATCAGCTTTATTAATAGTATAAGCATCTTAATAGTTTTTCATTACTATTTTAGCAATTTCTTCTAATTATTATGTAAAACATTAGACAATGATTTCAATTTATCCAATTCCAATATCAATTTAAAAAGAAGCAATATTAAATTTAGTAGGTATTTTAAAATTCAATTTGATTATTTCTTTAGCTATAAAATTTTCACCTAAACTTTCAAAATCTAAGAATCTAGCCAATACTCTAAATTATACTTTAGGAACACCATTAATTGTGTCTTAAATATGCCATAAATTTCCTGCCACATTAGTTATCAATAATTCAGGATATTTAAAATTTTTCTTTTTTTTTTTTGTATTTTAACTATCTACTGATTGAGGTATTAATCCAAATATTGTTGGAATTTAAGAATTGTCAATTATTTTTAGTGTTGTATCTTTAATATTAAGAAGCTTTTGAACTGTGTTTATAGTAATTCCAGCTTCAAAACTTCTTAATCCAAAAAGTTAATGATATGAAAAATTATCAATTTCAGGTATAGAATATCCTTTATCAATATCATAATCTTATTCAGTTTAAATTACATCATCTGGCTCAATAATAAATTCTTCTTCTTCTGATAATTCATCAGGATATTCTTTTTTATCTATAATTGGTTCACTCAATTCATCCTCATAAACTCTATATCTTTTTTTAACATTTCCTTTGAATATTTTTTTCTTTTCTTCTTTACATTAAGCTTATTATATAAAAGAATCTCCAAATTTCATAAATCCAATATCAGTTTAATAAGAATCATAAAAATTGTCTAATAATATTATGGTCATATTTTATGGTTCCATTTATGAAAGAACTTGGGAAATGGCAGCTTTATCATATTTCTTAAGTAATTTATTTTATAAAATATCTTTTGAAAAATATTGCTTCAAATTAGATGATAATTAAATTATATTCTCTATATCATAGTTAGAATACTAAAAATTGATTTCTTGTGTTTATAAAAGTTGATCCCAAAATTATTCTAAATTATTTTATTACTTAATGTAATTAATTCTTTTGTATAATGAATTAAGAATCTCATCAATTTTAGTTTTATTAGGTAAATGTAGAAATATTCTAAAAATAGCAAATTCTTTTGGTATTTCCTTAAATGTATAATAACATTTAAAGGCTAATCTTTTTTCAACCATTTCATCACAAAAATTGGTTTCAAATTATTTCATAATCATAAGAATTACAAATTCTAATGATTTTGTTAAATGATTATTTTCTATATCAAAATCAAATTCAATTCTCAATTCTTTAACTTTACTTTGAATATAAAAAAATCTTTGATTCTTTAGAGGTAATCCATAATGTTTATAAGTAACTTTTTACAATTATTTATCAACACATCCATTGAAATACTCAAATAATAATTCTGTAACTCTTTTTTTTAATTCTTCATTAGTATAAATGACTACAGATAATCTATTAGCTGAATATTTAGATCGATAAAATTTTTTAGCTTCAATATATGGATTTTTTCCTTCATCTTCAGGTATTTCAAATAAAGTTTTTAAGTTTCCTGTTTAAAATTAACTGTAAGGATGTTTGGTTTTAGAAATCAATTATTCTGTATAATCATATTATTCCATACTCTTCCATTAAGCATGAAGATTCTATAGAACTCTATCCATTGATTATTTAGTAAATTAAGGATCAATAAATAATCTAGAGATAACATCTAAAAGTGTAAAAAACGCATCATTTTGAACTTAAGCATAATATATGCTTTCATGTTCATTTATAATTCTTATTTGTTTTCCTGCATTTAGCATAATAATCTTTCTCAATAGATCAGCTTATGGATATTTTTATGAAGTTTACAATAATTATTGAATATAATTACTCATACCTTAAAAATCTTTTGGATCATTCATATAACCAGTTTCTTCTTTTAATGCAACTGCACTAAGTTCAGTTCTATTTGATGCTATGACCATAACATGAATTTAGTTAGGTAAAGTAAATATTTTATAATTTCTATGATCACATTATGCTTTGTTTACTTAAGGATACATATTTTATCTACTATATTGTTAATTAACAACAAATAACCCAATTCCAGTAGTTATAGATAAGGCTGCTACTGAAAGCAAATAAAATACAACAGGATGCATTATTATTTGTTTTAAATAAAGAAAATTATATAAGAATGATAAATACATTTCAAAAACTATAATGTATGAAATAAAATATCATATAATTGTAAACTATAATTCTTCAAAAGCTTTCTTATGGCTTTCTTATTTAATATGTTGACTATAAGCTTATTCATTACCTTCAAAATATCCTTTCTCATCATATCTTTGTTCTACATAGCAACATTTACATGTAAATTTCAAATTCTACAATTTTCTTTGTTAAACAGCCTAAATATTAATATAGATAATAATACCATATTTTCTTTTCTTTTAATCTCATCAATATTCAATTTTCTAAATATAAATTTCTCTTCTTCCATACTTGTATAAACTAATTTCAATTTTTAATCAATAATATAAAATTTAGAAATATCACCTATCTACACTATCTCCTTAAATTATTTAATCTTTGGATAGAAACCAATAATATGTTTTCCAGAATTACATGTTATGAATACATAATTGATAGGTTCAAAAATTAATTTGAGTTTTTCAAAAATGCTTTAGATTCTTTAATCTGAAAGAAACTCTTAGATTTATTCAACTTTCATTGAGATATTGAAATAATCCCCAAATGAACTAACATCTAAAATCATAACCATTCTCTTAGCCCATTCTAAAGATTCCAAATCTAATTGTTTTCTTATATCATGATCATCTGAAATATAAGATAATCCATTAGTTCTACCTACTGTCATATAATCATTACATTCCAAACAACAAATCTGAGTTGTATTACCCATTCTTAAAAAAAAATTTTACTTTTTTATTGTATTAACTATGTTTTATTTCCAAGTCTAATATAATTATTAAACTTGAACATATATTTTAATCCCTTCATTATCAAATTATTTAGGCACATCAGAATCATAATCTGTTCTTATAATCTAAATTGGATTCATATAATCTAAATTATCTGCCTTCTATTCCTCCAATTCGAAATGTTATATTCTCTTTCTTTTTTATTTATTTTCACTCGATTCTTGAAATGATTATATATCATCTTTCAATTCAATATCAAATAATTACTTCCATCTTTCATCAGATGTATATAATATTTTTTATCTTACTTTATCTAATTATCTTATTTTCTACCATATCCCACTATCTGTATAACTTTATTCTAAAATCTATAACTTAATCTATTATCTAATTGAATTTATAGTTTATAAATCATCTTCTGTAACAAAGTAATCAAATTAATAATCTCTATCATCTACTTTTGCCTTGATGAAATGTGTTTTTGTATTATTATGATATAACTTTACCTATACTCCAAAAAGCATTGCTAATATTTAAGACCATAATAAATATTTATTCTAATCTATTGAAATCACCTACCTTGTAGAATTCCTTTTATTTGAATCTTTCTCTTATACTTCATAAGCTATTAATACTTTATTTTAATCCAATGATACAAAATTTATACTATCAGGATCACAATTAATTTCTTTATGTTAATGAATTAATCTACAATAACATCCATAAAATATTAGAGATTAAGTTGTTTCAATAAAATTTATTATATCAACCTAATTACTAGTTGTAAATGTTTCCCAAGGTATTTTTAATGGTTATTTTCTACTTGATTATCTTTTCATTAATTCACACTCATGCATTAATCTTTTTAATACATATTTTAATTTAGTTAAGTCTATCTCTTTAAATTCTATTATTATTGTATTGTTCATTAAAATTACACTTTTAACCCAATTCTTAGTAAATTTTGATTTTGCTTTTATTTCTGTTAATAATTATAAATCTGATCTAAAATGGAATCTTGGTAATCCTTATCTTCCTTAAGCTTATTCATCATTATATGCTAAAATATCTTTTAATTAATCTTCTAATCTTTTTTGACTTCTATCTAATTAATGAAAATCACAAAATTATTCCATTATCATTGCAATCTTCTCTTTTATCATTTCTTTATTTTAGATGTTAACCCCATCAAATTTAATATTATCACTCTCCAACATTATTGTACGAGTATAATCAAATCCTTAATCTTTAAGAAATTTAATTTTTTTATCAAATCTTTCATCTTTTGATAATCTAAAAGTATTTTATTTAAAAGCCGCACAAAAAGCACTTTTAATTTTGAGTTAATTTTCAGGATTATTTAAATCAAGAGGTTCATTTTTAAATTACTAATCTAATCTCATAAATAATTCATATTTAACATTTAATATTTCTCTCATATTTTTAGGATCAATAGATCTTTATTCACAATATAATTTTTCTAAAGGTGTAATATTTCTATTAGTAAATCTTTTTAATTCTCTTTTTAATTCATGTTGAGTAATAGTAGACTTAAGAATATTAAAAAATTTGATTTCCCATTCTTAATATACTCTAAGTTATATAAGTAAATCATCTTCATTGCCTTTATCATAAAGATATAAGGAATTAAAAAACAATTTTTATGATCTCATAAAATGATGAAGAAAGTAATTTTTTCTTTGACTTAAGATAGCTGCAATAGTAACACCTTCATAAGCACATCCAATAATATTACAATACATAATAAATCTAGTTAAGAATATATCAATAGGCATATCACTCATCATTTATCCTAATCTAGTTATCTGTATATTAATATCTACAGAATTTGGATAAGTGAGAGCCCCTAACATTTAAAGATTAGAAATAGCATTTTCAATTTATTTAGTACTAGGTGGATCAATAGCAGTTTTTAACGTACGACTAGGATCATTGAATATCTATTTTAAATCAACAAGAGTAGTAAGTTCTAATTTTTCTGTTTTATTTTAATTATCTATAGAAAGATGATATAATTTTTTAAGTCTTAAAATAATAATTTCTAAAGGACATCTCAACATTTCACAGACAGAATATTATGTCATTTTTTCTTTAAAAATTCTTTATGGAATCAAACGGAAACAAGTTCCTGGGAATAAACGTCCAGTTCTACCTTTTCTTTAATCAGCAGATGCTTTAGAACAATATTATAGAGCAAGTTTTTCCGTAAGATTCTTAGGATTATAAATAATTTCTTTAGTCAAACAAAAATCAATAACAAATCTACAATCAGGAACAGTTATGCTACTTTCAGCTACATTAGTACTTAAAATTAATCTTCTTTTTCTTTTATGAGTATCATCAAAATCTTTAGGAATAGTGACAGTACTATGTAATATAATAAGAATGAATCTCTCTTCTCCAAATTTAAGATAGATTTCTTCTCTAATATCCATAATTTCTTAATATCCAGGTAAGAATATTAATACAGCCCCTGCACCTTACATACCTTAAGTATCTTTAATTTTATTAGAGTCTAAGAATTCCAATATTTATAACATAGCTTATACACTATCAGATTAAATTTTAGGAGAATCTTAAAAGTATAATGAAGTTTAAAATCTTATAGGTTAATGTGGTTCTACTTTAGCAGTATCAGCTTCATTAAAATATGAATGGATTTCTTCCATATAATATGTTTCAATAGGATATTTTTATGACAATGGTACTTTAATAATAGGTGCAGGTTTATCATCTTCACCATCTAAAAAATGTTAACCAATTTCTCTTAATTCATTTTATTTTTATTCTAAATCTCTTTATTCTTAGGTTAATTTAACTTATCTTTCCATATCTTTCCATGCTTAACCCCATTCCATACCAATATCATTATCTTCTTCACCTTCAAATTTAATTGCTATTTCAACATCATTTTCTTATGTCATATCAACATGTTTATATTTTTTATCAACTCTCTATATGTATGTTAAATCATCTACTAAATTTATAGATTTCTTAGAAAAATAATTTGCAAATTTATCACTACAAATAGTTGCAGACATTAATATTAATTTAGTTTCTTTGAAATGTTTTAAAAGATTCTTGATTATGATTAAACAAAAATCAATATCAATATCTCTTTCATGTACTTCATCCATTATTATATGTGTATAATCTTTTAAAACTTATTCTCTATCATGTACTAATTTTTATAGAAATATTCCTGTTGTTACAAACTATATTTAAGTTTATTTTGAACTTATTTATGAATCCATTCCAACTTAATAACCAACAAGTGTTCCTAATTAACAATCTAATTCTTATGCTACTCTCTTTGCTAAAGATTTAGCAGCCAATCTTCTTGGTTATGTACATAAGATATTAACTGTTCTTGGAGTCTCAAATTCTGTATTTGTATGATGTCTTAATATCATTTAAGGAACTTAAGTTGATTTACCACATCCTGTTCCACCTGTTATTACTATTACTTAATTATTCTACATTTCTTCTAGAATTCTATGACTAACATTATAAATAGGCAATGCCTTTCTTTCTCTTTCTGTTAATGGTTTTATTACTCTTTTTCGTAAGTGTGAAATATGTTCTACCTGAACTTCTTATTATTATTTTTCTAATGGAATATAATCACCAAGATTATCATTTTATGTTCTCACTTTCTTACGTATTATATCCTCTACCTGCTATTCTTTCTTAACTATCATTTCTTCATCCATTTATTACATTTATTATTTTTTTTATTTCTTTTTTCGCTTCAAAATAGGTATGAAATATTTATATTATACCCAAATATTTAGTAATAAAATCAAATTTTATTAATCAATACTCAAATACATTTATAGCTGAATATGATTTATTCCCTTCCTTAAACTTTGCATCCAAATCTTCCAATTTTAAATACTTCTATTCTAAAGTCTATTGATTTTCTATATTTTCTTCAATGTCATCAAAATCTATTGTCTCAATCTATTTCAACACTTTTATATGAGGTTAACTGGTAATTATCTTTTAATCGCCTGATTTTATCTCTAATTATATAGCTTCTTAAAAAGAAGGTACATATTTTACAGCATTTGAAGATTAAGAGCCTAATCAAATTATTTAAATCTACCCATATATGATTATTTTTTTGTTGTTTATCTTTATTGTTAATCTAAACCATTAGGAACAATCAAAAATGAACCTTATTATTTATTATCTCCAGTTTTATCATATTATTATGGTTATTTTTCTGTCCATTCAAATTTATTATCATAAGTATTAGTTTCTGAACATTTTCTCATCATCTTTTTTAATAATTCATAATCTGGTTAGTCTTCATATTTTAATCCCTTAAGATAACTAATAAAATATAATGATAATTACTTTAAATATTCAGCAAATGGGGAAGGTAACTCTTTACATAATGATTAAATTGATGTAGCCATTTTAAATTCTCCTACAGCAATAGTCCTATCTTTGTCACCTATATTCTATAAGTTTTGCCAAGGCAATTTTCCTCAATCAGTTAATTTCTTTACCCAAGAATCAAATAAATTATTACGTACATCAAAGACTCTAGATCATCTTTTCTTCCTATTTCGAATCCCTTATGAGCTGCAATTGAAGCATACCTAGCTGTACCTATAAACGATTTCTTATCTCTAAAAGGTCTATTAAAAATATAATAATGATTTTAAAAAATTTACATATGCTTTCCTTTATCATAAATTTATTTGGAAACTCCGAAATCTACTAAAAATGCTTATGATGTATTTATTTTGCCCATCATAATATTTTCAGGTTTAAGATCTCTATGTACAATTCCTCTCTAATGTACTTAATTAAAAATAGTTATCAATTATTCTAATAATTATAAACCTGTCTTTAATGTTAATTGTTTATATGTTTTGCCATAAAAGCCTAAGTCTTTACCAAGTATCTCAATAATCATTACATTATAACATTATTCTCGTCCAAACCAAAATAATTTTGTTATTCCATTAATACCTTGCAATTTTGTTAGCAAATAAACTTCTCTATCCAAAGTTTCCTATTATCCTTTTTCTAATTTCACAGCAACTTCCTCTCTTGTTACCTTATGAATTGCCAAATACACAACACCAAATGAACCAGAACTTAATTATTCTTTTACTATGTATTTATTATCAAATATTTTTGGTTCTAAATAGCTACTTGGTAATTTTTTCATTAATTATTTTTATGCATTAAGGATAATACATTAAAAATAGTCCTCTTGGATAATTAGAAGATTTTAGAAAAGAAGTCAAAACAAAAATTAATAAAAAAAATGATCCATCTAAACAATTATCTTTTTAAACAAATAATTCATCAACCCTTTCACAATTACTTAGATAAAGAATCATCCCTAAATAAAATAATGAACTCAATAAATCCCAAGAATCATCTAGGCAACAATTGTCTAGCAGATTATCATTTTAAAGATCTAGTCTAGATCTAGGAAAACCAACTTAAAAGTAAATTTATAATAATCATTTAGCATTCTATATCCAAAAATATAATTATAAGATATTATACCTTTAAATAAAATTCTTGAATTATAACGAGCTATGAATAATTATGATCATCCTACAAACAATAAGTATTAATTGTTTTCAATTTTTTTTAGTTATTTTATTGAACTTAAAAAATTAGCTAAAATTGTATTAAGAGAAACTTAAGGATGAATTAAATCATTTCAAATAAATTCTTCACCTTTTTTATCAATTTTAACATCAAAAAACCATTTTCATAAATAATTATAAATTTTATTATCTCTAACTAGTTCTAATTGATTTGATATCTCAAAATAAAAAATAATTACTTTATATGTTAGTATACCATATTATCAAAAGTATATTTCTTTTAGATATTATTGAAACTAAGCAAACAGAAAAAAAATTATATAATCGGAATGATATTTTGATTTTTTAAGAAACACAATAAAGGTAGAATTAATTATTTTTTAATGATAAATCATTTCATATTATTAGCAGCCAATTATTATTCTGCTGATTTAAGCAATGTTTTTCCTTGTACATTATCTTATTTAATTACAAAGTTATCTTTCCCTGTATTAGAATTGATAAAATTAATCTCTTACTGAGTAAACTAAAATAATTAATTTACAATTTACAGGTATTCCAATATCTTGCAATTAATTTAAACAATTCAAAGTTTCTTTGACATATTAAGCTTAATTTATTCTTTAAAGAGTATAGTCTTAATCTATTTTTTTAATTTTTTCTCTTATTTATGTACCTTATGATGATGACATAAGATGCTTGATTTCTTCTGCATTAAATGAATTCTTAATAGCAGCTCTTAATTATTCTTATTATTATTAAATTGCATTTTTAAGTGTTAAATCGCCCTATTCTATTTCTTATAATTTAGTTTAGAATATTTCCAACTCTTATAATGTATCATTTTTCATTTATCTAAAATTGTAAATGAGAAAGAATACTTATATTCTTCTGGATCTAATTCATTTTTATATTCCTCTAGATCCCTAAGTTATTCAAGTAATCTTTTCAATTATTATTCAATATTTTCTAATATTTTTTTATCCATTTTTTTAAAGAATATTAATCTTAATATTTAATATATAATTTTAAATCATAATTCATTTTTAAATCATAATTCATTTTTAAGGTTCTAAAGAAATAGATCTCTATTCCATTTATTCATCATTTTATTAATTATCTTCAGGATCAACCATTTCTCCAGGTTCTCTTCCATCATTAGACAGTTATTAGTGTTCCTATTATGAAGTTGAATCTAATTATTATTAAACTTCTGATGATTCTTATAGAATGATTTGATTTTTCTTTTCACTATCAAATTATTATGAACATTAGTTTTTATCTTATGATTCTGGATGTTAATTAAAAATAGTTTTTTTATGTTCAGATTGTGTGAAATTAATAATTGTATTTTTATTTTACTATTGTGCTGGAGGATCAAATTATTTTTATTCTTCAACAATAACATAATTAGATAACTTATTAGAATCTGTATATTTAGGATTCTGTAGTAAGATTTTCTTAATTAATTAAGCCCTTTCTACATTATCTTTTCCAGGAGCATAAAATTTGATATCTGTACTATTTTGATGACCAACTATGCAATTTTCTAAAAAGTTCATAAAAAGTAATGGAGCAGCCAACTTAAATTAATCATATTAATAAAAATCTGAAATAGGAACTACTCCATCTGCTCTAGGTTTCCATTTAACTTCAAATACACAATCTTCATTTGTTAACATTAAATGAACACTATCAATTTCATCAAATTTTTAAGGGTAAGAACTACAAAATTTTTATGCCATTTCTTTTTATTTATTTAAGAGAAGTTCTTCAGAATAACTTGGATGTTTGAGACTTTATTGTACTTATTGCATTACAGGTAATTGTTATGCAACATTTTTTAGACTTTTTTATTTTTACTCTTAAAACTATTGTTAATTCTAATTAAATTCTTCTAAAATTGATCGCCGAACATTTTCTTCATATTCCCAAGTAGTTTAATCTGAACCTTTCCATTTTATTAAATACTATGATTAATTGTTTAGAACTCTTTTTTTGAGAATCTTTTCTGGAGATCTAGGAGTTATTAATTAATAATCCTATTATTTAGTTGGACGCATTATTATTATTATTATTTAATCTATTGATTTCAAGTTACTAAAATTTAAATTCTAAAAGTGCCAAAAATTTGCATCCAATTCTCAAAATAATCAATACAAATATATAATGTAATATAATAAAACAATAACTCCAATATATATTATGATTATTCTTTTCTATAAATTGGACTCCAAAATTTTGATATAAATATCTAACTATAAATATCACTTAAATACTTATATATAGAGTCTTAAATATTCCATAAACAATTAATTTCTTTTTCACATGATAGAGAATCATGAAATTTAGATAAAAGTAAATAGAAATTTAATAATAATTATCTGTAACAAAAAACTATTTAATCAGAATCCAAAAATAATGATAAATTAATATTTCCTTAAAGTAATTGTTGATAAAATTATTAGCCTACCTTTTTGTAATTATTTTTAAAAATTAAATAAATTACCAAAAACTTTTAGAAAATCTAATCGAATAAAAAAATAGATTAAAAAGATTCCACTTATGTGAGTCGAACATAAACATTAAATAAATATTTTTTAAAATTAAAAGAATTAAATAGATGGATTTGACAGAAACAAAAGAATAATAAATGATTATTTTTAGGAAAAATAATTACTATATCAAGCATTTTCTTCTTTCATCTTTTCTATCAGTAAATTCCATTCTTCCAATAATTTGGGATCAGGTTATTTTTGATGTTCTATCATTTTAAAACATTCATCCTTTGGCTTAGTTTGCTATTACTATAAATGTTGTTATTATAATTTTTATTATTTTCTCTCTGACTTTTCTTAATCTGGAGATATCCCCAAGTCTCCTAATCTATTAGTCTTCTTTGATCCACTTATTTTCTTACGATTTTAATGTAATTTCATATAATCCTCCAATGCCTTTCTTTCTCTTATATATGTTAATTCCTATTATTTTCTTATTTTACAAAACTCTTATAATTAATGTGTGCTCATCCATTGTCTTGTAATTATCTTTCTCTTATTCAATCCTTTATCATCTATTGGTTCAACTTAAACATTCTATTCCAAATCAAATACATATTATTTATTATTTACATACATAATAATGAGAGACTTTCATAAATAATTATATTACTTCTCCTTTCACCATTAAATCTTCTAATTAATTTTATATTACTTTTTCATATTGGATCCATGTCTATCCATTATAATAGGACCACTTTCCTTATTATATTTTTATTTATCTAGAAACTATAGATGTTTCTCTTCTAATTTTATAATAACTAATTTAATGATGCATGACCATGTGATCATAATCCACTATAAATTACATATCTTTGAATATTATCTGGAACTCTCCTTAATTACAGTAATGTAACATATTCTCTAAAAGATTGCATCTTCTCCAATCAAATATTTTCCATTTCCCATCTTCATCTAAGTAAAACCAATCAATATCATGATGTGGTGGTGGAAATGTGCTAATAGTGGGCATTTGCTGGGGCCTATATAAATAAATAAATAAATAATTGTGTTTGTAATAATACATATCAATAAGTGAAGGTGTGAATGTATATTAAGGCTATAAAAATAAGTATTATAAAAATATACTTGGAAATCTATATAGCGTATAATATAAAAATATAAACTTACATATTGGCTGCACTATTTGAGGAACATTAAATTAGTACATTCTACTTTTTGCACTCAATTATTTAATAAAATAATATATGAAAAATACAAAATTCATATTTTAAATATCAATTCAAAACTTAATTTTATAAAGATATACTCATAATTTAAAATTATAAATCCCTTTCATTAATCGTTGTAACATTAACATGTTTGAACTATTTTTTAAAATACTTATTTTATAGGTATGACGATTAGAACTTGATAATGGTTCAGTAATTATCATCTAATTATCTTTACTTTTGGCGCAATTTCTTATATCATTGAACTAATTTAATTATAAAAGTATGATTTTAAAAGAATTGATTATTATGCTTAATTACATATTATCTAATTATATTGATTTCCTTTTTTATCAGATTCTTTCACATTTAATATTAAAGAATATTTTTTTATATCTTTTTTTTGTTATTAATTATATGCGGAAGCTTTATTATATTATAGTTTTTATTTAATTTTATCAAAATAAGCATAAATCCTTTTTTATAGTGGAGTTATGCTTTATGACATTACATATAGAACAATTATACGTTAAAAGAAAATTAATTTAATTTAAAAGTTTACTTTGAAAAAGCTTAAATTTTGTACTCAAATTACTGTATATATAAAGAATTAAGAAATTTTTTAGACTTAAACAATAACATAATCATAATAATGTTTTTACATAAAAATAATTGATTCTTTTTAAAAACTTTTCACTAACAAATTTTTAATTATACTCAATATTATAAATAATCCCACATTTTTCTTACTTTACTATTTTTAATTGTAACATAATATAAAACAAAAATGGATTATATTGTGAACCTATGAATTAGCCAGACAGTTTTTTTTAAACGTTATACAAATAAAGACATAGTGTTGTTAACTATTATGCTTTCTCATAGTCATTCTCTTATTTTTTTCTTCCCCTCTAAGGAAAACTATGGCTTAAATGTAGAGTTAATAGATATTTAATCGATAGAATTTTTCTAGCAATCTATCTCCAAATAATTTATGATTAAAATTTTATTAGTTAATTGTTACTCTTAATAGATCTTGTAACAATAATATTAATTCATTTTTTATAGTTTAATTAATTTTTTTATTACATATCCTAATTTATTTAGGAATTTAATACTGGCATTAATAATTTATAATTCTTAATTATAATTTATAAGATATATTTAAGTTTTTTTTGATAATGAAATATTCAAAATCATCTAATAAAAATTTAGCCTTATAATGTAACTTTTTTAAATCTTATTTTTTTGAGAATCCAGTAGCTTAGCCATTTTTGAAAATACATAATTTGTTGAGTTTTCCATTAAGGTTAAAAATACTAAATATTTAATAAAGAATTTGGTCAAAGAATTCTCTATGACATATAATTGTACTAAAAACCCTTCTCCGATTTTTTCAAAATTTAAATAATAGAAATGTTGATATATATCCAATATGTGAAAATCATATGATAATTGGTAATTGATATTAATATATAGAGGCAATGATTAATTTATGATTAAATGAAACTAGACATCAAATTCATAACTCCTATTATAAAAATAAAAAAATTATAATAATTAATAAATAAGAAATTAAAGCACTTGCATAAGGAGATAAATAAAGCGCTATTTGTAGTAAAGAAAAGATTGTTATTTAAAATTAATAAATAAATTCAATTAATTTCATTGAAGATATTTAAAGTTAAAAGAATTCACATTTATTCTTAAATTAATAAATGTAAAGAATTAAGAGCAATCAATCCAGAATAATGATATATTTGTAGCAATTAAAAGTAATCCTTGATAAATTTACTTCTAAATATTTAAAGTCCTAATTTATTTGAGACTGAATTTTAAAAAAAAGATAATATTTATTTTTGTATTAAACATTAATCAACCTCCCAAAAGAAAGTTTGCTGCTTATTCTTCATCATATCCAAATCTGAGGAGGGCTTCCTAAATCATTTAATTAAAATAAATTACCCTAACTATGCCTACTTCAAAACCTAAATTGACTAAATTTTAAACCTTCTCCTCTTACTTATTTTTTGAAGCATAATTTTATGTCCATTCTCTATAAAATTATTAAATTTTATACTTTGCTGTTTTAACAAATAAATCTTTTTAGGTTTTATATTGATTGGCTACAACAGCATCCTATGGGGAATCTAATTTAAGTTTTAGAAAATTCAATACCTGGCTATGGATCACACAATAATGCCTAAAGTGACAGTAAAGCTGTACGAATTGAAAGTGCAGGTGACCACTCATCTTTTAATATATCCAGACAAATAGCACCAGTTTAACTAGATATAGTGATTAAAATTACGAAGAGATATTAGGATGCCAAATACGAGTGTCAAACTTCATTTTTGGAGGTTTATATGGATATTCAGGAGGAATCACAATGTCTACTTAAAAATAACCATTAGCATAAGGGGTATCTGATGGTCCATTTATAAAACCCTTCCAATGAGTGATATTTTAATCAACTAATAAAATTGAAATTCCAGAATCTTCTCCCTTATCAAATAGATACAAACATAATACTTTTTTTTATCTTTCATTAAAGTCCTGCAATTCTTTATTCAATCTATTTGTTTATGTTTTTTACATCAAATAATTTAATAATGAAAATAATCATTAGAAATCCATTTAATTGATCAAAAACAATATTTTTTAAATGAACAGTATAGCAGTATTTTACATATTACTAGGTTAATGGATAACTTACAATTATTTCTACTGCCGAAAAATCAATAATTTTGTAAAATATTTTAATAATTTCAATTATCTTAACGCTAATTACTTGTTTGAATTCATCAATTATATAAATATTGTGGTAATTTAATAAATAAAAATTTTCATTAATGAATAAAGCTTATTAGAATTAAAACACCTTTTGAATAGTTTATGGAGCAGTAATAAAAACAGTATTTTATACATAATCAATTATTTTAATTAGTGTTGATTATCTATTACTAATAAATAAGTATTATTTAGTTTTAATGAACTTATGATTTAGAAGAATAGTTCATATCTATTTATAGTCTGTTATATAGTATTTTTATAAAATCAAATTAATTTATCTTTTAATAAATAAAAAATGTCGATTGAATATGTGCTATTGGTGAAACAATAATAGGTTTGCTTGTTTAAGATTCCACCGGTGAGCAGTAGCAAGGGTTATTATTTAGATGATTGGAAAGAAATGTTTTGGGAAGGTAAGATAAAGTTTATAATTACGAGGGGGAATAAAATTAACAGAAAAAGGTGGTCAATTAACTTTATATTTTATTGACAAAAATACTTCAGCTGTTTAGACATTTGTAAATTTCCCAGATAATCCAT